GTACATTCAAATATGTTTTGAATTATTAACTAATAATGAAATGAACAGAAAGCGTGTTATAAAAACATACATCCGAGTCGACGTAGCACATCTCATCCAAATATGTTGCAGATTAAAATGCTTCGCCAAATGCAATAAAGCCGTTAAAGATTTCTACATAAGATGTGTCGCATTGATGGTGTCATGCGAAGACTTCAATCAATTTCAGGATATTCTGCTTTGCACAATCATTTTAACACTACATCATTATGACGGCAACTTGGTAAATAATATTAAGGAATCTCCAGCAAAAAGTGCAAGATTAAAACTATTAAAATGTATGTCAATAGAAGAGCATCGAGCGTTCAAATTGATTCCGCAAGAAGACAGCGAGGATTTTCAAAAGAGCTTCAAGAAACTTCTTGCTTCTGGATTTGATCCGAATGATCCTCACTGTTTTATTAATCAAGAGGTGGACGCAGATGTGAACATTTTAAAATGGTTGGAAGATTTAAAAAAAAAAGCTGAGATTGGCATTCACGAAAAATACGAAGAGGCTAATGCTTATTACATGCCACAATTTTTTAAGCATATTTTTAATTTGGCCAAAGAATTTCCACTGTGGACAGCCGTGAATAGAAAGCATTTTAATTCACCTTACGTTCGACCTTCAAGTTCTTGTGTTGAAGGTGCTTTTGGAGAGTTAAAGAATAACATTTTAAATAATGTTCATGGAGCTATTCGAAGTGACAAATTTTTTAAAATCGATTTTGAAGCTTCGAAAGCTCAATGCTTAATTGCTGCGGCAGAAATTGCAAAAATTCAAATGCAAAACTCACTAGTCGACGTTGTCCTTGACAATAAACAACGAGAAACAACGGAACAAATCACAAATCTGAAAAAAGATACTAAAACTACACTAATGGATGACTTACTAAGTTTTGATGAGAATTGCATGATTCCAAAACACGAAAGTACGCGACTTGATTTGGAAGCAGAGATTCAGACAGATCTTCCAAATTTTTCTGAGATAATTAACATTGACTTATTTGCCTTTGAAAATTGGAAAAATAAAGCAACAGAAGAAATTCCAATATTAAACTCACAAATAGTTGTTGCTGACACAAAAACAAAAAACATTCTTCAACAAAAGCAGTCTGAAAATTCGATGTTAAAAACTGTAGAAGAAATTCCAACATCAAACTCCCAACTAGTTATTACTGACACAAAAGCAATAAATATTCTGCAACAAAAGCAGTCTGAAAAACCGATGTTAAAAACTACAGAAAAAATACAATCTGAATTACCAAAAAAAAGTTGTGTAATAGATAAGAATTTAAAAATATCGAAAATAATAGAACAAAAAATATGTAAAAAAAGGAAACTGCAATTTACAGAACGAAAACCCTCAAAATTTTTCAAAAAATGTCCCAACATTTTGACGACACAAGATGCAGCTATAGCTGCTGCAAAAGTTAATATAAAAGACCCATTATTACTTAATGGTAATAAATTTTCTCAACCCATCAAGATCAATGGGCAAATGTTCATGTTAACAAATTCATGTCCATTTGATTCAATTGCCCAAATTTTACTGACTCTTACAATCGATAGTCCCAAATATCTACTTCACGTTGAAGAGTCGACTAATGAGACTTTAGGGTTTATTTTAGTTTTTTTGGAGCATGGAGCAGTAAACCATGTTTATGGATTACGATGTTTATTATTAAAAGACTTTAACAAAAATTCAAGATGTGAAAATAAATCACTTCTAAAGTTAAAAGATTCTCCATACATGCTTCAAACTGTTGACACTTATTGTAACGTCACAGAAATGTGGGAATTTCTTATGATATCAGAACCGAGTCTTTATATAACATTAGTATATCCATGTGGTAACTGCAAGGTAGAAGGCGAAATCCCTTCTATTTTTGTTAATCACAAAATTATTGAAACTGAAGGATTTCAAAATCTACAAAATGCTATAATTACACAGTTAGAATCAAATCTTGTTCTGTGCAATAGAGATAAGTGCGGATTCAGCATTTCGACGAAAATTATTGTTAATCGTCATCTTTTTATTGAACTAGATATCAGAGAAACAAAAAATATAAAAAAATCATTAACATGCAAAGTGGAAGATTTGCCTTTGCACATAAACTTACATGGCGAAAAATTAAGGTTTGTATTCACCTTATTTAAATAAAATTAATAATTACACCAAAATTAAAATATACTGAGACTCAAATAAAAAAAATTATAATATTTAAATCAATAATTATATTCCATTTTAGATTGGCTGGCGTAATCACTTTCCACGGTAACCATTATATGGCGAGGTGCAGAAGATTAAACGGTCAATGGGAACTGTATAATGACTGCAGTCAAAAAGTTACAGTATGTAACAAAAAAGAAATAATAACACCAGCAGCAGCAATTTACGTTAAGTGCGACTAATAATTTCCAAATTATTAATTGATAATTTAGGTTTAAATTGACAAAAGTATTTTTATACAGTATTATTGTTCCAAAGTTACTGATAGTTAAATTATTAAAGAAGTTAATGATAGTTGAATATCATTGCCAACACGTAACTATGCGTTTCAAATATTTAAATTAAAAAATTTATTCGAAGTGTTAATGTGTTAATTTTAACATCATAAATATATTATTTTTCATTTTTAGTTAATTAACAATTTCATTTTTTAATACCAAACAATGAATAAAATGCAATACCAAACGTCTGTGTCAGTCAGGGATTGTAGAGAAAAAAGAAATTTTGAAAAACGATAATTTCTCTTGCAGCACTCAAAGAAAAAATAATTTTTTTTAATACTTAATTAATTAACAATTTCATTATTTAATACCAAACGATGAAAATGCAATACCAAACGTCTGTGTCAGTCAGGGATTGTAGGGAAAAAAGAAATTTTGAAAAACGATAATTTCTCTTGCAGCACTCAAAGAAAAAAAATTTTTTTTAATAGTTAATTAATTAACAATTTAATTTTTTAATACCAAACGATGAAATTGCAATACCAAACGTCTGTGTCAGTCAGGGATTGTAGGGAAAAAAGAAATTTTGAAAACCGATAATTTCTCTTGCAGCACTCAAAGAAAAAAAATTTTTTTTAATAGTTAATTAATTAACAATTTAATTTTTTAATATCAAACGATGAAATTGCAATACCAAACGTCTGTGTCAGTCAGGGATTGTAGGGAAAAAAGAAATTTTGAAAACCGATAATTTCTCTTGCAGCACTCAAAGAAAAAAAAATTTTTCTCATTTTTAGTTAATTAACAATTTAATTTTTTAATACCAAACGATGAAAATGCAATACCAAACGTCTGTGTCAGTCAGGGATTGTAGGGAAAAAAGAAATTTTGAAAAACGATAATTTCTCTTGCAGCACTCAAAGAAAAAAAAAATTTTTTTAATAGTTAATTAATTAACAATTTAATTTTTTAATACCAAACGATGAAAAAGCAATACCAAACGTCTGTGTCAGTCAGGGATTGTAGGGAAAAAAGAAATTTTGAAAACCGATAATTTCTCTTGCAGCACTCAAAGAAAAAAAAATTTTTCTCATTTTTAGTTAATTAACAATTTAATTTTTTAATACCAAACGATGAAAAAGCAATACCAAACGTCTGTGTCAGTCAGGGATTGTAGGGAAAAAAGAAATTTTGAAAAACGATAATTTCTCTTGCAGAACTCAAAGAAAAAAAAAATTTTTTTAATAGTTAATTAATTAACAATTTCATTTTTTAATACCAAACGATGAAAAAGCAATACCAAACGTCTGTGTCAGTCAGGGATTGTAGGGAAAAAAGAAATTTTGAAAAACGATAATTTCTCTTGCAGCACTCAAAGAAAAAAAAATTTTTCTCATTTTTAGTTAATTAACAATTTAATTTTTTAATACCAAACGATGAAAATGCAATACCAAACGTCTGTGTCAGTCAAGGATTGTAGGGAAAAAAGAAATTTTGAAAAACGATAATTTCTCTTGCAGCACTCAAAGAAAAAAAATTTTTTTTAATAGTTAATTAATTAACAATTTAATTTTTTAATATCAAACGATGAAATTGCAATACCAAACGTCTGTGTCAGTCAGGGATTGTAGGGAAAAAAGAAATTTTGAAAACCGATAATTTCTCTTGCAGCACTCAAAGAAAAAAAAATTTTTCTCATTTTTAGTTAATTAACAATTTAATTTTTTAATACCAAACGATGAAAATGCAATACCAAACGTCTGTGTCAGTCAGGGATTGTAGGGAAAAAAGAAATTTTGAAAACCGATAATTTCTCTTGCAGCACTCAAAGAAAAAAAAATTTTTCTCATTTTTAGTTAATTAACAATTTAATTTTTTAATACCAAACGATGAAAAAGCAATACCAAACGTCTGTGTCAGTCAGGGATTGTAGGGAAAAAAGAAATTTTGAAAAACGATAATTTCTCTTGCAGCACTTAAAGAAAATATTTTTATTTTTTTAAGAACTTAATGTGACGAATTATACAAAATATTTTTTTTTTATTAAGAGAATTGAATTTATTTAATTTTTATCTTTATACATGTATTTGATTTAACCAAAGTGGTGTTAAACAAATTGTTCTGCATTTAAATTTTGCCGGCAATTCATAATGGCTGACCGTCATGCGCATGCGTAATGTTGAATAGCATGACAGTCCTGTTCATCATTGTACATTTATTTTTATGTTATATTTTAGTTTTTTTTTACTACCAAACATCAGAAAGTAGATACCAATCACTACCAAACAACTACCAAACGTTACCACTTTGAATTATCTTAAAAAATTGTATAGTGTAGTGCTACCGTGAAGTTAGCACTTTGAACTTAAAATTTAAATAACTTTTTTAATATTTACTACCAAACAATTAAAACTGATTACCATACACTACCATACGATTACCAAACGATTTGATATAGTTTAATAATGATTTAATGAGTTTGCGGTGCCAACTTCACGTCGCTGAAAACGTTTCTTGTCATCACTAAAACATAACCTTCTAAACATGACATCAATTATCTTAAGTGAAATACACAAGTGCAAAAAGTGTCCAATTTTTCTGATTGGCTGTTCAAATTATCGATAGTATCGAAGTAGCCATATTGCTACATTCAGATCGTTCGTGACAGTTCATGTAAGTTGAGGTTATCTTTGTGTTGTGTTTAGGAATTTTAGAGAATTATAAAAAATAATTTGTTATTCACTAAAGAGGATTTCAAGTAAGATAATAAAATATGTATTTCATTACAAGATTGTTAAATTTACATTTCTAAATTTAAATTATGAATCAGTAAACTTATTTTACTGAAAACTTTTTTTATAAATATTCTCTTGCGATTGCAGAATGGGTGAACGATATAATATTCACAGTCAACTGGAGCATCTTATGTCAAAATATATTGGCACTGGACACGCTGATACAACAAAATATGATTGGCTTGTAAATCAACATCGAGATTCTTGCAGTTCATATATGGGTCATTATGATCTTCTTAATTTCTTTGCCATTGCTGAAAACGAAGCTAAAGCACGCGTAAGATTCAATCTCATGGAGAAGATGCTTCAACCATGTGGACCACCTCCAGAAAAGCCTGAAGACTAAGGAAAAACAATCCTACTTTCTATTAAGGACCTTATTTAATATGACTCATTTAGGTATTATTTCAATAATATACATTTTTACGTCAATGTAAATTTATTATTTAAAAAATATATATAATTAAAAATAATTTTATACTAATTTTAAGTTTCCATTTCATTTTGACTTGACTCTTGGTTCGTAATTTTTAATGATTTTGATACAGATTTAATTAATGATTGTTGCATTATTGGAAATATTTTCTCCTCAGCTTTATTAAGTTTTTCTGTTTGTGATTTTATTGATTCCACATCTAAACTCCCAGTAAAAAAGAATTCAGAAATTTGTGAATGTTGTGTCATCGATGCTTGTACAATGAGACCGTGATTATTTTGTTTTTTAATCTCATTTTTTGATAACGAAAAACACAGTGATTCTTCTTCTGATGTTGGATCGAGAAAAATAACTTCGTCACGAATTCCCTGTGAAAAAAAAAGTAATAATGAATTTTATAATCTATGTTAAAATGTGTATTATTAAAATTTATACCATTGTTACTGCTGTTACGAGACCAAACATTGGAACATTGGCATTAGACAAAGCTAAACTTGCAGCCATAATTGCAGCAGCTAACGCTGATCCACCATTTTCGAGAACTAGTGCATAAATATCCACTTGAAAATTCGGAAATTCACTCTGTCAGAAAAATGTAATATTAATTTATAGTTAAGAAACGTAGAATTAAAATTGTTATAAACTTACACGACACACTGCTGGTTCCAATGCTCTTTGCATAACACAGCTATATTCCTTTTCTTCAGAATCTTGTTGATGAATTTTTCTTTTAGACGTGGAAAAAGTAGCAAATTTAAATTCACAAAATAATTCACCTTGATGTGAATAGTTGCTTTTATTTGGAATTTCCCGTGGATCAAATACTGAACATATTACTTTAGTTCGACCCATTTCAATATAAGCAGAACCCTTTGCTTGACTCACAATTCCAACTTTGACAACTAAAAATTATTAAAATTTTTGAAAAATATAGGTTAGGTTTTTTTTGTATACATAACCTCAAAAAAAAGTGACATTTACATTGTCATTGTAAATTATTTCAAACAAAATCTATAAAAATCTTACACATTTTTCTAAGTTCATCAAATTTTCTTCCATCTTCCCTTTTTTTTAAAGTATTTTCTTGAGATATGCCTTTTGCACTTTTGTCAATATAAACACTGTAAGGAATTGATACTTCGGGACCATTAATTCTTCTCTGATCTACTGGCATTTTTTATTTAAAAAATTAAAATATTTCACTTGAATACTTATATGAGCTTTTTAATTAAATTAAATAACAATACAAAATACACAGGTGCACGTGTTTTAACTGTTTACACTCAGCGCCATCTTGTTTTTCTTTTGAAGTCAAACTTGATTGGCGGTTATAAAAAATAAAACTTTTGAATAGCCAATCAAAATTATTAATAAATAGAGCATCATTATTTAAAAAATTTAATTTTACATAAAATTATATAATTATTAAACAAAAAAAATAAAACTGTAACCAGTTTACTATTTACAGTTTGTATTTATATAAACTCAGATTTATTTTGATTTGTTTTGAAATTTTAAGCTTTCTATAAAAATAGAACACACAGGCCAGTAGTATGACAGAGATGACAGATTGTATCATATGTTTCACCTTGTCTGTAAATTTACTCATTCCCATTTTAAGTTAATCTTAAATTGCATTTAAAGGAATAAAAAAGTGATAGAAGTGAAGTTTTGTTTCTTTGGAATTATTAAAAAAATATAATTTTCTAAGATCAAAAAGCTTTGAATTGCAATTATTTGTTGATCGACACAGGTGGGCGTAATTTCATGCGATTTTAAAAATTTTTTGTGACGTAATTTGGAGACATAAAGGCGCCTTATTTATATCACATTTATTATCAAATTGCTTATTTATTTTTAAATATTTGCATCTCATTCTTTTGTAATATTTCTATTGTTATCGTTCTTGCCGGCATGTTTTAAGGTTATATTTCTAAATAGCTTTTAATGTTTGTTGTTTTCAATAAAAATGATTAAAATTATTTCTTCTCCATAAAAAATAGAAATAATTGGAATAGATAATGAGTTCTATATTTAGAAGAAAGTTGTTTTTATTTTTTAATTCAACAATTCGAACTCATAAACCCGTTGTTTCGCGAAGAACACAATACAGCAGAGCTGCAATTAATTCCACAACTGATATAAATCAGGTAAAAGTCTTATCAAGAATGTTAATTAGTTCTATTTTTATCGATTTAATGGAAAAAACCGAATTTTCTAATATTAATTATTTTTTTTAGTTTTCAAATGATGTTGTTCCCGTTTTTAAACATGCAACTCAATTTGGTGATAAAACTGCACTACGTGATATGCATGGCGATTATACATATCGTGGTATTTTCTTGAGTGCAAAACAATTTGCTAATGAATTAAATAAACTTTTTGGTGAAGGGCAACAAGAACGAGTTGCATTTTTAATGCCAAACGATGCTTCTTATGTTATTGTTCAATGGGCCTGTTGGATTAGTGGTCAAATAGGTATGATTTTTACAAAATTAAAAAAATTTTTTTTTTAAGGATTAACTTGATCGAAGCTGAAGTACGCAACGTTTATGATAAACGGTTTTTAAAGAAATATTTTTTAGGCAAAAAATAATAGAATTTTTTATTTTAAAAAATTATTTCTTTAAAAATCGTTTATCATAAACGTTGCGTACTTCAGCTACGTTAACTTGATAAAATATTTTCAGCTGTACCTTTGAGCGATCAACATCCACCATCTGTTCTTGATTATTATATTAGTGACGCTGATGCAAAAGTGATTATTACAACTATGGAATATTTACCTTTACTTGAATCAGTTGCAGAAAGAAGTAAAAGACGTTTAATAGTTTTCGATGATGTACTTCGAGTATCAGCAATGAAAGTTGATGGAAAAATAGAAAATAAAGCTGAGCATGAATTTGAAAATTCTCTCGATGCAGGTGTTAAGGGGAATTTCTATAATAATAGTAATGCTATGTTTATTTATACATCGGGAACAACGAGTAAACCAAAAGGTAATTATTTTAATAATTTTAAAAAAATTTTAAATAATTCTATTTTTAAGAATTTTTTAGATTGCTTTTTTTGTTATGTATTTTTGTTTTGTTTTGTCTTTTGCCTTTTAGTTGAGCAAAAATGTTTAGTTAAAACATCATATTTGTAGGTAGAAATAAAGTTGGTTTCAAATTAAAGTAATACTAAAAAAAATTAATTAAGGTGTGGTTCTAAGCCATAAGAATCTACAGGCCCAAGTTAATTCATTGGTGACTGCTTGGAATTACAACAATAAGGATATTATTCTACATACATTGCCTCTAAATCATATGCATGGAATTGTAAATTTACTCTTGTGTCCATTATATGTTGGTGCACGTTGTATTATGTTACCAAGATTTGAATCATCATCAGTTTGGAGTCAATTAATTGCTATTAATTTACAAAGTTCTGAACGAACAAACGTTTTTATGGCAGTGCCAACTATTTATATGAAATTAATACAAGATTATGAACAACTTTTTAGTAAACAATCAAAAATTAGGGAGTACATTTATAATGTATGCAGTACAAAAATTAGGTAAGTTTTAATTTTTTAAAATTTGCAATTATTTTATTAATTTAATTGATACATTTTTTTTTTTGCAGATTAATGGTTAGCGGATCAGCTCCTTTACCTAAACCTATTTTTGATAGATGGGAAAAAATAACTGGACATCGTTTATTGGAAAGATATGGAATGTCAGAAACTGGAATGACTTTGTCTAATCCTTTGGATGGCGAACGCATTCCAGGTAAATATTTCAAAAATCAATTTTTTGACGTAATTTGTAATAAATTTTGAATTTTTATTTTTCAGGAACGGTTGGAACACCTCTGCCAGGTGTAGAAGTTCGAATAACAAAATCAGAAGCGCAAAGTGGTTCCGATACGGCAGTTCTTGTTCATGGAACATCAGAAAAGAGTAATGTTGTTTTGAAATCTTCTGATCCTGTATCAGGAGATCTTCAAATTAAAGGTCCAACTGTTTTTAAAGAATATTGGAAAAGACCAGACGTGACTGCAAAGTCATTCACATCTGATGGATGGTTTAAAACAGGTAATTTTTTTAAAATTAAATTAAAATCAAAGAAAGCAGATAATCTAAAGAAAATTTTCCTTCTTTTAGGCGATACTGTTCAGTATGAAAATGGAATATATAAAATTCTTGGTCGCACTTCAATTGACATTATAAAATCTGGAGGTTACAAAGTCAGTGCTTTAGAAGTAGAAACAGTAATTTTGGGTCATCCTGATATTATCGATTGTGCAGTTGTTGGAATTTCCGATTCAACATGGGGCCAAAAGGTATAATAATCTTCTAAAGTATTCACTTTAGGCCTCTACAATTTTACGACCAATATATATGAGACCCTTTAAAAAGTATAAATGTGGTATAAAATTTTTAATTTAGTAATTTTTTTTTTATCATTTTATCACGATTTATAGAGGAGAAGAGTAAGATGACTACCCGATGACGCAAACACGAAATTTAAGTCTCAAGAAATGAAGGCAAGCTCGTGACCCTGTGTTTTACAGAAAAAGAAAAAAAAATGCCTTTCAATTACGGATTATAATTTAAAATTTCTTGAATTTTAATTGTTTCCATTTTGTATTTTAACCTTGAAATTAATTTATTATTTATCTAACACTAGTTTCGAAATGATAAGTGAATTATATTAAATTTAACAATTGTTATTAATAATTTTCTTGTTATTAATTTCCATATGGGAACAAAATAACAAGGGCTCTCAGTTTCCATTTAATTATATAAAATTGTTATCATTGAAAAAACTATATTTTGCCTTTAAAAAAGAATTTGATTTTTGATTATAGGTCGCAGCTGTTGTTGTATTGAGAGAAAATACAGAAGTGATTTTATCCCAATTGAGAATATTTGGTAAAGAATCATTGCCTCACTATGCAGTGCCCACTGTTTTAAAAGTAGTTGAAAAAATTCCCAAGAACAATATGGGAAAAGTTAATAAGCCTTATATTTTGACAACAATCTTTGAGGAGAAATAATAAGCATTTTTTGTATACCAAAAAAGAAATGGAATGATGGAGAACACTGTTTTTTTGACTTTATATAATATATTCATATATATTTTTAGAATATGGTGCGTTGTATAAGAAGAAAAAAAATCGTAAGTTATTCGATATTCATTTTTCTTTTGAAAATTAATAATTTCAATTATTTAAAAAAATTGAAAATGTAAGTCAATAAGGGATAACGAATTATTTGAGAGTTACTTAATTTTATTCATAAAGCAACAAATCAAAATTTGAAAAAAAAATTTCGTTGAAATGTTTTCATTTAATTTTGTATATTGAATTAAATGAAAACAAGTTAGCAACGAGCATTTTTGATATTTTGTTTTAATACATAGAAAAATATTTTTACTACCAAACTTTGTTGAACTTAAATTTATTTAGACTGAAGTAATTGAATTATTTGGTATATATATAATTCTTGGTGATATAATTTTTTATAACATTGGCTGTAAAATTCTAATCAGAAATATAATTTTATTTGAAAAATAAAATTAAATCGAACAAATTTTAATAAAAGTAATTTTTAATTTTTTTTAGTTTTTAATAAAAGTATTTTTAGTTTTTTTACTCAAAATGATAAAAATTAAAAACATTTCCTGGATATCCTATAAAAATCTCCATTAGAACTTTTAAAACCAATGGCATTGTTCTGAAAACTAAATTCATGCATTCTTTACATTTTTTGAAAGTTACGAATCGTTTGGAATTTTTTGGAAAAATGCGCCAGGGTATATTAATCATTTTTTGCTTTTGTTAATTTTCATTTAACCGAATTTGTTTCAAACAAACGACTTTTATGTACATTATAATATTTTTTTATAAAGATGATGATAATAATAATGAAAGAAGCATTTTTTTTAAAAAGAGAAGAAAAACAATTAATATTATATCTTAAAAGGTGGTCCATTGACAGTTCTATTGGTTTCTATATCTATTAATGACTGTTTTTTCACGTGAAGACTAAAAACAGCCGACAAAATATGAATAGTTCCCGCGCGCACTATACTCAAGAATCCCATCTTAAATTTCTCCCTCTCTGCGGACATTTAACAAGCTTACATCTTCAGTTTTCCAGGAAGGACAACATTAACGGATAAGAGATGAAATTCCATGTGTTGAAGAGATGGCAAAAGCGTATGCTTCTTCTTCTTCTTCTTCTTTTTCTTATTATACCAAAGATGAGGACGATCTATACATCGCCAATTTTTGTCTGTTCAAAAGGACATGAAAGAAGCCGATCAAAAAATCCAGGATCCAATTCTTCCAGGGGGGTCTCCTCCTCGAAACCGGATGGAGGTTTCGTTTATGCAAGATTATTCAGCCCGAGAGAGTGAGAGAGAGAGAAGGCAAAAATTCTTCTTCAGGTGGTTAAAAGTTTTCCTCTTCTTCTTCTTCTTCTTCATATATCCTTTTTTTTAGATGGAAATTCTGTTGCGACATATATAACATATATTACAAAGAGAGCCGATGAGAGATCGCCGGGTGTGCAACCAAAAGGAACACCCGGGGGTTAAAAGCGGTAATGTCGGGCGTTAAGAGAGATTTTTCGTTTTCAACATTCTTCCTACCTGAAATTTTGTCATTAAGACAGCGGGACCATAATGGACGAGTGAATGAGTGGAGAACTCTAAAATCGTGTTGCCGGGAAAGAAGAAGAAGAACAAGAAGAAGATGATGTAAAAAAAAAGTAGAAAAGGTCGACAAGTGAGTAGTATATTGCTTTGAGGATGATACACTCGACGAGAGAGAGATTTAGAGGGAGCGAGTTTATCTGTTGAAAATAAAGCCATTACCTGGATAGTACATGGTCATCTTTGAATCCACACACAGAGGAGAAGAAGAAGAAGAAGAATGGTGGGCGGGTTGACTGAAGCAAGGGGGGTCCACAATCAGAGAGAATGAACAGTAGTGGATGTCATGGGACACGAGCGGACCCATATGTGTGCTTTGTGAGAATTTCTACTCCTATACTGGGTGTCTCATCCTCGTAAAAGAATTCATTATTAAATATTATTACATCCCTCTTTGGAATCAGGGTGGCCACCCAACCGAGAGAATCGGGAAAAAACAAGGAACTAAAATTTTACACTGGGAGAATTTTTTAAATTTTTTCATCAAGTCGTTTATGAGATATGAATTTTTCAAAATTTAAGAATTTTAATGATTTTTTATTTTTGAATGCTCGTAACCTTCTTATAAATGCATCAATTTTAAGTTCTTTTTTCAAAATGTGTGTTTTTAACTGAACTTTTCAAAAATTTCATGCAAAAATTTATACAATTAAAATTTAATATTTTTTTTGTGATTTAAACTTTAAAATCATGTTCTTAAAAGTGTTTGTATTCTTTGATTTGTTTTTAATTTTCAAAATCAGATTTATTTTTACGAATTCATTTTTTTATTGCAATTTGACGTCAAATTCAAATTTATTTTTTGATTGCAATTTAAAAATCAAATATTAATTTATTTTTTTGTAATTTAAAATCAGATTCAAATTTCAATCAAAAAAAAAATTAATCTTTAAATTGAAATGAAAAAATAAATTTGAATTTAACGTTAAATTTCAATAAAAAAAAATTAATTAGTAAAAATAAATTTGATTTTGAAAAAAAAGTCAAATCAAATTATACATAATCGACACCATGGTCTGGTTGTGGGAAAACGATTTTTTCAATATTTTCAAAATTTTGAATTGAAATATTTCAGGACTTTTTTTTATGGTTTTCACTATAAAAATCAAATTTTTGGGTATTGTCACTTCATTTTCATAATCAACGCATCAAAATACATAAAAGCTTAAAAGTTTTGTAAAAGGAAGTAGTTTTTTTGAAAATTAAAAAAAAGTCGAAGGATACAAACAGTTTTAAAAACAAGATTTTAACTCTTAAATTACGAAAAATATAGTAATTTTAATTTTTGATGACATTTTTGAAAAGTTCAGTTAAAAACACACATTTTGAAAAAAAGTTTTAAAGTTGGATGCATTTTTAAGGAAGTTATGAGAATTCAAAAATAAAAAATCATTTAAATTCTCCAATTTTGAAAAATTCTTATTTCGTAAATATGTCTCCATGAAAAAATTTTGAAGGATATACTGAAAGAAAATTTATTTCATTGAACTAATCGGTTACTTATTATCAAATTAATATTTATATGTACCAAATAATTATTATTGGAGTCAATTAAATGATATTTGTTTCAAAATTATTTGTTCAAATACAATTTATTTGGTTCAAGTATAAATATTTATTTGATAATAGTCAAGTAATCAAGTATTTGAATTAAATAAATTTTTTTTCATTGTACAAAACGGTAATTTATTGAAACGGTCCTTTAAAATTAAAATATATTAATTTTCAGTGTTTTGGACCAATTTATTTAATTTACAACTATGCATATTACATAAAAGTAATGTTTTGCTCACAGTTAAATTGTAACTAAAAACTGGGAGAAATCGCTCATTTTTACCGGGAGAAAACCGGGACAAGAAGTATAAAAATAGTGGCCATCCTGGGAATTTGCTCTTTTAATTTCAAAATTATTTCAACTTTTCGAAATTGTTTTTTTATATCAAGTAAAGAAAATTCTAATGTAAATTTTGAAACCTACATGATTCTTTCAATTATTGGTATCATAAGAACAATTTTTGTAAATTTTGTTTTTCCAAAAAATAATTTATTTGGTATAGCGGATAAAAATATTGATTTTTTTCAAAAGAAGAAGAAGATTTTGATAATGAAGAAGAGGGATCACCGTGTATAGTTTTCTCTCCCTTGCAAGTGGCCTGTGCGTGTGGAGACAAGTACGAACGCGTTAGAGGGAACCATGGGAGCATGGGGGAACCACCGCGAACCGCATTCTCTACCTGTGTGGTAAAACACTCACTCTCAGGACCCCAAGGGGGATTCTAAAACAAAGACTACACTCTCTTTCTCTCTCTCTCTCTCTTTCAACTATATACACGGCCGCGTTGTTCTAACATCACCCTCATTATGAAACAATTTCCACGTCTCCTTTTTCGAACGATGAGAGAGAGAAAGAGGAGAACGTGCTTTAAGAAGAATACCGCGCGCCGCCTCTGCTTTCATCAGATCCAAAACCCTATTAGCCAATTGTCATGCGGTTTGCTTTTCCTCATATAAACGAGAGAGTTGGGCAGGTGCCATCCAATTTCAAAAATGATTCATAAACACGATACACACAATTTAATGGTATATATAAATATAAAAGGACTGCTGATTCATGAATGAGGAGAGCATCAAAGAAAGAGCGTGTTTTCTATGGGAACATGTTTATTATGAGGAATTTTGTGAGAAATTGTGGGACGTGTGAGATTTTATAACTCCTCGTCAAGAGAAAGAGAATGAAAAAAGAACTTGAGGTATTTATTAGGTGATAGGAATTCGTCTTAAATCGTTCATTTTATAGTTCATGTCATGACAATAAAGTCGCTTCAAGAATGTTAGAATTTAGTATTAGAATTTTATTCACATTAAATTGAAATTGCAGGAAAAAAAATTGCTAAATAACAGAAATTGCATGCGAGAAAGATCATATATATGAATGAAGAGATGTTAGCGACTGTTATTAAAAGGTAATAAATTTCAAAGTGGGATTTCAGGTGACATGTGAAGGTTGTTTAACATCTGGCGGTAAATTTGTTAGCATAGAGAAGAAGAAGAAGAAGATGATGATGATGATGATGATGAAGAAGATGTTTCCTGGGCAGGATGTTATATATAATAAGTTTCGAGTGCCCTTTGTTTCGAACTGTGTGGGCTGAGAAAAATCTTGATTTGTCATAACGAACCACTTAACGATGCTTAATAACAGCCTTTTTAAAGCCTCAGCCAGTGCCCTCCGATCCGCTCAGAAATCTCGAGTGATCTTGACGTGGATCTAGGTGTGGCTTATATACCCACATATATATATACGCTCGAGAGTTATATACGCAAAAGCATATTATATTCTCTTATTTGTTACCACACTTTAATATATCAAGGTGTTGAGCATCCATTGGGAAAATTGTTCTTCATTTTACAAAACAGGAAAAAAAAACATTTTTATTGTGGATTTTCTCAAATTTTCTTTTCTTTGAAAAAGAAATTTTTTTCAAAACTTTGATAAAAATTTCAAATCAACTGATTTTTTCCAAGTTGGTTTTTCCTGAAAAAATATTGATTAATTACATACAGAATTGATAAACTAATTTTTTACAATTCAAATCCCTAGATTATTTGACTATATTTTTGAAAAACATGAATTTCACAGCATTCCAACACTTCCGTCTTATATGCTAAGAAACATCTTTGAATTTAAACGATCTGCAGATTTCAAACTTTCTCTTTATCCACCCGCATCGATTTTATTATTAAAATTATTTTCTATACATTCAGTAATCATTTCTCAAAGTCTTGAGTGGAAATTATTGTTAAAAAGCTACTTTGTTAAGAAAGTGAAAGCTCAAAAATAAATAATTTTTAAGTTTAAATATATACAAAGAATGGAGGGAGAAAAGAGAGAGAAAATACAACTGGAATTTCAACTTTCGTGACTCGTATCGTATATTATTTAATGCTCACAATTTTCATGTTTATATATTACTGTTCTTTTTTTTTGTAATATTTAATTTAAAAGCTACATAAACAAATATTTTGTCAATTTTTAAACAATTCGAAAAAAAATAGTGAAAAGGAGTTTTAATTAAACACAATGGTTTGAAGGTGTAATTGCTAAGATTCGGATTTATTCTCCTTATGTACAATGGACAATTTTATGTGAATATCGGTAAACATTTGTATTTTTTCTTTTTTAAAATATACATCATATTCTCGATACTTTACAAGGCACGTTTTTTTTCCTTTTTTAAAATTATTTACAGTGTGTACATAGTTACCTATTCACACATTTTACATCGCAGCTAAAGTTACAAATATATATATATATATTTTCATATAATATTAACAAAAAAAATTTGTACAAATATACACGCTTTTTCCTAAAAATTCGTTAGCAAAAAAAAAATAATAAATAATAATCCTTAAGCAGGTACGGATTTACGTTAAATATTTCAATTTTGTAATTCACAAAATCACATACATAAATATATTACTCGCGTTAAAAAAAATTTTTTTTTTTTTTAAGAAAAGAGAGGGGTAAAAACTCAAGACGACACAGTGCCTTGTTTTTTTTTATAAATCTAAACACAGTCTAAGCTCTTTTCTACATACAAGTCGTTTTTTTTTCGAGACAAACTGTTAATAATAGTCTGTAAAAATGAAACCATACGGCAAATTGTAACGTCGCACATTCGCGGGAATCAGAAAATTACCGATTTTATGCTTGCGCATATGCATCGGGTTGTTGACTGTCAGTGACGCAACGTTGTACACGCATTCTTTGCACCAGTGGCGCGTGTACTAGAACGCAACTTTTCCATTGAATATATTGTTGTTCAAATAAAATCCGATTCGGTCCCATCCATTTTGAAACCATAATATATGAGGTTGTGTCAATTAAAAAAAAAACGGATCACACACAATATGGGATTTGATTTTTCGGCTCATTTTTTGAAAAATGTCCTTTCTCGATTTACAACCATATACTTTCATATGGTTACGCACTATGCTTGAATAAAAAAAAGAGAATTCAGCACAAAAATATGATACTTGACTTATAAACATCCATTCGTTTTTCTTCATATATGTCCGCGGACGCTAAATAAATCTATACCGGTTTTTGCTACAGCCTTATTAATAAATTACGCGCGTCCAAGGAGGTTTGGCTTTGCCTATCGGTCTCTTAGTTCATAGGCCGCCAAGTTTGTTGATTACTGAAACTGTAGAGAATGCGGCAGCGTCACGCATTCGCGCGTTTGCCATTCGCTCCTTCTAACGAGCAAGTAAGTTGGAGCATGGAGGCAAGTGGAGACAGGTCGCACAGTGTACTCATTTCAATCTGTTTGAACGCAACCTCTCTCTCTCTCTCATTTTATCTTTTTCTGTGGTGACTATACCTGCGAGGCACTCTCTCGGGTTTACTCGGCTCACCTCGGCATTCTTCTGCTCTTTTCAACATCTTCTTCTTCTTCTTCTTCAATTTTTAATTCTTCAGCGACAACCGCATCCAAGCACCGCCATGTCCTGATAGTTCTTCAAGACTACCTTATTCTCCTCATCCAAATAGAGCATTGAAATAGAACTAAGAGCCGTGGGTACACAACATGCTTTAGGCACTTGACTTGGATTTGTCGAGTGGACCAAATTTTGGACAATTGCATGATTCGTTGAATTAAGATGATCAGCGAGTGGAAATGGACATTCGCCATGGCAATAAAATGCATCATAACCGGGTGGTGCAACGATCCAATCGTTCCAGCCAACGTCAACAAAATCAACATAAAGTGGATGTCGACGGCAATTTTCCCTACCGTCTTTTCTTCGATGTTTACGTGTTGCTGCACGCCTTTCGCGTCGTTCTATTATTTGACTAGCGGTGGCCATTTTGTTCTTGCCATCGTCAGTGTAGATAAAGAGCGTTGGCCGATTAATGACCCAAGAATCATGAGACTCATCAACGCTACGTCGCAGTCTCACGTGTTCGACCTTCTTTATTGTCTCGTCACCCACTACTTCAATAAGTAATCCATGATTCTCGCTTGCCGCTTCTCCTTTTCTCAACCACCTTTCAACAGCAGGACGCACATCTAAACTCACCGATGAATTTTTTCTTCCATCCACCACTTGACTGTCAATTAACCTGAAAATTGGTTGATGAAGTCCCTTAACACCAGGTCGAATAATATCGTGAACCAATATGCGAACGGCACGTCGACCTTTTTGTCCATCGTCTGGTAGTGATACCCTCGACAAGGTCAATTGTGATGCTTCCAATTTTTCCGATTCAGGAACTTTCGTCACGTCAAAATGAAGTCGAAACCTGTATGGATTCTTGAAAGTTTTATCCAGCTTGCTTTCTGAAATAATAAAAAAAAAAAAACATTTTGATAAAAATTCTTTTGCTCTAAATTATTATTTAAGAATCGGATTAATTTAATAAAAATAAGAATCAGAGATCGAATTGATAGTATATATGAATAAACTTAAGCCTCTTTTTTTTCAATTTTTTGATGAATTATTAGCCTGTTACCTACTATTTACATAAGATCTTTAGGGAATAAAAGGTGTATATATTCTGAGCCGGCTTTTAGGGGCGGGCAAAAAAGACGACCGCCTGGGGTGCCGCCAAACCTCTTCTTTTTTCACGCGACCGCAATTGAAACTTTCGGAAACATATCTCTTTTACCATCTCTCTCTCTATATATATATATATCTAATAGAAACCAGAAAAAAAGGATCTTTAAATTAGATGTTAATAGATAGCAACAAAGAAAAGAAAAAAGAAATAGTCAATTGGGCATATCACCATTCTTTACAAAATTAAAAATAGTAATTCATTTTGTAAAATAATTTTTAGTATTTTCACTAATAAATTATTAATAACGAGCGCACAGTCTAATATATAAATACAGTTATATTCTTTCAAATCAAGATTGCTTTCGAATATTTACACTAAAGAAGAACATAAAGCCGATTTTAAAGCCTCTGTAAAATAGCTTTATAATCTTTCCTTGTCTTAAAAGGGTCTATATATCAGAATAAAAGTTTATAACGTGAGAAATCAAAGTCAAGCACCTTCCAATAAAGATTTTTAAAGCTTTTAAGAAGTTTTAATAAAATGGAAAGGATAAGTTTTTCAGATAACCGTTTTTTTAATGATTACCTTTTTTATAAACTAAATAATCCCCCAAAGGATATAGAATATTAAAAGATATTAAAAGCAAATTTTATATCTAAAAGAATCATTAAATTTTATATTTATTATTTAATATTAAAATTTTATATTTTCATATTTTTCATTGTCTACATAAATATGTTTCTATTTTAATAATAATTTTCTTCATGGTGACATAAGAAAATTATGAATTAAAAAAAAATCGTCTATCATATATAATTAAATTCGTGAAAAAAAAAATAATTGAGGCGCAATGACTTTGTTCAGTCTGTGGGTGGTCCTCAGGATGAAGTTTTTTCAAGGATAATTTGTATAATCCGCGTGAGATAATGGACCTTGGTTACTGTACAATTTAGCTTCGAATTATGTACCTCTTAAAATCGGAAACTTTCCATTTTAGCTTTTTATAAAACGCGCGCATGTATATCCTCGTTTAAAGATAAAACTAAATGTTAAAATGGATTCCAGAGGGTTGCTTTTATATATTATATGAGCATAATAATTATATCGCTTATCGCTATTTTCCCCTGAAGATTATTTCCTTTTTTCCCCGATATAAACCGACACAAACAGTGTAAAAATGTTTGAAAATAAAAAAACCATATTTAAAATTTTAATAAATTCAAAATATTCTATAATAAAATTATATCTAAAGGTTAAATTTATAAGTTCTATATTTCCATAAAAATTTATGTTACGCCATTTATATATAGTTTTTTGATCATAATAATATTTTTAATATCTTTCGACGAGGACAATTCACTTTATAAAAGTCTAAAATTATGATTCTAATTTCAATAATTGCCGAAATCAAAAACCTGAATGTGTATAGTTATTTACAAAGTAAATTCTAATGTGAAAATTGAATATTAATAAGAATAATCATTAATACTTATTAATATTAAAATAGTGTTTATAAAAAGAACGAAAATAATTTATTAAATGAGATCAAAAATTGTCACCCAGCTGGTATATATAATGTCATGCACTGATGCACAATTTCATACTATAAAAATTGACTGACAACCTTGAAGGTTGATTATCAGTGAACTGCTATACAAAGCTGAACGAACCTTCTCTTCACATTTATGTAAATAAATTATAAAACACGAATCTAGAATTGAAAATATTGTGTTCACTGATCATTAATTTGCCTTTAAGGACATATTTTCTGAATCAGAAGGTGTTGAAAACAAAATTTGATTATTTAAATTAATTAAAAATTCATTAAAATAATTCTACTGGTCAAATTCTAAAAAGAATTCAAAACAGAATTAATTATTAATTAATATTAAAATAAAATTTTTTGGAAATCCTAATCTACTTTTTATACATTTAGGAAATTAGTCGGAAAATGTAAAAAAACCAAATACTTAAGAGATTTGTATAGAGAGAAAAAAAACGCAATATATTCACAGTAGTAAGTGGTCCGGTAAATTCCTTTTATATATAGTATGTATACAAAGGTGAATTGATTCGAAAAGTAATTTCCTCTGACAAATAAAAACGTAAAAGTAGCAGACCTATATACATATATAGGAGGTAAAACATTGTTCATTCTTTTTTGATGGTCTCCATTTGGTCAAATAGAGGCTTTACCTTTTGTAACTGATATTCACGGCACTCTACCTTTCTTTAAACCAATTTATCGTTGCCTATTCTAGTGTCATTGTATCGTGCTAAGCCCCCAAGTCACGGATACGCCCATAATTCATTCGAAAGGACCATTGTCCACCTCGAGCACTAACAGCCGTGCAGAGCTGCTGGATTTAATCTCAGCTCCCAATGGACCAAAGTTAAAATATCAACATCAAATATAGGCGCGAGCCACTTCTCTTCCCCATTGTATAATATTTCAACGCTGATTTTTCTCTTCTCTTTCTCTCTCTTTCTATATATATTTATATATGTTAAGTATATATTAAATTATAATTAAATTATAATTCAATATTATAATAAAATATATAAAATTATAATTATAGATAATTAAAATTAATTATTAATGATTCTTTTAGACAAAATTTACTAACTTTTTTAAATTAAAAAAAAAACTTAGTAATTTATCGTCCTTGGCTGATAATAGATTTAAAAAATTTTAGCCCCTCATGTTAACGAGAGGTTAAAATTCGTCCTACCTGACAATAAAATAAAAACGAAATAGCGAAACTAATCGTGGGTGGAGCGAAACTAACGTCTAACAATGCTCAAAACTTGATGCTTTTAACTAATAATAGTTAACTCAATTTCATATATAATTAAATATTTCTGACTCGTAAAATTTTTCTATTATGCTGACTTTTTGTCACATGTTTGTAATGTATTTTAAACATTGAATTTTATCATTGCAATCTTTTAAAAATATTTTTAAATTATATACATTATATTAATTGAAAATAATAATTAATTAATAATATTTTAATTATATTAATTATATATACGTTCCCAAATTTCGAAATATATATTCACGAGATGGATTTTTTCTGTTTTTGTTTTAAAAGAAAAATTCACTAGTAAATCAGTGGAAATAGTATTCCTATCAATATAACAAAAAGAATTTATTTAAATATTAAAAAATAAAAAACAATTATTTTGGTTTTACGTGTACTTAAAAAAAATGTTTAAAAAATTAAAGCCAAAATTTAATAGAGAAGCATAATTATATAATTTTATTTTGAAAATTAAAACTGTTTTAAAAGTATATAAATATAATAAACAAAACTAATTATTTTTTGGCTTCTTATCTCCATTTAAAAAAATTATTCCCTTTTTTTGATAAAACAAATATTTCAATCTATACATTACTTTCTATTTCGCGGAAAAAATTTAAATTTTAATGAATAAAAATAGTTTTTTTACACACACTCTGAATTAAATATATATTTCTGATAAAATAACTAACCGATATGATTGAAGGCACGAACTGTGTTTGCTGAATTAGCATGTATTCCTCGTTTAGCAATATTAGCTGTTCCAAGCATATTTTGACGTTTATAGAGCTTTTTTAATGACTCAGGAACGTGTGCTTGTTCAACTGATTTGGGCCGTTTTGACATGCCCAATAAATTAAGAATTTCATTCTCAACTCTGGCAATTGCCTCTTTACGTTCTTTAGAACTTATTTGTAATGGCATCTCGTCTTCTCCGTCAATGAGCGAATTTGCGCTCGCCAGCAGCGCACCCGCTGCCGCTAACACCAATCTCAGCAGCAGCAACATGCGCATCGTGACGTCAGTCACTGGCACTGCCACTCCTAAAACATATATAAAAGAAGAATCATTAGAATTTTTAAAATTGTTTTTAACCGGTTTTCTTACTTTCTAAAAGAAAGAGACACTACTTCTATTCTTTAGCATCACTACATTTTATATATATATATATATAGATAACGACAAAGTTCAATAGAAATGGAAAATTCTGTTATAACAATTTAAAAAAAAAAGATTTATAAAGAAAAAGATAAAAAAAAAATTCCTTTTAGAAAATTCCAAATAACTTTTGTTATACATTGAACGTTTCCAAGAAACCGCATATATTTTATATGTCTTGAAATTTCGACCATAGCACGCAGTTAAATAAGAGTAGCGAATAGTTTGTTATTGATACCAAAGTAAAATTCTAACTAGTTCACAGAAAAAGCTTATGTGAAATTCGAGTATATCTAAAAATTCTTCGAAATTCTATATAAAAGGAACAAGAGTAGCTTATAATACAAACTTTACAATAATCTTAAATTACACTCAAATGGGGTAATTCGGACAGTTAAATTTGGAATGTTAAAATATCTGCAAAAAAAATATATTCAGATTCAAAATCGTATTTTAAAAAAAATTCAGTCTCAGGACCCTCGAAAGAGAATATCTTATCGGGAGTTTCGCGATTTATTACAAAGAAGAGCTTGTCTTATATAAATTCTTTTTTTTCTAACCCCCCCCCCCCCACTCCCCAAGAAGAAACCCTGTTTGATATTTTACAAGAGATCAGACCAGATAAGAAGAATGACAAACATTATTCAAAGTTCTTACATTTCTATATATGTATATTGAAGCAATAATTTTTGACTAAAAAAAAATCAACGAACAGAAATATTTCCTGATGATGATAAAGTTTTCGTTTTCCAGATGATTTAATTAATATATGTAGAGGAAAAAAATATATATGAAAATGCGTGCGTAACGCATACTTGAAAATCCATTATATTGAGACTCAAATTAAGAGTCAGCATCGTCCAGCTGCGCGACGAGATGAGGTGTGTGTTTATTAACCATCAGGGCCAAAACACCTGCGACTCATGCAAACAGCTTTCTCTCGTCGTGAATATATATATGCATTGCTTTTTGATTTTTCACGGAAAGGTGAACCACGTTGTGCACACGTGATGTGTCGTTACATTCATATATGCGTGCACTTTAACTGTTAAATATATATAAATCTCCTTAAAATCGTTTATTTGAAAAATTTTTCTTTTTTTTCCCTCAACAAAACTGAAAAAATCTCAATCTGCAATTTGAAATGTGAATTTTATTATTTCTACAATGAAAATAAATGTAAAAAAAAATACAATTTCTTTTTTAAATTTCAAATCAATAGATAAAAATTGAATTTTAAAATAGCAATTTTTTTATGTTAAAATAAAGAAATTAGAAGAAAATTTAAAAAATGATTATTTCGAGCACAAATGCAAATTATTTCTCATATATAATAAAGTAGACAGAAAAGAAAATAAAAAGAAATGAGGTTTGAATTTACAAGATTATAACGTTCTAGCAAGAAAAACGAACGAGGGAAGTGATAAAGTGCTCTCTGCCCATTATCTCATTAAAGTTCTAAGTAACAAATCACGAGCTCCAATCAATGAATCGTGATTGCTTAAAGTCAATTCAATCCCATGTTTTATTCAAACCGAATACATTTCGCTAATATATCACTTGGATTTTTTTTTCTCTCTATTCTCTATATTTATGAAAATTTTTCGACAAGATTATCGCATGATAATTACAGAAATGTTCTCACTGTCATTGCGAATAAAATTGCAAAATGAGGAATATATTTGAGAAGAAGAAAGGTGGAACGACGTGGCTTGACCTGTGTCGGTAGAGCGAAGTATATATATAAATATATATAAAGGAGGGAAGATAGAGTTGGAGACGGAAAGGCTGCCGTTGTGGAGAGGCTAGAGCCAGGCTGTCTGCTGCAGACTCTTATAATCTTGCTTGCCAGATCTCAAGCTACCGCCCGTGGCGTGTGGCGTGTATATATACGCAGACTCTGGATCGCCGGAAGGGACCTCGACTCCAACAATGCCAAGGATCCCGTCAATCGTCGACCAAGAAGATGCGCGTTTCTGATCTTATCGTTCTGGCTCTCTTTTTTAATGTCGGTGATTTTACCTCTCCAATTCTGCTTATCGAGCCTCTCTCTACAGGGACTAATTCAGGGCCGGTGGCTTCCTTTTCTGGTTCATAATAATTGAAGAAGAATAAGAATCTCGACAAACTATCTTACTTCTTTTTTTCTCTCTCGTCTCAAAATAAACTTCTTATTTCTTTCTTTCTTTCTGTAAAACAAGATTTATCATTTGAAAAATTTGATAATTCATTGATCTATTTAAAAATCTTTTTTCATTCTCATCATGAAAATGAAAAAATGAAATGAAAATATTCTAGTTATAATGTAGCTATTGCAAAACACTATACAATCTAGTTATTTAATGAAGGTCAAGTTCCAATCACTTTCATTTCAACCGTTTATTCCACACTCGTACCTTATTCTTGTTTCCTCTATTCTAAAAGAAATAATAATTTTGATAATAATCACATTTCTAATTGAACATTATGAGTCACGTTTTTTTTAAATTCTAAATTAGTGATACGTGCTTCTTAGTTCAAGATGACGAATTTTGGTTAGAATCTTTGGTTCATCTAAATGAATTGAATGCTCTTGTTTACTTATTCTTCTCTTTAGTCTAATTATAGCACAACTACAAAAACAACTTGCGACTATGTTTACGAATGTGTGTATATAGAACTTGGTGAATTTCAATTAGTTTTGCAATTACCGTTACTGAGGATAATAAATATTATATTACTCCAGATAAAATTTGTTTTTACCAGGGAAAAATAAAATAGTTTTTCAAAAATTTTTGGATAATTTCTTTTGCAATCGATTTTACTGTTCCAAGAAACCCTCATAATCCCCTAATTTTTGAATGGATTATGGAAATTCAGTAAGTAACAATAAACCAGTTGCAACCAGTTGTAATTCTTGAGAAAAATTTAAGATCCTTAATCCTCGAAATATACCAGTCAACAATAATAGAAGAAAATTGGTGTACATGAATTATTACCATCAGGCCAACACTTCTCAAAAGCAATGTACGATTCTCTAATGACTAGATAACCAAAATAACAAGTAACAGACAGGTACATTTCTTCTAAACTATATATTCTTGTCCCTCTAATTTATGTGCCTCTCTTCTTATCCTAAGAACCAGAATGTTCTCAATTCACATTAAAAGAAAATAATCCTCAAAGTTTATTATTTTTCTTTTGCAGTTTCTTCTCTTTAAGTTGAATCATCCATTCAGTTGACTCATGATTTATTGAAAATATTCATCTGCAAATACTCTATTCAATGAAAGAAAAAAAAGCCAAGTAAATTCTAAAATAATCCTTGTTTCTCATCTAAACAGCGCTGTTAAACATTCATTTATGCGAGAATACTTAATAGTTTATAATTGAACAGCTATAAAAGCTTAGATGCGATCAAATTTAAATTTTTCAATTTTCCCTCAAGATCCACGTGCAGATTGAAAAATAATATAAAAGAATTTTTTTCATAGTGATCTATTTTTTTTTTTTTAATTCCATTTCGCCAATGGAATGACGATAAAGAGCCTGTTTTGCTTCCGCGCTCTCCTTAAGGAATGCGAGAGATATAAGGGTAAGGTCTTCAAAGTGGATGGCAACTATAAGGCACGTCATCATCAAAAATAATAATCGGACCAAAAAAAAAAAAAAAAAAGACTCTCTCAAGGCATTAAAAACGAGAGGAGGGAATCTTGTTTCGTGCATCAAGAATCTCACCTGAGGCTATCAGGCATATAACTATACAAAATATAGATATAACATGTGTCACGCAAAATGAATCTCACCTAGCTAGCCGTAAGTCCGTAGTGTAAGCAGCCACGGCATCTCAACGAGTCTATGCACTATATGTAATCTCACTCTCAGCAAATCTCACTTGGCACCACCACTCACCATTCACAATGTTAGAATATCAAATTAACACAATCCAATCTATTTTTTTTTTTTACAGAACCGATTGAAAACAAAACACTTTTTCTCCAAGTCCAATAGATCCGAAAGTTGATATAGCACTACGTAACGGACACTCTTTTTGGAACCAGAGAGCGTTGCGTCCAAGAGAACAGCTTGACCGTAACTGCGACTAACGGAGGTAGAAGTACTCTTGGCAACACACAGAAATCGAGCCAACCGTTTCTATAATATGTGTCCAGTTCACCGAAGCACTGGGGTGACTACTACTGACTGGTCGACGAGAGCTCGAGAGCCGAGGCCGTCGTGAAAGAAGGAGCTGCTGAGTTCCCAAGATGTTTGGACAGGGCTGAATCGTAAGCAAAACGGGCCCCGTTCTCAAGTAGGTCCCCTTTTCAGCCTGAGAGAGAAAGAGCGAGCTTTTTCCTTTTTCCCCACCAACTTTTACGAGAGCTCTTCTAACTTCTATGGAGGATGCTCCTCTTCAGCTCGACCTATCTTCGGTTTCTTCCCTGCAAAGTCCTCCTCCCCCCCCAAACATTTGCTTTTCTACACGCCCCATGGGGCTATCTCTACAAAATTTCAATCTCCAATAAATCTTGTATAAGAAATTGCACGACTTTTCGAATCAAACATTTTCTTTCTCAAAACTAAATTTCCAAATTTATTAAATTTTCCAATCTTTCTAGATTTATAAAAATTAGAAGAATGTAACTCAACAATTTATATCTTATTTTCAATTCTAATCTTCTTGAAAACTCACTGATCTCTGATGACACTACTCAGTAACTCCTCTCTCTAATTTAGAATCGATTAGTCAATGTCCTTCCAAAAAAACAGCTTCCAATTCATTCATCCTCCAAAATAGCATTGATCCCAATTGACATCAGTTCCCATGCATTTCACCGCTGTGTGTTCCCTTAAGCCGACCCAATCGCTTTCGCTTCGGTGGTCAGGAAATTCTAAGCAGATAACAATCGTAGTTTTTTTTTGTCATGAGACACCGAACGCAACTCATCTTCTCAACTACTTAGTTTTTCTATATTTTTTTTTTTTTTTGAGAATTCGTCTTTAGCACTCTCTTGCTGCACTCATTCGTCGAAACGCGTCGAAAATGAATTTCAGAAATGCGATAGGCTTATCGGCTCTTTTCCATAGATTTCTCGAGAATACTTCTCTCTCTCTCAAGAGAGAGAATAAGAGAGAGAGAAAAGATTTTCGAGAGTGAGATGAGGATTAGAAACACAGGAGTCCTGGGGGCCATAGCAAAAGCTCTCGTGTGTATTTTTTGAGGCTGACTCTCTCGACAGAAAGAGTGCCGCCTCGGAATATTTATGGGGTTCCGAACTGGACCACCCGGTAATTAAGACGACCCTGAAGTTGGGGCGGAGCAGCAACCGGCACGATATCCTACCTTGTTCCTCACCGCCATTCCTTCCTTTCTCTTTCCCTACTCCTCTTCTTCCCCTAAAATCCTCCACCCACCCTCTCCCATCCTCTGGGATGCTGCTGCCTTCCCTTCACCATCTTCCAATACTAAATACAGCTATATACAACAACTCTCAGGTTCTATCCATATTTGCTGATGATATATACTTCACATTATAGGCGTTACGTGAAACTGATTGAAGTTATTGGTTGCGCAATCCATCGACTTGAAGTGCGCTCTAGATATATATAAACAATGATTATCGATTCCACCAATGGAATTTTTCTTTAGTTTCATTCATGAATTTTTTTTCTATCATTTACAGTTTATTGTTACAGGGTTTCTTCAAAATTTCTCTTCGCGAAATTCCATGATTTCTAGAGGTGATAAATGATAAAATTTCCATGATACTTCAAAACTTACTATAAACATATAAATTATGATGAATTAAAATAGTGAAAATGGGTCATTTTCAACGAACGCGTAAATTCTTTAATGGAATTGAAAAAATTCCATGACATGATATCAGAAATTTCATAAATTTCAATGATTCTATGATCCAAAATAAATTTCCATGATATTTCCATATGTTTTCCATAATTTGTAGAATTAACCCTATAATGTGTTAATTATCCCAACAATGAATTATCCTAATCAGCTGTCTACTAACCAGGAAATTTTTTTTCAAAGAAAGTTATTAATTTATTAAAATGAAATTTTTGCATCGGATTATGTAAGGGACGCATGAATAAGCAAAAAAATTTTTTAGAACTATATGATTTTATAGAATCTTATATTCTGTAGAATATTAATTTTGCAGAATATTTATTTGTTCGAATATTAATGTTTGAGAAAATGCAAATTGTCGACAATCAATTTGACAGAATTTTTATTTAGATGAAAATTAATTTGCCAGAAATTCAATTTGATCGAATCTCAACACTGTAAAAAATTTTGGGAATAATCACTAACTTTTTATGGTGAATGTTCCAAAAGCTTTGGGGAAAATACTTTTTCCCAAATTTTGGGAATAATTACAAACTTTTGATGAAAATTCACCAAAAAATCGTAGGGAATAATCCACAAATTTTTTAGGAAAATTTTTTCCTAAAAATTTTTAAATAAGTTTTTGAAAAAAATTTTCCCCAATAAATATTGGGGAATATTCCAAAAATGATTGGTGTATTTTACGTCACCAGACTTTTTGGGAATTTTCCCCAAAAAATTTTTTACGGTGAATTTGATCGAAACTTTATGTCTAGTAGAATCTTATAATTTTATAGAAAAAGGATTAGAAAGAATATTAATTTTTGCAGAATATTCATTTGTTTGAATATTAATGTTCCAGAAAATTAAAATGGTCGAGTATCAATTTGATAGAAATAATTCGACCGAAACTTCAAATTTGACCAATCACAATTTTCTTGATAATTTATATCTGATTGGTCAAATTTAAAGTTTCCGCCGAATTATTTCTATCAAATTGATACTCGACCATTTTAATTTTCTGAAAATAAATTAACACTAATTAAAAATTAAATTATTAACTTAAATTTTTTAATTTTTGTTTAAAACTTAAATACATTAATATTCGAGCAAATGAATATATCTGCAGAATTGTTATTCTACAAAACAAAGTTTCGATTAAATTGATATATTTGATCAAATTGAATTTCTGTCAAATTAATTTTTTTCTAAATAAAAATTCTGTCAAATTGATTTTCGACCATTTGAATTATCTAAGACATTAATATTTGAACAAATAAATATTCTGCAAAATTAATATTTTAAAGAATAAGATATTCTATTAAATCATAAATTCTAAAAAATTTGGTTTAGAGCTTATTTATGCATCCCTTATGTAACTTTTTTGAAGTAAAATTAATATTTTGAATTTTACAAAAAATAGAATAAAATAAATATATAAACTTGAAAAACAATTATTTTCATAAAATATAGTCAAATTTCCGTAGATATTTGTAGATTTATTCATGCTTACAAGAAAAAAATTTAAATTTTTGACAAGAAAAAATAAACTAGAAAAAATTAGGAAATAACCGGGAATTTTTTTGAACGAAATTAGTAGACACCCTGTATAAATGGAAATTTACGTTATTTTCAATTCAAAATGGATCATTGTACTTAAAACTAATTTTCAAATGAAAATTATATAGCAATAAATCTCTAATATGATTTTATCAAAATTCAAAATATTGAATCTACTTGCTCTTTTGTTTGATTTTAAATTAAATTATAGTCTTTTGTCTGTAGGTCACTCGTATTCTATATTTCTACTATATAACATATAAGAACTATATATATACGAACTAGTTTTAGAATCATGAAAACAGTCCTACATTTCGATTCGTTATATATATATATATTCCAATGATATTATTCTCAGTAAAAAGGAAATGTAAGACTACGCGAAAAAGCAATATAGGATATATAAGATTGTACAAAACCTGTAATGAATTCTCAGACTTGGAATCATAATTTTCCTCGACACATTGATGCAAACCCATGCGTGACTTCGTATATACATTTCTTCCATTATTTCCAAACAGATATCCGGTCACGTGAATATAATTTTACGACGAATTTTCTTATATGTATATATATATACAAAAATCTTTTCAATAGTATAATTTTTCCTCAATTTCTTCGCAATCGCAGTATGCCAATTATCTGAAAAAAGCACTGTCGTTTTTTCTTAATTCTGAAAATAATAATTAATTTTTTAAAAACGATGATAAATGAAAAGAAAAGAAAAAAATTATATTTAATGATCATGAGTTAATTGTCAATAAGGGATTCGAGAAAGAAAATTTTATGAGTACAAATCCATCATCAGAAGAATCGAGTTCAGACAATCTCCACTCTGCCACCTCTCTCAGAATCCCATTAATGATGGCGTGGGTTTTACTAAGAAATCTCTAGCTGAGTGAGTCTCCAAGCGGAAATGGTGTAAATGTTGAATTAACTGGGAATTGGGCAGACAGCTCGGCGCGCATTACTCTCGTAAAGCTGTGTGGCATATCTCTATATAACGCTAAATAAATATACAGAATCCAATAATCAACTGATGCTAAACGAGCCTCTTAAAATTCTCCCACAGACAATATTATTATCCTCACACGGAATAAATTATATTTATCCTCCCCTCGTCCTATACTCATCTTACTGCATATATATGTATATACATTCGTGCGATTTGTTAATCAAATCAGTATAGAAGAATATTTTTAATTCATAAACTAAAAATATGAGTAACTGTTTAAAAAAAGAAATATTGAATTTTTTATCTTTTATATATATAGTTACAATAAAAGATTTTTCCAAGTATTTAGAAAATTAACACAGAAATATTTGCACATAAGTTGTAATTTTTAATTTAAACTAAAATTGTCCCCAAGTTACAAAAGTCTACGCGTCTTGAAATAAAACCTACAATTCTGTACTTAGTCTCGAAGACGCATCCTCTGTAATCAACTATGCTGCTGACACACGATATCATGAAATTCTCCGTTCCAATTAAACTACATACTTATGTATTACACACTACATTGTCATATAACTGATAAAATTTTACCGCAGTCAGTTTTTGAGTTCTGGTATGCGCTATGCGGTATTTCCGGTTCCATATAAATATATATTAACTTTTATAATTAAAACATTAATCATATCCAATTATTTTGGATAACCAATTTAATTAAATAAAAATCCGATTATTTTGGGCAATAAATTAAAATCTAAAAGTGAAGGTCTTACTTCCGCCTTTCGTTTTTTTATTTCTAAAAATAAAAATACGTTAAGTAGAATAAAAAATTATTTATATACTGAAAAAAAAATTTATTTGATTCAAATAATTACTTGACTATTATTAAATAAATATTTACTTGATGCAAATAATTTTTGAAACTAAATAATTGAATTAAATAATTGTATTTGAAACGAATATATCATTTAATTAACCAAATAGTAATTATTTGATACAAGTAAATATTTAACGAATCTGAAGTACGCAACGTTTATAATAAACGATTTTTAAAGAAATAATTTTTTAAAATGAAAATTTCTATAATTTTTTGCCTAAAAAATATTTTTTGTCGTTTTCATTAATCAACAAATTCTAAAAAAATATTTTTTAAGCAAAAAATTATAGAATTTTTCATTTTTAAAATTATTTCATTCAAAATCGTTTATCATATAAACGTATGCGTACTTCAGCTTGGTAAATATTTATTTGATAAGTCAAGATTATTTGAATCAAATAAATTTTGTAGATTTGCCTCTTTTTATAATTTTATAAACTGTTGGAGTGGATCAGGAAACCTGAATGCATGTTTCCTATTTTTTATTGAACTCCACGAGCTGATGATTTTCAAATTAAAATATAAATGAAAATTTGATAAAAAAAATTAATTAACTACTTTAACTTTTTTCCTTAAGTAAATAGTACTTAAATACACCTGTACAATAACAAGAAATAAATAATTTGATGTTTATCGTCGTCGTTCGAATTTTTGCTTTTGTTCCTATTCTTCTTTTTTTTTATTTGGAAAAAAAGGGTGGTCTTAAATGGAGTGTGTACCCAAACACTGTTCACGGTTTATTAGAGATCGAACGAAGGATAAAATAAAGCTGACATTGCTGCAGGTACAAAGACAATGGAAGGTATGGAATCAGTTCCAGTAGGTACACTATACCAAAGAATTCTCTCTCCCTCTCTCTCTCTTTTTCTCAAGTTGCCGGCATGGCCTTTAGTATTTAACTGCTATAAGATAGTTGACTTTTATCTTCCAGTGATTTTTTTCAAGCCCACTTTCTGGATCCCAAAATGCACCGTATTTCTTCCGAAGTTCTCGGTCCTTCCGAATACGCAACTGATGACTCACTGAACCTAATAGTGCGACACACACTCACATTTACACACCCAGTGAGAAACGACGAACCGTGCAAAAGTGCTCTTTACCTGAATAAACATTCGATCACTTTCAAGATGTAAAGAATAGATGACTTCGAAATCTCATCAGTGCGGTCCCAACAAGGCTCGCGTGTGATATGCTCAAAAAAAAAGAAGAAAAAGAAAAAAAAATACAACATCCAAATAGAAATGTCTCTCGAGAATAGAAATTCAATTGAAAAATGCTTAAGAATTCCATGATATAAATTAAGTGCCTTCTCTTTTAAAATTCCTAAATCACATTCTTAAAACAAAATTGACAAATTTTTGATATTGAATTTAAATGTAACCTTCCGCGTCAATGATTATATTATTTCTCAATATATACGTAATTGAAATTCAAAAAATATAAAATCAAAATAATAATTAATTTTCAAATTGGGAATTTATTAGAATTTTTATATATATATATATATATTTTACGCAAAATTGTGAAATTATATTTAATTTTTCAATTCATTTTAAGAAAATCAAAATAATAAAAAGAGGAATTTTTTTCATTCTTTCGATAATAAGTTTTTTAAAAAAAAACTTCAACTCATTAATTTTAATATAATTTGTTTCTCAAGAAAATATGGACTCTTCACGACTTTTATTTTCACCCTCTGATGATGTCTTTTTTTTTTGTCAACACATATTGTAAACACATCATTGTCAAGCACTGCGAATGCAAACTACTGCGATTCGAGATGTTGTCTGATGCAAAGATGTATATACTCATGAGAAAAGAACCGCGTGTGAAACCAAAGTTAGAATGAGATAAAGAATAAACATTTATATGATCGAGAGAGGAAGGTATATATACAGGATGAAGAAATCGCGACCAGAGAAACAATTCGCGGAATCGTGACGACGGGAACGCGCGCAGATCTAAATCAGCGCGCTGAAAGAGCATGTCTCTTGTACTTTTGTTTCAAAACCATTCTTGTTTCGGAAAGGTCACACGACCCTTCGATATGGCAGTTCTCACAGCCACTGCCCTGCGGCATGTATTCTGAATCCTCAGCCGGCGGTAAAATGGGTTCCACGAAGGTGGTCTCTTTCATTCGGCCACACAAAATGATAGTCTGAAAAGAAGCGAAGCTCTCTAGCATATCTCTTTTTCGAATATATATATATATATATATATATATATATATACGGTGGGTGGTTGATGGCAGTCCATTGATAATTGGCAGTAATGTGCATTGTTTTCAAAGCCCAAGTGGGCGGAGTCATCGTTGAAAGAGACACAGAAAATATCATATATGAATATTACTCGCACAAAAAACCTATAAAAACCTCACGAGATTCGGCAATTTGTTTTACTCTAATTATACGCCTCTCGATTTTTCGGAGTAATAAAACATCACGTCAAAATAAAATCAATATATATATAACTAGAAGAAAAGGATGCAATTTTTTCAAAATAAGAAATATATAACATTTTTCCCCATTTTAGAAATATTGTATACATTATTGTTAATTAGAGGGTATAGAATTGCAAAAGAATTCAAAAAAAGCTCATGAAACGAGTCATTCACATATATTTCCAATCACACAATATACGACTGTGAGTGCGCGGCGGTGACGTATACTTCAATCTTAAGTGTTTTTATTTGAACAAACTTAGCGTTAGATTGATAATTTTTTTGACCTTGAAAAAGTTTCTCTATATTTGTTATTCAAATTATAATCCAACAATTAGACAATCGTTGTAAAACGTTCTTGGTAAATTTAAGAAAAATCTTATGCACCAAAAGGAGCAATTTTCGAAAATTATATAACTATATAAATTCCACCAAATGCAATTTGTTATAACTGGAATCGGTCATTTTTTTTATTAATTCTTGTCACTTTTGATAGATTTTTTCACGCTGGTTACATAAAAGTTTTTCTATTTTCAGGCCTCGGATCGACTGCTTTAAGGTACAAAAACAGTCGTTTTAGTCGATTTTTATTTTAAAAAATTTAATTGGTTAATAAATATTTTACTTTAAATAACTAATGTTATTAGATATTACATAAATTCATTTTACTAATTCTGCAATGAGAATAATTATATATATAATGAATATTATCAAGAAAATTTATTTCGAATATTTCAGAATCGAACTAATGTAAGACAAATTTTCAAAATTTTATTTAAGTAGAACAAATTTCTAAAAAAAATTCTTAAAGTTCCATTATTATAATTTTTTGAAGTCAGTCTGATATAAGCAATTTATTCGAATTAAAAATTTTGTCATATAGTTTTTAGTACTGATGGGCAAAAAAATTTCAGGCAATAATACTTATAATTAAGTGTTTTACAGATTTTTAAATAATAATTTTGGAAGATTTGAAGTTGAAATTTTTAGAAATAATTGAATTTCAAAAGATTTTGTTAATTTTCAGACAGTAATTAAATTTTACTGAACTTAAAGTAATTTATCAAATAATTTTAGATATAACATTTTTCAAAAGTAATTGAATTTTCAAAGATTTACAATTTAGATTTTTGAATGTATAATTGAACTTCAAGTGATATTTAATTTCAAATTTTTGATGATTTCTATTACTAAAAAAATTTATGATATAGAAATTGTAGACAAAAATACAATAATTTGAAAACTTTTTAAGTAAAAAATGATTTCATATAGATATTAGTTGAATTTTCGAAGAATATTATAAAAATCATTAAAAATAATTGAATTTCAGAAAAGTTATATAATTGAAATTATTAAATTTCAACAAATTTTAGAAAGAATAAATTTGAGAAATAATTAAATTTTAGAAGCTTTTAAATTGAAATTTTTGAAAATAATTGAATTTCAAAAGATTGTATTAAATTTATCAGACAATAATTATAAAAGAAATTTTTAGTGATTTCTGTTGAAGAATTTATTAGAAATCACATATACAAAAATTGAATTTCAAAAGTTTTTAATTGAAAAATACTTTCAGATAATTCAATTTTCAAAGAATATTATAAAAATAATTGGAATTTTTGAAAATAATTAAATTTCAACTGATTTTGAATTAAAATTTTTTAGTAATTTTATTTGCTAATTTTTTTAAAGCAATTATTAAATTTCATAAAAATTTTAATTGAAAAATAGTTTAAAATAATTGCATTTGTGAAGAATTTCATTAAAATTATTAAAAATAATTAATTTAGTCAAGAATTTTAGTTAAAAATTTGTCGAAATTTGTTAAATAATTGAAATAAAGAAGATCTGGCTTTGTATACTAAAAAAACGTATTTCGTTTAAAAATTTTTTACTGCAAACTTAAATTTCTTATTTACGGTTATATATAAAAATATCAAAAATTATATTTATTTGCAGATTCATAAAAAAAATTCTATAAAAAGTGCAAACTAATTATTTTTCTATACGATTATATATAAATAATAGAAATTATTTTTATTTGAAGATTTAAAAAAATCTCTGGAAATAAAATAGTATTGAATCAAGAAAACCTGTTCACTTTTGTCTTGATTCAATATTTTCTTGATCCAAGAAAATTTTACTAGTTTGAAGTATATATATATTTTCTTGAATTCAAAAAATTAGTGGAACCGATACGAACATATAAATGATTTTCTTGAATCAATGATACTTTTTTTCAGTGTATAAAAAGTGCAAACTTTAATTATACTTTTCTATGATTATAAATATCAGAAATTATTTTTATTTACGTAAAAAAATCTATAAAAAGTGATAAAGGGGGCAAAATTAGTAAATCGAAGCGTTGTTTATCTTTTCTTAAGCGAAAGAAAAGTTACGCTACATATATGTATATATATATATATATGTATATTGTTTTCAATTCGGTCCAATGATTTACTACGCTGTAGGACAAGGCAAGCATTAGCATCAATTGCAAATTATATTTGTTGTATTGGTACTTAAAAAGAGCCACTCTTCCAGTATAACTACGCAGTGTGTGCACCTGCATGCATGCATTCCGTGGCATGTTATATAGCATCTGGTGAGAAAAGCCAGAAACCCACCTGTTCGCTAGCTCGTCAGCCAGCTGTGCTACAAGAGCGAGCCAGTCCTCAAGTAAACAGGTCTATTGGTATGTGTGTGAGCGCGAAGACTTCCAGAGAGTCCGTATATACGCGACGAGTATTATGAGCACCTTCACAATCCTATATAGCAATCGTTTGTCGGTGGATATTCATGGAAGTACGTCATATTCAATTTAGAATCGGAAACCAAGACGTCAAGCTGCTTTTGGTGTATATATAAATGATTCCAATGTGATTAACGACCTCATTGATATTGTTACATCTTTCCAACGAAAATCATATCTCCAATATTGTATATATACCTACAATCAAAATCAACAATTTAGATCTATAAATTAATTTTAAAACTATATCTTAAAAAATCTACTTTTCAATTTTATAGTTTATTACAAAGAAATAAAAATCAAATCACTAAATATTAATTATATAAAAAACTAAATGAAAAAAACAAGAATTATTTCAAAAATAAACATTTAAAAAAGTACTTATTTCCTTCTTATATATATAAACAAACATTACAGACTTTAACTTGTCATCGGCAGTAGCTTTAGTTTACAAGGACCATTCACCGAATGTCAATCGTTTTCTACTCTTTTGTTCTTGAAAACCTGTTGCATTCTTTCGACTCCGAAGCAGTTATATATACATATAGTATTACCAGTCGCTTCAACATTCCAGATATCTGGTCAGAAAAAATGTGTTAGAATTGGTGCGTGCATTTAAGAGATCGCATACGCCACAAAAGCGAACAAGACAAATCATATATATATATATATTCTTGGAATTCACGTCTCACAAAATATTTAGCTAAAAAAAAATCTAAAATCGCGAAACATAGTAATTGTCTACGTCAGGTAATTACATGGTTCTGATCTCGGAGCAAAAGGATTCATCATGATTCGAAAAATTGAGATTGTATATTGTAGACCATATATTAAAGTCAAATGTATGCGGCCAAAAACATTGTCATTACTTTTCGGTGTGCTTAAGAGACCTGTTTTAGAATAGGTTTCGAAATATAAAGAACACGAGAGCTATAAGAAAAAAGGAATAAAATGATGACGAGAGAAAAAATAATAAAAAAAAGAAAAAAAAGATTGCAAGATAAAGAGACGTGAGTTTGCGATTAAACAGCATTCTTATGAAGTATAAAAATATTTAAATTATTAGACATTTAATGACCTAGTGAATTTATAATTTTATAATCAATTTCCTTAAAGGATATATATTTTAAACTTGAACTCCCAATATCATGAATATGATCGTAATTTTTTTTTAAATAAAAGTTCTTTTTTTCTTTGTTAAATTGTTTTTCAAACTAAAAATAATTAATTTTTCTATAAAAAGAAATAAAAAAAGGAAAATTTATTATAATTATATTAATGAAAATTTAGAATTTTTTTATATATAATTTTAGGTCTGAGCTGTAACAAGATTTTTCATCGTTGGCGTTTGTTTTAAAGTTTGTAACTCTCGCAAGAGAGCTGACCTGACTATATGTTGCCTGGAGGGAATATATTAATGTAGAAGAAGCCAGAACCATCAAGGCAATCTCGCAAGCGAGTCAGGCAAGCAAGTCCAGGAGAAGGCAGACAGCGCGTCGCCTATTCCATGCTTGGTGCTGCTGTGCAACTGACGTTTACCGTCCTTAAACTAACAAGGAGACTTGCCCGTTTTTATATGGAGAATGGAATTGATTATTAACTGGAATTCGTCCTCGCTTATAAGTCAAATTCCAATTTAACTCACAAAAAATTAGAAGAGAATATATATGTATATACAGAAGAAGACGAATTTAGTATATATAATAAAAAAAAACCAATCAGTCTTCTCAAATAAAAACAAACGATATAAATTCTTTATATGAGATTATAAACGAAACAATTTTTTTTTCTTTAACAAATTGATGAAGTAACAATCATGTTTTATGGATTTTATAATCGGAAAATAGAAAAAAATATATATTTCAACTTTCACTGTGAAGAAGAAATAAGGTAATATACAAAATCTTTGATAAACGTAAAACTTTCATAATCTTTTGAAAATTAGAAAACTTTAATTATTTCTGAGAATATTGAAAAATCAAAAAAACTATTAATTATAGCAATGGAATAAATCCTAACTAAATTGTTTTATAATTGCGGAATTTTATTGCATATACATTGCAATATGAAAAGTATAAAAAAAAGAGAAGAAAAAAACATTGCACTGCTTATAGAAGCACATAGACTAGATTTTCATAAACTTGGAATATCTGATCCTAATGCAAAATATGCTTACGTACATGCAAAGTCGATCGTGCGTAAAAGATTTATTTATATTAAACACACCTACGGACCTCATAAAGCCTTTCAGTAGCATCGTTTCTTACTAGAAAATTTAAAATTCTAACTTTTTCCTATATTCAAAATTCAATTTCATTATTTACAATGTTAAAGATTATTCCTATTTAATAATAAACGAAAATTAAATATGGAATTAAAAATTGAACAAGTCTAGACATGCAAACCGGCAATTGTTGAATAGAAAAAGCACGTGATTTTCTTAAAATTAAATGCAATCAATTGAATTTGTATTTTAAATCACATTTAACAAATATTAAGATTCTTTTACTAATATAATGGATAACTCACCAAATCATTTCTTCTTTATTGATATTGTTATTATAATTATCAACTTTCGTCACTTAACATCACATCAGTCGCCATCTTGGTATTATAACTGCCATTCGTTCGAAATTCAAATCTGTTCTTTGCCGGTAAAAAAGAAAATTATTTTATTCACATGAAAAATTAAAAAAAAAAAAAAATTTTAATAATTTTTCTTAATTATTTTATGTAAAAATAGAAAATTAAAATAAAATATTTATAATATTTGCAAATATAAAATTAATGTTAAAAATTGTTTATAAATAAAATTGCAATTAAATTCAAGATAAAGTTTTTAGAAAAAAATTTTAATATTTTTTTTTAAATTCTGTAAATTATTAGTTTTTATAAACAAATATTCACCTGAGTTAAGAAAAATTGATGACGCCGAAAGAAAAAACATACTTTTGGTTTTATTTTACTGAGATTATTTTATTCCATCTTTTCGCCTTGTAAATAAATAAATAAATAAACAATAAATTAAATAAATATACGATACAAATTTTAATATTATAGTAAAATTTTGCTTTTAAATTTTATATCGAAAATATAGTGGACAAACATCACAACAGATGTCGAATTGACATGTGAAATTGGTTGTGAAGTAATTTTTAGGTTAAATTCTAAAGTCTTATCAGATTTGATTAAACTATTTAAATTTCTTATATTTACCAAAAAAATTAGATAAAATCTAAAATATTAGGATTAAACTAAACTTAATTGTTTAAATATATTTATAATTTATATAAAGATTATATGATTTTTTAGTTATTGACAAAATATTCTGTCACTTTCAACCGTGCTTCCTGTCAGCTATAGTGAGCAGTTATACCAACAAAAGCGGAAAAAAATACCAACCAATTACATTTCTACCAACATAATTAGAAATTTTTTTTAACTGCTTTTTTATTGTAATAACCTTCCAAACCCTCGTTTATTATTTCCAATTTTATTAATAAATTTATTTTTTTTATTTTTATTTAATATTTATTTATTTATATATATATATATATATATATATATATATATATATATATATAATATTTAATCTTTTATAAAAATTCAAAAGTCGCGCTATAATGCCATCTAGCGACGGCAATAAGTCACAAATGTCAAAATTTTTGGTTACATTTCTTGTTGAAAAAATTTTACCTAAATTTTTTCTTTTTCTTCACAGCTACCATGAAACTTTTATGAATTTTATATTATTTAAATAAAACATTACTCAATTATCAAGAAACATGTGTATAATTAGCGTTAAAATTAAATAAATACATTGTCGAACATAAAATAGATTTCCTACTTTCTGACGACGCCATTTGCAATGAACCCTAATGCCAACCCAAGATTAAAAAAAAAAACAACTAAATTTTTTCACTTCTACCAACATGACATCGATTTTTATTACGTCATTAGTGGAAAACAACAACGTGGTTTACAAATTAATGAACAAAAACAAAACAAATAATGAAAATTTGTGATAAAATTTAACTATAGATATTATTAATTGTTGAAAAAATGTAAAATAAAGTCAAGTGTTATTGATATTTATTATAAAAAGTAGTAAAAAATGTTGTCAAAAATATTTGTTTATGAAAAATAAGTTTTTATTATTATAATTTATTTTTAATGAATTATGGAATTGTTTTGTTTAATAAAATATTCTTCTTTTTTAATATATAATTTAAGTGTATACTTATTTGTTTACTATTTAAATATTTATAATTCGTGGGAAATTTATAAAGATTGGTGGTTTAATGAAATTAAAAATAATGAAATCTATGATTATATTGTTGGTAAGTAAAATTTAATATTTTAAAAATTATTAATTAAAAGAATTAATATCGTATTTATATTTATTTTAAATTTATTCAAAATTAAAATAAATATAAATATTTTTATATATTTCTTTTATTTATATGAATAATGATTAAAATATTTATATTCAAGTTGGAGCAGGCAGTGCAGGTTCTGTACTTGCTTCAAGATTATCAGAAAATGGAGATAAAATTTTATTAATTGAAGCAGGAGGAATGCCACCATCTCTTATAAATATCCCAATTATTTCACCTGCACTTCAAGAAAGTATTTACGATTGGCGTTATATTACAACGTCCCAAACTAATGCCTGTAAGGGTTTAATTAATAATGTAAGTTTATTTAAAAAAGCAATTTAATTTAAACTTGTCTTTTCAATTTGGTGTATATAATTTTTATTAAACAGCAAAGCATTTGGCCAAGGGGAAAAGTTTTTGGTGGAACAAGTCGATTAAATTATATGATTTACGCTAGAGGACATCCTGACGATTTTAAAGAATGGTTTCCAGATTTTCAAGGTATAAAATTGATATAAAATTTCTAAATAACATTATTTTATTTATTAATATTTTTCAGAATTTTCTTTAGAAGAAAATGAATATGTCAGTATAAATGATTTAAATTGGTCCACAAAACTTACAGAGAGTATTTTAAAAGGTGTTAATGAAATGGGTTATACCGTTCAAGATATAAATAAAGAGAGGAATACGGGTAAATAAAAGAAGTATTAAATAAAATTAATAATTTTTGAAAAAAAAACTTTTACGAAATAAAATATTTTCATCTAGGTTTTATGAAAACAAAAGTGTTTATGAAAAATGGTGAACGTTGGAGTTCAGATAGAGTTCTTAAACAAAATAAAAATAATTTGTTTATAATTAATTATGCCAATGTTGACAAAGTATGTATACATATGTATAGATTATAACGAATATAGAAATTTTAATAATAAACAAAATTTATTTTTAAGGTTCTCTTTCAATTAAAGAAAGCAATAGGAGTTGAATTTTCAAAATTAGGTAAAACATATAAAGCATTAGCGACTAAGGGAATTATTTTAAGTGCTGGAGCAATTGGTACGCCAAAAATTTTAATGCTTTCTGGAGTTGGACCAAAGAATCATTTAGATGAATTGAAGGTAACAGACAAGAAGATGAACAAATAGTATAAATAACTAAGAATTTCATATAAATAATTTATAATTTGTCTATTAGATTGATGTCGTATCTGACCTACCAGTGGGTCAAAATTTAATGGATCATTTAATAACTGGTTTGGATTTAGTGATACTTAATTCTAGTCAACCTGTCAGTATTATTGATCTTCTAAATCCTTTGTCAGCGTATCAATATTACTTTCATAAAAAAGGTAACTAAAAATACATTTTCTTTATAAAAATGCATTTAATAAATTTAAATGTTATTACTTTTATTCTAAATTCTATTAGGATTATGGAGTTTTAACGGGATTGATGTAATTGGCACATTTCACAGTTCTTTACAAAATAATATATCTGCGCCACCAGATTTGGAATTAATGGTAATGCCTATAGGAATTTCGCAAGATAATGGAATTAATTGGAGGAAAGCAATGGGTATTTCAGATAAGGTCTATATTTTTTAAATATATATTAATTATTTAGTTGAACAAATTAGAAAAATAAAAATTTAGTTCTAGTTTAGAAATCAAATTATCGTAATTTACGCTTTAAACCCTACAGGTATTTCAAGAATATTTTGCACGCCTTACTTATCAAAATGTAGTTACTTTAGCGCCAGTTTTATTACATCCAAAAAGCTTAGGAGAAATTAAACTTCAAAGTAAAAATCCTCGTGACTCCCCAATTATTAATCCTAATTATTTATCGAATAATGAAGATGTTAAAACTTTAATAGAAGGTAATTCATTTACATCAAATATTCAAATATCAAAAGAAAAAAATTATAAATAAATGAATTAAATAAAAATTTAATTTACAGGTATTCAATTTGTTAAAAAGTTATTAACTACAGAAACTATGAAACAATTGGGAGCAACACTTTATCGAAAACCTTTTCCTGGTTGTGAAGAAAAAATTTTCGATAGTAAAGATTATTGGGAATGTTATATTCGCCATTTGACGTTAACTTCCTATCATCCCGCAGGAACTTCTAGCATGGGATCAGTAGTAGATAAATCATTTAGGTAATAATTATTTTTTTTTTTTAAAGATGCAAAAAATAATTGTTTTGTTAAACTAATAAATATTTTTATAGGGTGTACAATACAACGAATTTGTATGTTGTCGACGCTTCTGTATTTCCAATTCTACCTAGTGGAAATATTAACGCAGCTGTTATAATGCTTGCCGAAAAAGCTGCTCAATTATTTCAACAAAGGCAAAAGAATCAATTGTTTGGTAAATGTCACGTCAGAAATATATTTTTTCTACGATCGTCAAATGTTTTCTAACCAAAATTAATTTTCTTGTTATTAATATTTTTTGTTAATATTCTATTGAATATTAAAAATGTTAGTATTTATCAAACAAATGTCTATTTTTTTAATATTTATGTAAAAAATATTTTGATACTAAATAGCTTTAATTTAACCTAACAATTTCTATCATCATGTTTCCTACATTTCAAGAGAAAAATTCACAACAAAATGTTAAAATTACATCGTTTTCTCTTACATTTGTTAATTTTTCTAAACTTCAAAAATACAATGGAATCAATAATGGATACAAATAAAAAAGAAAAAGAAACTCAACTTTTTATCAAAAATATTGGTGATAAAAAAAAATCAATTAATTCTCCAGCGGAAAATTATTTACCTCCTGAATCAAGAAATATTCAAATAAAAAATACAGAAGAAGTGATAAACAAAAAATTTATTAAAAACGTTAGTGAAATTTATGAATCTGGACATTTTGTCTCACTTTCCAATAAATGTTTAAATCATGGGACAAAATTAAAACTTCTGATAACAATTTTATCAGATCCTTGGCATTATTTGGCAAGAAAAGCTATTCGAGAAACGTGGGGAATTTTTGGCAAGAGAAAAGATGTGATAATATTATTTTTTTTAGGTGCAACAAGTGATCCATATCTTGAAATAAAACTTGCTCACGAGGAGAAAATTTTTGACGACATTATACGTTGTAATATCTACGATAGTTATACGAATTTAACATTAAAAACAATTTCCATTCTCGAATGGGTTGATAAATATTGTTTTAACGCAAATTACGTTTTAAAAACTGATGACGATGTTTTTCTAAATATGCCTCGACTTTTGACATTTGTACGTGTTCGACTTAAAGTGAATAATGTAATTTTTGGCAAAATATCACCGAACAAAAAACCACACAGAGACAAAGAAAATAAATATTATGTTCCAATTATACAATATAAATTTTCCGAATATCCACCATTTGTAACTGGTCCTGCTTATTTAATTTCTGGCAATTCAATACATCGTCTACACAAAGAATCCCTGAATACGATTTTTTTGAAATTAGAAGACGTCTTTCTAACTGGAATTGTTGCCGAAAAATTAGGAATAAAAAGAATAGACAGACAGGAATTTGTTAATAATCGAATTTCCTTTAGCGTTTGTCAACTTCAAAGAAGCATAAGTTTACACAGCATCAAACCTAGTGAACAATATGATCTATGGGAACGTCTTTTTGAATGTAATCCCAATTGTCCATATTTTTGTATACATAAATCTTCTAAAGCAATTTTAATGAAAAATAATTTTATTTTATTGACAATTGCTTTTTGCACAGCATGGCTAATATAATAATCAATTACATTATCATGATAAGACTTTTTTTGCACAAAATAGTACAATAATTATATGTTTACAAAAAAAAGTTTTAAATTTCATTTTCAAAAATTAATATATACTTCATTTTTTTTTATTATTCATAATGTATCTTTCAAGATAGAAATATAAACTTTCTGATGAAGAGAATCATCTTTATAAACTATTGTCATATCCTCTATCTTTTGAAATAAATACAAAAAGCAATTATTGAAGAGCTTTTTTCTATTTTAAAGTTTAAAAAACGTAGTAAAAAAAATTGATTATTTTTCCTTACCAATTTTAAGAAACAAAAACAAAAAAAAAGGAAAAATTCACGAGAAAAATATTTCAACATATACTTAACAGCTATTGCATACATGAAAAATCACACAAAATTTTCATTTTAAAAAATAAGAAATTTAAATTTAGTAAGATTTCTGAGAAATGTGTGTTGAAATTTTAAACAAAGGAAACAAAAAATGGTTGAATCATATAATTTTAAGATCGATAATACCTTCTATCATGTCGTCTACTACTTTCGGGGCGATTATTACTTTCTTGTCGGCCATCACTTTCATGCCGACTTCTACCATCATGTCGATTGCTGTTGTCATGTCTATTACTGTTCTCATGTCGATTTGAATAATGTGGACTGTCTCTATAATTATTTCTAGGAGACGAAGAATAATTATCTCTTCTGTTATCGCGTCCATGATCGTTATTATATCTTGTTTTATTTCTCTCTGGTTCACGCTGATAAGGATGTCCAGAATAATTTGATTGAGGTCTTCTTTCCTCATTGTTATAAAATTGAGGCTGGGCAAATTGATTCGGTTGCATTAACATAAGCGGACTAGGATAATTGCCATAAATTAATGATGGATTTGGTATACATTGAAGCATTTGTTTTCCAAATTGAATTAAATCATTTTGCATAGGTGAAATTGTTTCTTGTGGTATTTCATTAGTTCTTGATTTCAAACTAATCGTTCGATTGAATAATGAAGTTCCATCAAATAAATTTATAGCATAATTCACTGAAACTAGATGTTTATATGTTATAAACGCAAATGTTCGCTGTTTTCCATCACGATCCTTTGGAATATGAATTCTTTCTAATGGTCCAGCCTATAATTGTTTTTTTTAACTTAGATAAAAGATTCATTCATTTCGTTTATTCTTTAATAAAATGATTTATTTATATTATCAAAATATATATGATCATATATTTTGAAATGAAGGGAAAACATGTAAATATTTTGAAGGTTATGTTGAACATTAAATTCAATAAAATGCCTTACATATTAATGTATTTTTAATACATGGTAATAAAAAGTTTTTAAACAAAAAATTACTTACACGTATACTTTAACAAATAGAAATTGTAAAATAATAATGGCAAAAATAGAGATTATAATACCTGTAAAAACAGCTCATATAGTACATCATCTGAGACTTTTTCATTCAAATTTCCACACCAAATTGTTCTTTCATCCTGAGTCATGATTATTTGACAATTTGAACAAGTTTTATATTAACTTTAATAACCAACTTTTTAATAAATTGTTAAATTTTATAGTCAAAGTCAAAACATAACACACTGTAAAAAAAGTCAGTGTTATTTGACATCGTATTACGATGGAAATTTTGTGCACACGTTAAACCTGTGGATTGACATGCAGCGTGTATTTAAAGCCCAAAGAACAGTCTCTATAGCGGGAAATTCAAATTGAAAGAAAAAGATAATAAAACAAAATTGATTATTAATTAATTATTAAATGATCATTAATTAATAATAAATTAATTTTTCAGTAAATATTATATAATTATTAAAAATAATATATTTAAATTATCTCTACCTCAAAAAAAAAATTGTTGCGTTAAGGAAATACTTTTTTTTGACAATTCTTTTCTGTGAAAATAAAATTAATTAACTAATTATTGATTTTTCTAGTTAATTAATTTTTTAAAGAGAAAAATTGCAAGAAAAATATTTCCTGACCCAAAAAAATTGTTGTGATGAAGAAATAATTTTTTTGGCAATTTTTCTCTCTGAAAAAAATTAATTAACCAAATAAATCAATAATTAGTTAATTAATATTTTTACAGAGAAAAATTGTGTAAAAAATTATTTTCTCATCACAACAATTTTTTTTGGGGAGGGAAATAATTTTTTTGACAATTCTTTTCTGTGAAAATAAAATTAATTAACAAATTATTGATTTTTTTAGTTAATTAATTTTTTTTACAGAGAAAAATTGCCAAAAAAAATATTTCCTGCTACAAAAAAATTGTTGTAATGAGGAAATAATTTTTTTGGCAATTCTTCTTTATAAAAATAAAATTAATTAACTAATTATAGATTTTTTTAGTTAATTAATTTTTTTTACAGAGAAAAATTGCCAAAAAAATATTTCCTGGCAAAAAAAATTGCTGCGATGAGGAAATAATTTATTTGACAATTCTTCTCTTTAAAAATAAAATTAATTAACTAATTATTGATTTATCTAGTTAATTAATTTTTTTACAGAGAAATATTGCCAAAAAAATTATTTTCTGTCAAAAAAAATTGCTGCGATGAGGAAATAATTTATTTGACAATTCTTCTTTGTAAAAAAAAATTAATTAACTAATTATTGATTTATCTAGTTAATTAATTTTTTTCACAGAGAAAAATTGCCAAAAAAATTATTTCCTGCACGAAAAAAATTATTGCTATGAGGAAAAAATTTTTTCACAATTTTTCTCTGTGAAAAAATTTATTAACTAGATAAATCAATAATTAGTTAATTAATTTTTTTTACAAAGAAGAATTGTCAAATAAATTATTTCCTCATCGCAGCAATTTTTTTTTGACAGAAAATAATTTTTTTGGCAATATTTCTCTGTAAAAAAAATTAATTAACTAGATAAATCAATAATTATTTAATTAATTTTATTTTTAAAGAGAAGAATTGTCAAATAAATTATTTCCTTATCGCAGCAATTATATTCGGAATAGCACTCAGAAGAACTGGGTCGATTAAAAACAAATAAGTGACAAGACAAATTATTTTTTTCGACAGATACTGCCTGTTAATAGGCAGCCGATCTGCGAACATTTTCATTCTCACCCCTTCTTTTTCTCTTCCGGCCAATGAGCGATCGTCTTCAATAAAATTCATCCAGTCGTAGCGCGCTATAGAATGCAAGATATCGCTAATTTGAATAGATCAATCACGAATCGAGAAACGATTTAAGAATTACCCATGTGATTTTTGCGGAAGATACTCGTGATTGGTTGTCATTTCTCCCTCATTTTTGCAAGTTTCAGCCGATCAACTCAGTATCAGTTCTACTGTCTTCTACATCACATATGGTAAGTGCCACATTTATATTAAAATAAAAGAAAATTTCCCAATAATAAATTTTTTATTTAATTGAATTGATACTAAAAATATTTTATAGTACTTTTTTAACTCAAGTTATAAAAAAAAAGATGTGAAGTGGTGAGTTTTTAGTCTGGTGGACCACGTGCCCGTGAAGATTCAAGATATATTATGCGGGTTTTGTCTCTGTTTTCTTTGTTTGAACATTTTTATTTCGATTTCAATGTTTTTCTCAAATTTATTAATATTTTCCAGTGAATCGCGAATAAAAAATTTATATTTAGTTATTCGTGGCACGTTTATTTCGTTTGTTGCTAAAAGAAAGGTGTCGTTTTTTCTCAAATAAACTAAATTCATTTAAATTTCGAAATAAATAAATGTTACAAAATTTTGAGATAATCCTTTTTTTCAAAATTCTCTGCTTTTTATTAAGGGAAAATGTGGCAAAACCGGGTACCTTTTTTGAATTGCCTTTTTACAGAGAACCAAACGATGAAATTAAGAATTCTTTATTAAACCTTTTATTATTCGAAAATCAGGATGATTGTTGACAAAAAAATTAATAAGATAATTTGTATTTTTTAAAATAAAAACTAACAATAATTTTTATATATAATCTTATTAAAAAAAATTCAAAGTTTTTAAAAATTAGTTAGATAAAAATGTTAAATCTTGGAAATACACTGTTTGCGTTTAATTTAATTTAATTAATTTCGGAATGATAGATTTTGATTGATTCTTAATAAAATCCTTTTGATAGAAAATTATTAAATTTTCCAGCGGATAGAATTTTAAAAAATATGTATAAAAAGCTAATGATTAAAAAGTATAAGAATTTCGGAATAATAGATTTTGATTGATTCTTAATAAAATCCTTTTGATAGAAAATTATTGAATTTTCCAGCGGATAGGATTTTAAGGAATATTTATAAGAAACTAATGATTAGAAAGTATAAGAATTTCAGAATGATAGATTTTGATAGATTCTTAATAAAATCCTTTTGATAGAAAATTATTGAATTTTCCAGCGGATAGGATTTTAAGGAATATTTATAAGAAATTAATGATTAAAAAGTATAAGAATTTCAGAATGATAGATTTTGATTGATTCGTAATAAAATCCTTTTGATAGAAAATTATTGAATTTTCCATCGGATAAAATTTTAAAGAATATTTATGAGAAACTAATGATTTAAAAGTATAAGAATTTCAAAATGATAGATTTTGATTGATTCTTAATAAAATCCTTTTGATAGAAAATTATTAAATTTTCCAGCGGATAGAATTTTAAGGAATATTTATAAGAAACTAATGATTAGAAAGTATAAGAATTTCAGAATGATAGATTTTGATAGATTCTTAATAAAATCCTTTTGATAGAAAATTATTGAATTTTCCAGAGGATAGGATTTTAAGGAATATTTATAAGAAATTAATGATTAAAAAGTATAAGAATTTCAGAATGATAGATTTTGATTGATTCGTAATAAAATCCTTTTGATAGAAAATTATTGAATTTTCCATCGGATAAAATTTTAAAGAATATTTATGAGAAACTAATGATTTAAAAGTATAAGAATTTCAAAATGATAGATTTTGATTGATTCTTAATAAAATCCTTTTGATAGAAAATTATTAAATTTTCCAGCGGATAGAATTTTAAAAAATATGTATAAAAAGCTAATGATTAAAAAGTATAAGAATTTCGGAATGATAGATTTTGATTGATTCTTAATAAAATCCTTTTGATAGAAAATTATTGAATTTTCCAGCGGATAGGATTTTAAGGAATATTTATTAGAAACTAATGATTAGAAAGTATAAGAATTTCAGAATGATAGATTTTGATAGATTCTTAATAAAATCCTTTTGATAGAAAATTATTGAATTTTCCAGCGGATAGGATTTTTAGGAATATTTATAAGAAATTAATGATTAAAAAGTATAAGAATTTCAGAATGATAGATTTTGATTGATTCGTAATAAAATCCTTTTGATAGAAAATTATTGAATTTTCCATCGGATAAAATTTTAAAGAATATTTATGAGAAACTAATGATTTAAAAGTATAAGAATTTCAAAATGATAGATTTTGATTGATTCTTAATAAAATCCTTTTGATAGAAAATTATTAAATTTTCCAGCGGATAGAATTTTAAAAAATATGTATAAAAAGCTAATGATTAAAAAGTATAAGAATTTCGGAATGATAGATTTTGATTGATTCTTAATAAAATCCTTTTGATAGAAAATTATTGAATTTTCCAGCGGATAGGATTTTAAGGAATATTTATAAGAAATTAATGATTAAAAAGTATAAGAATTTCAGAATGATAGATTTTGATTGATTCGTAATAAAATCCTTTTGATAGAAAATTATTGAATTTTCCATCGGATAAAATTTTAAAGAATATTTATGAGAAACTAATGATTTAAAAGTATAAGAATTTCAAAATGATAGATTTTGATTGATTCTTAATAAAATCCTTTTGATAGAAAATTATTAAATTTTCCATCGGATAAAATTTTAAAGAATATGTATAAAAAGCTAATGATTAAAAAGTATAAGAATTTCGGAATGATAGATTTTGATTGATTCTTAATAAAATCCTTTTGATAGAAAATTATTGAATTTTCCAGCGAATAGGATTTTAAGGAATATTTATAAGAAATTAATGATTAAAAAGTATAAGAATTTCAGAATGATAGATTTTGATTGATTCGTAATAAAATACTTTTTATAGAAAATTATTGAATATTCCATCGGATAGAATTTTAAAGAATATTTATGAGAAACTAATGATTTAAAAGTATAAGAATTTCGGAATGATAGATTTTGATTGATTCTTATTAAAAACCTTTTGATAGAAAATTATTGAATTTTCCAGCAGATAGGATTGTAAAGAATATTTATAAGAAACTAATGATAAGAAAGTATAAGAATTTCAGAATGATAGATTTTGATTGATTCTTAATAAAATCCTTTTGATAGAAATTTATTGAATTTTCCAGCAGATAGGATTGTAGAGAATATTTATAAGAAACTAATGATTAGAAAGTATAAGAATTTCAAAATGATAGATTTTGATTGATTCTTAATAAAATCCTTTTGATAGAAAATTATTGAATTTTCCAGCGGATAGGATTTTAAAGAATATTTATAAGAAACTAATGATTAGAAAGTATAAGAATTTCAGAATGATAGATTTTGATTGATTCTTAATAAAATCCTTTTGATAGAAAATTATTGAATTCTCCAGCAGATAGACTATTATATAACATTAATGTAAATTTTTTGATAGTAGAGTATTATATTTTTTACGGATAGGATATGATAGTTCGTTAATACATAAAGTCGATAAAAAGTTATTACATTTTCATTTGGATAAAATTTGATTAAATTTTAATCCGAATCTTTTGATAATGTAGTATTAAAGTTCCAAGTTATATTCATTTTGATAGAAATTTTATCCAAATATTTGAAAGAGAATGATTAAATGTTACACTTGCTATTGAAAATGATTGGAATTTCAATATTTGATAAATTTGGATTGGAATTTCACTTCATGTTTGATAAAAACTCTATCAAATCCAATACTTTTCAATACTTTTTTTAAACAGGGATGCAGGACGCAATATACTAAATATTGGTCTCATTCTCAATGGGCTTTTGGAACCAACAGCTATAAGAAATCCCGAAAATTTCAATGCCTTGAAGTCGTTCGTAGAACATTTGTCGGTGGAGGATCCCAGTCCATCCATCTAAACAAGCTCGAAAGAGCGTGCACAAAAAGTAAGTTTTTATTAAATATTAAGTAAATGTGGTACTCTTCAAATATAAATTGGTTAATAGCTAATTATCAGTAAAAATGTTATACTGTTATACTGAGTTTGATTATTTCTTTCATTTCATTCCAACTAATATAACTATTTAATATTAACTACTTTTAATGTGAAGAGTATTAAATAAGAAAGCTTTAATTAAAAATTGGAACAATTTTACAGTTTTATCACATTGCCTTAATAAATATATTATTTCTAAATCTCATTTGGATTCACAAAATTTCTTATATATGAGCTGGTAAAATGAATTTGACCTATTAATTAAAAATTGTATATTTTTCTAACACAAAGATTAATTAATCGATAACAAATATTGAAATAATATTATTTAAGTTAATGTTAATATTAAAGTCAATGGAATATTTATAGAATATTTATGTTAGTTAAAATTATTTTCTCCTTAAATGAATTATAAATGACTAGAAATTGAATTCTTTTCACGTACCTGGGGTAAATGAAAATTTCCCGTGGAATGCCTCATATATACAAATGCAATAAAAATCATATCCGAACATTTTTAAATTAATTTTTAAATAAAAATTGGATTGAAAAATAATACAGAATATAATATATTAATTAATTAATATAAAAATAAATTTAATGTATAGAAAAAATTCATTTTGAAAATAATCTCATAAAATTTATTTTTTTATTTTTTTTCACTTTTTTTTCTATCTTTTTTCATATACATTGATTAAAATTTTTTTAATGTTTTCTATTGTATTTTAATTAAATATTACTTTTTAAAATTATTTTATAAAAAATGTATTAATTAAATAAATTTTTAAGATTGGTGGCCAAACCATTTCACAAACATCGTCATTTTACACTTTCTTGTAGCAGAAAACGTTTTAAAGCAAAATTTGCTAAATTTTTCAATCAAATCATGTTTCTATCACTATTTTAAAGTGTTTTTACATATTTAAACAATTATTTAATGTTATATTTCTTAAAAAAACATTTTTTGTTTAAAACAATTCAAAAATACCCGCCGTGAAAATGACTTTTCACGCATTTTCACGGTCCAGAAATAATGTTCATCTGATCGAAATTTGAGGTATAAAAGCACCTTAACACAACCTATATGTTTTTTCACATCCCTCAAATATAACCATCAGAATACCATCTGTCGAATTACACACTGCATGTTTTTCAAAGTGAATATATATTTTTGGAAAAACATGCAGCATGTAATTCAACTTATGCATGTAATATAACCTGCAAATGTTGTATTTATACAATTTGCTTGTAAATTTTTTTTCTTCCACTTTTTTCTTAACAACAATTATATTATAATTAAAGGAAACAAAAACTGATAAATCGATCAATTAATTTTTTTTATAGAACTAAATTATTATTTAAAAATTTTCTTACAGAAATTTTTTTATTAAATTATCACTATGTAATATATAATAAAACAATTAGATTAGTAGTTTCTGCAGATTAACACTAAAAATTTAAAAAATTTAAATAAATAACAATTTAAAATGTTTTTAAACATTGAAATCGCCATTCTCCCAACTTTTCTTTGAAAAGGAACCTGAAACAAAATAAAAGTAATTATTGAACTAACTAATAATTTGAAATAAATAAATTTTATTCATAAATTAAAACAAAAAAGAAAACTTACCTTTAAAAAAAAAATTAAATCTTATAAATTTTATCACCTCGTGCTTGGGAAATGTGAAACATTTTTAATTACAGACAAAGACCTACCTTTCATAAAGTATTTAACTATGTAACTATTTAAGACAATATAATATTAAGATTTATCTATTTACTTACTTTTGTATTTGACAATTGTGTTCACAATATTTATAATAAAATAAAATCAGGAAAACCACTTGAAAACTAAATGAACGCCAGAGATAACATAATGCAAATGGCCGAAGTTTTGCGCATGGTCCATATCGTTAAATATGAAAAACCTTAAATACATGGCCAAGGTAGAATAAAGGTATGGTCACACGACTTTTGGAAAAACCATTCTTGTCTTTCTCTCTCCTAAGACAGAGGCATAAGATTGTCTCACTCTGCATTTTCTTACATTTCCCAAAGACGGAAAATGCAGAGTGAGACAAACTTATGCGTCTGTCTTAGGAGAGAGAAAGACAAGAATGGTTTTTCCAAAAGTCGTGTAACCGTACCCTTAACACGCCACACGGAATAAAAATGCAGTGTGTAATTCAACTAATGGCTTGCCGATGGTTATATTTGAAAATGTGAAAAAACATATAGGTTGTGTTAGATTACACGCTGCATATAAATTCCCTCAACACGCTACATGTTTATCCACAGGTTTAACGTGTGCACAAAATTTCCATCGTAATACGATGTAAAATAACACTGACTTTTTTTACAGTGCAGATCAGAGGTTCAGTATGATTTTCAATCTTCATTATTTGGCCAATCAAAACACGGGACGAAAAGGGCGCCAAAGATGTTTAAATTTAAAAAATAATTATAAAAGTAAAGACAATTAGTTCACACTGTTAATTTATTCAAATTTAATATATTATTGTTATATTTAAAATATTAGAAGCAATAAATGTGATGATGATTATAAAAACGAATCCTGACAAAAAAAATTAAGTGGAAAAAGAAAAAAAAAGTACATTCAGATTCTTTTGTTTATTTGTATATGTATATTGCAACTATTAATTTTGCATAAAATGTAAATAAAATTTTTCGTTGATGGATTATACACCTGAATATAGAGTTCAGTTCAATAAAATTGTGAAAATAAGAGCAACTTTTGTTCTTGCATTCAAGAAATAAAAAAAATGGACTTTGTTACCGTGATATATCCGTACTATTCATTCGAAATTTTTTTTTTAAATATGTTTCACAGGCATACACACATGTATAAAAATCAGAAAATACGACATGTTCACCACTGCCTATTAAAGTAAATATTGCAATGTTTTTTTGTTTTTTTTTTTTACTTTACATTCTACGCTTTTATCAATTTTTAGTACACTTATTAATATTATTATTTTTTTATTGCAATACTTTAGATTTTTCCATTAACTCACAAAGTAATCGCCAAAGAATCGGATTTTTTTTATATCACAGCACAATAATAGTTGTAAATCTTAGAAAATCAACGAGGGAAGTCGAGCTTTTTTGTGCGAAATACATTTATATTTGCTCGAGAAACAAAATCATCAATCCTCGTCGATTTGGAAATATTATATACGAATTTTTGAAAAATTCAAAAGTATTGCAGTCATTCACTTTTTTGAACTCACTATTTTTCGATTATATAATATATATATATATATATATATATGTATGCGATATTTTTAAGGCATGAGTGTATAAATGAAGCTAAAACTTGTGTGCTCTTTTTCCCATAATTTTCAAAGATATAAAGGTGCTAGGCGATGATTTTTTTTTTATGAAAAAATGTAAATAATCGGAAGTAGTTACATAAATAGAAGCGGAAAATAATCTGCCTAAAATAATTTTTTTTCTTGTCTTAAAGAAAAAAAAGTACATTAGGCTAAATTTCCCTGAGCTTAATTAAAAAATATTGTTGTAGACATACAGAAATACGATGACAATTTCAGTTTTATAAATTCACAAATAACTAATTTTATTTCATCTCCGTTTATTGTTTGAGCAACGATTAAATATTAATATGAGATTAACACACGTTAACTGCCAAAAATTATTTCTTATTTCTATATCTTTTTTTTTTTTTTCTTAATGTATAATTGAGCAGTTCCATGTGTTAATATCAAATGTTTTATTTTTACGTCTTTCATCTTACTATTTTTTTATGATTAAAATGTCATGTAAAAGTATAATTATATCAGTAGAAGTTAATAATATATAATTGAAATCGAATCAATAATCTAAATAGTATAATAGTAAAAATACAAACGAATTTAGTGATTATAAAAATTTTGGGATTCCTTTTTTAAAAAATGGCAGTTAACGTGTCACTTATCTTAAAAAGCTGTGTATACAACGGTATGAAAATATTTTCCAAACAAAATATACAGCTTGTAAATATCGATTGTTTTTTTTAAGTATTTGCATAGATTTTGTATTTCTACACAATTTTCTAAAATTAAGAAAAAAATTCTTTTCATTTAAAATTATGTTAAAAATCGAAGAACGCAGCAAAGAATATTACCACAATTGAAAAATTGACATTTACAATTTGAAATTAATTAAAATAAATAATTTCAATGCAAAAGTCTTGTTTTATAAGAGAATTGGGTAAATTCTTGTTCATTATTATTTAAAAATTCTATCATCTAAAAGTGTACATATTATAATGCCCAAACATAATTTAAGTTATAAATATTACAAATGCACAGTCGTTGAAATAGGAAAATGACAAAGAAAACAGCACCATATTGTGATGACAATTTTTAATCTAATTGTTAGATCTTTATCCATGAATTTCAAAAAAAAAAATTTTGTCAATTTCCTATACCTAACATATTTATGTATAATAAATGCAATAAAAAAAATGCACGAGATCATGCAAATCAAATAAAAATACATCTTATAAAAAAAGGAAGCGTGTTTGGATTTCTCTAAAATATAAAATGATCTTTGGATTGTTCCAGTGTTTTTTAAAAACTTTTTTTTCACACTAAAAGTCTCTTAAAGTTTTAAAACAGATTACAAAGTCTTTAAACTTTGTAATTTAAGATGACTATAAATAATTTAGCGTAACACTTTGATTTAATTTAACAATTAAATGTTACTTTGGATAAGCTATGCAAATTTTAACGACATTTTGATTCATTACATGAATTTATATAATTTTTCTAATTCAAGAGATATATAAAATTCACAGGAAAAAAAAGAAAAGACACACACACACACAGATATCTATAATGACAACGAACGTATTTAGTGCGTTTCTATAATGCAAAGCTGTTATTAAATTAAAAAATTTCGCCTAAAGCTCACGCTTGATTCGAGATTAATAATTTTCTTACCTAATAGACGAAGAAAGAAATGAACTAGGTCACTACTGGGTTCAAACAGGATCATTTCCCATAAAAAATTTTTCTCTTATAGAGATCATTATATAATATAAGAAACTGTCTCCTAAAAGTCGCAACTAACAATAGGGGCTTAAATAGAATTTTTAAAAACATTCAATCAGTAATAAACTAATGAAAACTATCAACAATAAGATATTCGAGCACTTGATTTAGCTGTGTTCCTAATAAAAAATTAGGAACAGCACCAGAAATTTCAAATTCAGAAATTTCCTTAGCTATCGAAAATATAACGAGCCTATTTTCTTTTCTTTTTTTTCAAGAGCCAGATATGGTGTGCTGTAATTAAGATATGTGATTATAATTTCAGGAATGACTTCATCTAGAAAATAAAGATCTACAAAGGCTTTACACAATATCAGAGAATTTAAAAAATGCTATCACAACTTAATTTTTATAATGATGAAAGAAAGAAAACCGTTATGAACATGATGAATATCGATTTAAAAATCGGACGGTTTGAAAAAGTCTTATGTTTCATGAAAAATTATTAAAATTACTTTCCATTTACGGTTGATTTTTAAGTACCAATATTTGTAATTTTTTTAAGTACCAAAAACCTTTGAGATCTTTTCTTCGGGAATGCGATAATTTTTTTTTTAACACCATATATATAAATTCACTTGAATGATATGAAAATGATATATACGATGAAATTCTAAGAATCTAATGCAAATTTTTTTTTTTTTTTGATGAGACAGTGTAAAATTCTGGTGTTTTGTTGCACACGATAAATATCAGCTATTTGGCACTTCATTCGCACTGAATTATCTAAAACATTGGAAGTAACTAATATTCGGTGAGACGGTGTTCATATATATAAATAAAAAAAAAAAGTAGAACGACTGTCTTTGTGAATGAATAAAAACTTAAGTGCCACTACTTAAAACTTTACTGTCAAAACTAGTTTTGATTCGTTAACATATGTACCTATGAGAACACTTAATATATACTATATATGATAAAGAGTACGAATTAAGACTCCTTTTGTTCGTCATGACTTTGTACCTTCTATTATAACGAATTGGCAAGTCTGTGTCGCGAGAATAATTATAGTATTTAAATCTCAACCGCACACATTCATTTGTCGTTAATGTTATATTATAAAACGAAAGGCGAACCTTTTTTTTCAAGGTGAAAACAAAACCTTCTGCTTGGGGTTACTGGCCTTAATTTGTTTTCTAACAATGACAATCGACTAATATATTCTAAAAATTCACTTTAAAATTCAGTGATTAGGCAGTTTTTTGTATTCTAGTAGCTGCGGTGTATATATTGTGCGATGCGCACAAAAATTATATTATCTAAAAATCATTCACTAAAATATTTCGATGGTTCACCACAAGTACTGACCTTTGTTTTCAATATGAAACAATTCGTACTCGAATAAAACTTTGTCAAAATTATACATACTGATATTCATATTTCGGCGCGATTAAGGATTACTGACTTCCAGAAGATTTTTTCAAAATGTTGATTAACATTTGTTCGCTGTTTTTTTTTTCTTTTTTTTGAAGCAGAAACCCGAAACTCGTTATTGAAAGGCCTTGGCATTTGAAACATGCATCAATTTTGAAATTCGTTATAAAGATATACACCCCATAGTCAATATTAACTGCTCACAGAGTCTTTGCTTTTTCCAGTAAATCATTGATGAATTTCTAAAAGCAAAAATAATTTTAAAATCAAATATAGAAAAAAGAACATATTTTCAAACTTACTTTAACATCATGAGGTGGTTTCTTTGCATCAACAAGAAGTTCCTATAACGAATTATTGATTAAATTTTTTTGTATCTTTAAACATAATGTAAAAATATATTTAAAAATATAACTAACTTGCAAAAAACTTCGTCTGTGATCATCACTATCCATATCAAGCAATTCATCAATATCAACTTCAACTTCTCGACTTTTTCCCGTATCATTCTAAAAAAAAATTTGTTCTTTATGCTAATTACAAGAGTAATTAAATTAATTACTATTTTAAATATTCCGGAAAAATATTTATTAAACTTTAATTGCAATTAATTCTTACCACAGTTTCATAAAGCTTTTGAAGCTCATCAAATAACCACATTTCAACAGCCAACCTCTTTCTAATAAGAGACATTTGATGAGAACCATACTTTGCTGTGAGAAATTTTTCTCGACGTTCTTTTACTTCCCCTTTCTCAGTAAAAGCAACGTGTAAATTAGCGCGGGCAGGACTACGTTCCGCGGTCAACACACCTCCTCCTTCCATTATTGAAATACCTAACATGAATCACAATCCAGGTATGAAGAACTAATTTTTAATTCAACATTCTCAAGGGAGACTCTTTATATAATAATAATAATTGAAAATAATCATTAAAGCGAAAGATATTTCAATTTTTTTTGAAAACGCTACTTTTTTATATAAAATCTTTTCAAAAACTGTAGTCAATGAATAATAATTTCCAAAACAAAATTTAAACTATTTTTTAAAATATTTTTAAAATAATTTAACAAATTATTTGATAAATTCAAAATGTGAGAAAAAGAAAGAATTTAAAAACAAATAAAAACAAAACATGTAATAAAACATTTATATATTACACCTCATCTATTGTTACAACACTATCGACAAAATAAAACAGTTTTAATGACAAAAGCGCATTATAAAATCAATTAAATACATAAACTTTTAATTAAATTACCATTAAAAAAAAAATAATAAAATTTTTTCCAAAATTAAAATGTACACGTAAATTATCGCTCTTTATTTGTTGCGTAAAATGAATGATATATATAATCTTAGTTTAAAAATACAATTTGGAATAAATTTCTTTGATATATATAAATAGAAGGTTTTTAATCATGAAAAATTGATGTTAATGACACTTAAATTGTTTTCATAGCAATTTTAAACCTCTTCGAGTTATATGACCAATAATTGACAATGAGAACACATTTCAATATATTTATATTACTATTTTAAAAAGTATTTTAAAAATTAATTGACAATAACATTTACATAGGATATATATATATATATATTATAAAACAAAACTTACCAAGTATTTACACAGGAATAGAACAAAAACGATGCTAAGGTGGAGCAAATTTATAAGCTTTCTTCGGTGTAGTCTTTTAAAAATGTTGTTTGATAATAATAATTAACAATTAATTCAATTGTTAAACAAATTATTAGACAATTAAACTATTTCCGACAAACGAACAATAGCACACAAAAAATAATTTATGTCTTCATCCGAAAATGCTGCTCGATTCACAAAACGCTTCGTTTTCAGAAAGCGACATCTGTCGCAAACTTCTAGTAATTGAAATGAAAATTCAGGAAAAAATTAATACAAGCGGATTTTAATTGTTATTTTCTACAAAATATGTAAAAGTAATTATTAACCTATAAATTCAGCAAGTACATTCACAAAAAAATGTCATTAAAAATAAATAATACCATTAAAAATCTTAAATGAAATACAATTTTTGTTTTTTTGAAAATACCGCGTGAAAAAATTGTCCATTTGCGCAAACTCTGTATTCACTGATTAGTCAAATCAGTAATTAAATTTTTATTAATTTACATGCAATTTCATTTTAATGAATAGAAAAAAGCAAAATTAAACACAAACATTAGTTTTTTTATTATTTAACGTAAAAATTGTTTGTTAACGATAAAATTTAAAGTCTATCTCTGTATTATAAAAAACTTAACCTGATTCTTGTTCACAAATCGAAGTGCTGCTACAAAAGAAATAAGTCGTCTGCTTTATTTTTGACAGTTCTATACATCTTCACTGTAACTTTTGCAGTAATATGCGTAAGAAATGTCATAAATTGTTATAAAAAAAAAAAAAATAGATTGACCTTTGAACCCATGCAGATAACAGCTGTAAGAAGTAAATAGGTCGTTTCATGTTGCAGCTGTAATTTTTTTTTCAACAACAAAATTGTGCAATTTCATTCTGTAAATTGCATGTGTGTTAAAAATGAATCAACAACGACCAAATATCATTAATTCAAATAATTTAAGAAATTCCACATCCATTTTAGCAAGGTATTTATTATTAATTTTTTTGTGTATATTTATATAGTCACTGTGTAAACTTTTATTATTTATAGTGGTTCCGGTCCACAAATTGTTGGATCAAGTGTTCCAAATACAATTCCACCGCCTTTACCTCCCCGCAGGACAGTTTCGTCGTATCAAAATTATAATAATTATCCAGGATTAGGAAATTATTATGGAGATTATGGAATGGGAAGCAGTTTAAATTATAGAGGTTATGGTGGTTTTGGATCCTACGGTGGAAGATATGGATGTTATGGCTATTCTCCATACGGCAATGGACAGTTTGGTGGACCCAGTGGTGATGTTGAGAATAGGTAATTAAAAAAATTACTCCAAAAATGTCATTTGTGACAAAATTGGTCATTATTTTGTTATTGTTAAAGATTTGTACAATACGCAGAAGAAAGCACAAGGCCAGCTTTTCAATCAATAGAGACTATGGTTCATACATTTTCATCCGTCACAATGATGTTAGAATCGACATTTTATGCGATGACTAGTTCATTCAGAGCAATTTTAAGTGTTGCTGAAAATATGGGTAGATTACGATTAATGTTTGGACAATTTTTAAATAATTTCGCATTAGTGAGGATTTTGAAGTGGTTATATTGGAAAGCACGATATTTGCTTGGTATGTTTGTTACTTTTTCATTTACAATAAATATTTCAAAAAAATATATATAATTTAACATTATATTGAAAATTTATTTAGGTTTGAGGGGCCATGACCCCAGGAATGAATCAGCATGGCAACAAACTGTATCTGAAGTAATGAGTGAGACTGTTTCTCAAAATAGTCCTTCTACATGGCCAATCTTGATGTTCCTAAGTTTACTAGTCGCAGCTCCATATATGGTTCACAAATTAGTCAATAATGTTAAGACTATAAGCACTGAAGGTATAAGACCAATTAAGAATTTATTTCAAAATCAATTTCTTTTGCATATATTTAATAAAACATATTTTTTTTCTTTTTTTAGAAAACAATCCAAAAGAATGGGTAAAATATAATGAACCCATCTATATAGCAACAACTTTGTATGATTTTGTTGCTGCATCTAATGATGAATTAAGTTTTAAGACTGGACAAAAACTCTGGCTTGCTCCACAATCTTTACATCCAAAAACATTACCAGGATGGTGGAAAGCAACTGACAGTATCAATGTTGGTTTAATTCCATCATCTTATGTAACAATTGTCGGACAATTGAAGAAGAAAACTGAAACAAATCCAATTGTAAATCATACAATTTCTGAAAAAGAAAATACCACAAAAATTACTTCCAAAGAGGATAATTTAAATAATTTTAAATACAATCTTGAAGAAGCATATAATTTAAAAACTGAACGATCTAATACTAAAGAAAATCAAGATACAAATGAAGAAATTTTTTAACAATAAATTAAATGTCAAAAATTTTTTGTAAATATACTATCGTTTAGAGTACTAAAGAAAGAATAAGGTCAACAAAAGCTTTAAAGAAAAAAAAAAAAAAAACGACTGACGGTCTGTGAAATTGATTTAATTTATGTATTTTATTATTAATTACCATAATGTTTTGGATTAAAACAAAATTAAAGAGAATCTTTAATCGAAACTGTAAGAAAATACCAAACTTTTGTACTATAATTCTTTGGTAGCTAGATATAATATTGACTGAAGAAATGTTTTTAAATGATTAAAAAAAAAAACATATTTCAGATCTTTTTTAGGCACGTGTCAACTTGTTTAAAATTTATATTCAATACATTCCTACGAATTACAACTAATCGTAATATTAATTTTTATTTCTTAAAATAAGGTTCAACTTTATTTAATTAGAATTAAAAATTTACTCAACACGTGCCACTTTTTTTTTTAAATAGGTAAAACCGATTTGTACCTTTTTGTAAAAAAACAAATATATGTATAAATTCATTAATATAAGAAATATAAAATAAAAAAAAAAAATTACAACTAATGTCGAAAGTAACCTTAAGTTGGTTTTATTTATAGGAAAAATCATATATATACATAACTATTAACGATGAGTAACTTTATTTTAATTTTTTTTTTCTCTTCAATCGTAAGGTATGAATAAAGATAATGCAACTTGATCCAAAAATAAAGCTCAACTTTATTTACTATACACAATATCAATATTGACTTAATTTGTGATTTGAATATAAGTAAATAAAGTTCAACTTAATTCAAGGTGAATTTTTACGCGATCTACTATTTTATCAACTTTAATCAGCTGTAATTGGAGTTTTCTTTTGTAATTTAAACCAATTTCCACATTCACAACGCCTTGGAGCCCCAGCATGTAACCACATCCAACAAATGTAAGTTTGATCTTCTTCACAAATACATCCGATCATACGACTATCAAAAGCACTTGGTACCATAATTGGTTTATCTTTAGTATTATCTGTTCTAATTATTGCTTTTGTCATGAAAGGATCCTGAAATTAGAAAGTAATAATTGAAAATTAAATTTCTTTTCAGAAAAAACTGCTCCAATTTATTCTCTTTAATTTTAATAAATATTTAAGTTTAAAAGTAAAAATAATTTACAGCTACCTTTAATTGTTATTTCGTAAAATAGTGTATAAAACACAACAAAAATACTTAGAAAAATAATCAATAAATTAAAATCACCAAAGGGTCTAATAAAAAATAAATATTAATAATAACTGTAGGAAATTGTCAGTTATTTTTTTAAATTAAGAAGATTTTTAAGTCATCTTTATGTAATAAAATAAAATTATTACTGAATTGAAATAATTTTTTTTTTGTATCAAAAACTAAACTCACATCGTTGCCGGATAATTCGGCCAGCAATTCTCTCTTTTCGAGACCCTGGGCGTGTTCAATAGGATCAGGTACTAAAGAAAAATATATGTGTAAGTAACAAATTATAATACATTAAATAAATAATTTACAAACTAATAAATCAACTTTCCATTACGTAATGCGACAAAGAAACAAGGGAAAATACTTGTAGCCCTTTAAATGATAGACTAGAGCCAAATGAATAAAAAGATATTTACAATATTTGGGTCCTTTACTGAACCAGCCGAGCCAGGGTGTACTAGTCGAAAATTCTCGACGTGTATTTCTTAAAATAAGCCGACCGCAAAGTGATGCCATTATTTTATGGGTCTATTTAAATATGAAAAATCTTTTTTCTCTAAATCGCAAAGATAAACTTAATAAAAACCACTAGATTTGACATTCAGTTTATAGATTCTTCAAGACGACTAGTGCGACATCTACTTCCTTAAGGCTGATTTCTAAGACACAATTTGTACAATTAAAATCTCTTTTTTTTTAATATAAAAAATTAAATTAATTACTTTTCAAATTATAAAAATGCACAAGTTTTGTTTCAATTTATAAAAAAAATTTACAATTTTTATATGCAAAATTCCAATTTCTTGGCGTATCTATACATCGAGTGGACAATCTATCTTCCTTAGTTTATGGTCGTCTTCCCAATCCCTTTTCCTGTTAGGTCGTAACGTGTAAAAGGTATCCGAATATTTGTGAATTTTTATATTTGTTCTAATCCGTGTGAAGAATTTACATTTTCAACATTTTTCTTACAAGGATATTTCACTAGTTTATCTTCTGTGTTTTCTGATAATTATTTTTTTTAAATATTTACTTCTTTATGTGAAAAAAGAATTCTAACCTTTCTTCTGTCATGTCTTTTTGTTTCCTGACATTTTAGAATTATTTACATTGAACTATTAGCTGTTATTTTGTTTTAATTAGTATTTCAATTGTTTAACAAGATAGAATAAGATTAATTATTTTTAAAATACTACAAAAGTGTGTATTAATTTTTATCAGTGTTTGTTATGCTGAACTATTTTTGGACATTGTTTTGAACATCAAGTGACAAATTAAAATAATATTTTAAACCTATTAATAATTTTAGTAATATTAAAATTAATTAATAAGGAGTTTTAGAATTAATTTTTCTATAATTCTTCTTTTTTTTAAACAAAAAATGTGTATTATACACAATATATGCTTCTATGTAATTTCTAATAGTCTTATTTTTTCCAGATATTACACGATGAAGCAGATTGTTACGAATCAATCGGTGAAAATCCCGGAGGGATTAACAGTTTCTGTAAAATCACGAATGGTTACAGTCAGAGGACCTCGAGGAGTATTGAAGAGGTCTTTTAAACATCTTGCTTTGGATATACGTGTAAGTAATTTTTTTTAATAAATTAATTTAGTGAAAATTAGTTTATTTTTCTTTTATAGAACATAAATAATGATGAGACAATGGATTCCCCTTCATTTTAATTATAAATGAGTAATCCTTTACTGATATTTTTAAAAAAACCCTCTAATATCATTAATCTTTTAATCTGTCATTGTAATTTTGAGAAAAATCGTCTTTTTCTTTAGATGATCAATCCTAAAGTATTAAAAGTGGAAAAATGGTTTGGAACCAAGAAGGAATTAGCTGCCGTTCGTACAGTGTGTTCTCACATCGAAAATATGTTAAAGGGTGTTACTAAAGGATATCAATATAAAATGAGATCCGTATATGCTCATTTTCCCATAAATTGTGTAACCACCGAGAATAATTCTGTTATCGAAATCCGTAATTTCTTGGGTGAAAAATACATCCGTAGAGTTAAAATGGCACCAGGAGTTACAGTTTGTAATTCTACCAAACAAAAGGATGAGTTAATTCTTGAAGGAAACTCTTTGGAGGATGTATCAAGATCAGGTGAGATAAAAGATAATTTTAAAAATTTATTTTTAAATATTTTAAATTGTTTATTAAAAAAACATGTAAAATTCAAATGCAATGTTTTATTTTTATTCGTTCTTTAAATTTAAAAAATTAGATTATTAATTAATTCTTTTTTTTTACAGCTGCTTTAATCCAACAGTCGACAACAGTTAAAAACAAGGATATTAGAATGTTCTTGGATGGTTTATATGTTTCTGAAAAAACTACAGTTGTACAAGACGAAGAATAAAAATACTGTACATTTTTCCAACTATTATATTTCTTTTCTATTTTATAACCTACTGCATTTTTATATTTATAAGTTATTATTTTGATTTACATATAATTTATAATGAAAATAAAAATAAATTTAAAAATTACTTTAAAGAATTTAATGAAAACAAGATTTAACGATTGAAATACTTTTTGTCCAAAAAGTGCTGTGGATAAATATCAGCCAATAGAATTTGTGAACATCAATGACGTCATTATACTCATACGTATGAATTTGAATTAAAGTATTATTAAACTGTAAACACGTGTGTAACTGTATTATTTATCGTTTTCAATTTTTAACAATGAATATTGTTAGTGAAATATTAAAAAAGTCAGCTGAAAATGATAAAATAAAGGAAATTACAGTGCAAAAGGATATTGAACTTGACATTGATGTAGGAACTCTTTTGGCATCTGATTACAATGTAATCGACAACAAAAGTTTTAGGTAACCTCAAAAATTTCACAATTTTTGCGACTTATATTTTAAAAATATTTTACTAATTAAAGTAATTCATAATTATTTAAATTTATCTACTACAACGTCTCTTTATTTTAATCCAATTTATAAATAATATGTTAATAATTACAAAAATATTCTGCACTAAAATAGATATTTTGTCAAAAAAAATATTTTTCTACTTTTATTTACAGCTCGAATCAAGAGGAGTATTTGAAAAATTTAACACGAGATAATGTACAGTTAATAGTAAATAAAATTTGGGAATTACCAACAGAACGAGTGGAAGAAGCGATTGTTGCGAAATTACCAAATCCCACATTTGTTTTGCCTCGAGCACGTAAGGTACCTAAGCCAAAGCCATTAACAAAATGGGAGGAATTTGCCAAAAAGAAAGGAATCACGAAAAAGAAGAAGGGTACCTCGAAACTTAAATGGGACGAAGTTCTTCAGGTAATAATAATTAGAATATTATCTATAATTTCTTTATCGAAAAAACCATTTTAAAATATTTTTATTTTCTTGTATTTTAATAATTTTTTCTTAGAAATGGGTACCCGGTTATGGTTTCAAACGTGCTGAAGCCGAAAAACAAAAAGATTGGCTGGTTGAATTGGCAGATGACGGTACACCAAAAGAGGATCCATTCCAAGCGAAAACCACCGCAAAACAAGAGAGACAAGCTAAAAATGAACTTCAAAGGTTACGAAATATAGCAAAGGCAAAGAATGTAAAAGTTCCTCGAGTTGGACTTCCTAGTTCTGATCATTTCAAAAGTTCACGACAACTTGCAACGGCAGTAACAGTCGCACGAGTTTCCACGGCATCTGTTGGAAAGTTTCAAGACAGGTAAATTTTGCAATAAATAAAATAATATAAAAGAAATTTAAATTTTATTTCTTTTTTTAGACTTCCAAAAGAAAAAGATGCTAAGGATATTGCTTCTCAAGTACCTGGAATGAAAAGAAAACGTGAGGCACCTCCAAAGAATGCTTTAGAGGAGAAAAAACGTAATGTCGATGTTTTGAATGGTATTCTTAAGAGTAGGAATAAAATACTTAAAGATGATATTGGAGTGCCTTCTACAAGGTGAGTTTATTTTGAATTCGTTTCTTTTTTAAATCAATAAAAGAAAGGAGCTAACTATTTACGCAGGAATAAAAAAAAGTATTTCTTTACAAAAATCATTTAAGCAGGAAATTATATTTTTTTTTATGTTATTGAATAGTACGTCAGTACCACGCGAACGAGAGGGAAGGAAGAAAAAGGCCGGCAAACCTGGTAAAGGAGCGAAAAAGCCAAAAGCAGGCAAAGGAAAAAGGGATCCACATACAAAAGTAGGTGGAAGAAAACGAAGATAGAAAAATTAATAACTAGACACGTATGTTTGTAAATTTTATTTACTTCCGACTTTAATAAATTATACCATTAATTTTCAAACTTTTAACTCTTTTTACTTTTACTAATTAATTGAAATTTACAGAGAATTGATTATTAACTTAATTTTTTCAATTTCCAAAAAGGTTTGAAAAGATTTTTAGCAAACATTTGGAAATTAAAAATTATATCAAATGTATTTAAAATGAAATTGAAAAATTTTAAAGATAAATTTAAAAAGCTATTTTAAAAGTAATTTAAATATTTTAGATATATTAAAAAAAAAAAAATGTTGAAAATAGATTTGAAAAGTAGCTGATACAATTTTTTAAAAATTTAAGAAAATCCATTAGTGAGAATAAAAGGTTTAGAATTACTAAAACTCGTATGGAAAATCGATTATTCAGTTTTTGTCGAAAGGCAAAATACATTTTGCAGAAATAATTTACATACACTCGACATTTGAATAACGAGGAAAAATTATGTTCAACGAAACACCTTTAAGGTAATAAACTAAAAATAATATCTCTACTTTTTCATGAATAAAAATATGTAAAATTATTCCAATTTGAGTAAAATTTTCTTTTTTAGAACATGCGCAACATTCTGTTTTAAACGTGTGCAATTATTTAAAAAAAAAGAAGAAGGCATTTAAAATAAGGATTTCTCATATTTTTTTTAAAATGGTAAATTTTTTTTTTGCTATTAAAATGCTAAAAAAAATTTAATTAGTATATTTATTTTTAGGCTTTAATTAATTTTTTTCTACTTTTAGTGGGTGAATAATATTTTTTAAAAAAAATTTATTTCAATTTTTTGACTAGAATAGGAGGATTTTTTCATTTTAAATAGCGAAGAATGTCGTTGGGATAGGCGATCGCAAGGTGAGTGAAATATCGACTAAGAGCCAAAGTGTCGGGGGAGCGTCACTGTCAGGCGGAGGGCGCGGAAGCAATACACACGACGACGACGACGACGACGACGGCCTAGAATCGAAAATTTGACGAGAGGGTGGTGTTCTTGGTTTTTGTGTGTGGCAATATACACAGCACCACTCGACACAGATCTCGTAGGTTTCGCGGCGCGCGCGCTTGTCGAAGTCTCGATGCGCGAACTATCGAAATGGTGGTGTGCTGACCAAAAGGGTGGAGTGGTGGTTACTGGAAATTTGCCAGAACATGGGGAAGTAACGTGTCTCTCGCGTTCGTGCCCCTAATCGACGACTTCTTGTCGGTAATCTGGTCGTTCCCCGTTCTGGCAACTGTTTGCGAAAGTGAATTTAAAAAGAAAGCAAAAAAAAAGAAAAAGAAAAAAACGCAACCAACACCCCCCCCCCAAAAAAAAAAACAAAAACAAAAAATGAGACCATTAAACGCACTTTGGCACGTCGCGACCGCGAGTGCTCATTCTCATTTTTCCCTCTATTTACGCGAAATGTCACCCTAAGCAGAAATCCCGACAGGCAGCATTGGTATTCCCAAAAGCGTCGGTACGAACGCAAGAAATAATTTCAGTGTGTCTTTAAAAAAAAATTAAAAAAGAAATCAGGGGTGCCTGTTTTTTCTCTCTCGGTCTGGTGCAAAAAAGCTCAAATTTCACTGACACTTTTGTATCTCATAACAGATCAAAAGTTTGATTCAAGATCTGAGAATTTTTCTAATCACTAGTTTCTGAATAATTGTGTAAAAATTTCTTTCTTTTTGTTTGTTGAAGGAAAATATTTAAAAACTTTTTTCTCTATCTAACTTACTTAAACACTGCGGTTCGATATGGAAATGTTCAATTGGTACATTCTATATCTAGATTAATTGCAATCACAAAAGACTCTAAGTCATAAAGTTTTATAGATCAAGGTAAAAAAGTTTGGAATAAAGAGACGATCTTAATATAAATTAAACATCCTGAATAACTTTACCTAGTAATCTTATTTTAATTTTCTTTTTATAGTCAAAATATGAAAAAGAAAAAAAAAATTAGAAAAAATCTCAAAATCAGAGAATTGGCAACTTTTGCACCAGATCGAGTTAGAGAACAGGTTTTTTTTTTATGTTGTTGTTGCTGTTGATGTGGCCGTTTGTTGACACTGCTATCGTTGGCGAGATCCTTGTTCTTTTCCCTTCCAATCGGAGGTGTCGGGGATCTTATTTCATCGTTTAAAAAAAAAAATTAATATTAATTTTGATTTTAACAAAAATGTGAACTGCGAACAAATTGATCGCACCAGGGCCACCAGCCAGCCTTCTATTTAGAAAGAAAATTTACGCTGACTAAACGCTACTTTGTAGATGATTAGAAATAAAAAGCTCTCACCTTTTTTTTTTTGAAAAAAATTAATTTTAATAAGGACAGAGGACACTGATTGGTATCGTTCCTCGATCTCTGGTTCGAAATAATTACACCTCCACGCTTGCTTCGCTTTCTCGTGCACGCTTTAATCAAGTTATCGTTCGTTCAATATTTTTCTTTTTTTTTTTAATAATTCTCGTGCTTACTCCTGTCACGTTTGTCGATTTAGCATGTTATGCTTTAATACATTTCCGTAGACAACTAAACTAATTCATCACGAAACAATTTTCAGGATGGTAACATTATATTTTAAAAAAAAAGAAGAAAAAATAAGAATGGAATATTTCATACACTTGGTAAAAAAAGAAAAGAAACAGATTTATAGTGGATAATAATTTTAATAATTCATGAGTTGTAAAGTTGAAATATTCTTTTCTTTATATAAGCAAGATTTGAGTTTTTAAACGTTTGTATAGTTTATAGTGTTTTTTTGCTATGTTTTTCGAAGAACGTTAGTTTGAAAAAATCCATAGTTAATTATTACTTAGATTTTATTTCTTTCGCTCGTTATCCTTTCTGTTTTAAAAAAAAAAACATTTCCTTATTGAAAATGATTGACTTGTCCTACATTTATTTTTCTGATTTTTCACCCTTTTTTTGTGACAAAAATAGGTCACGCCCTGTGGTGTATTTTCGGTTTCCGATTATATTGTCACGCAATTTCTAAATCTTATTTTTATTTAATTAATTTAAAAAAATAAATTTATAAAGCTGTGCTTATCAAGAAAAAAAAATATTAGAAAAAAAGGAAATAATGGAACTATTTTAGTCTTAGGTTCTTTTTTTTTATTTTAAATTTCATTCTTTTCTTAATTTACCAACATATTGAAAATCCTTTTTATTATTCTGTTGTATAGAAACTTGACCTCATTCTTTTTCGCTTCAAGTCTGTTAACCTCGATCGTTCTAATAGATAAATTTTCGATAAAAAAGATAAATCAGAAGCAGGAAATAAATTGCGTTGTTTGCATAAAAAGTATAGACTATAAAATATTACATAGTCGATACGTATATAAAAAAGAATATTTTTTTTTCTTTTAAAATAAAAATTTGTTTTTATGCTTTTTAATTGTTTGAATTATACAATTTTTGACGTAAATTATTATACAATTTGACGATATTCCTGAAAACTCGGATGACAATTTGTTAATTGCATGATTTTACAAATGATTGAAAATTTCTAGATTGAGATTTTTTTTGTTTTCAAGTTTCAGCATGAATCTAGTTGAAAATTTTTTTAATGAATGACAGAATAAAAAAAAAGTTGCATTGCTCCAATTTATCAACTGATTTTTTGAATACTTAATATTGCACCATATAGTAGCTTATTTTGCTATTTTTCAAATATTTCTATTTTATCTTTCTCTCTTATTAATTTAATTTTTTTTCAATATAAAATTAAAAAAGCTTTCAAGTTTAATTCCTTGTATTTAAATTTATTTTTTTTGTATTACTGTAAAAATTGTTTATTTTTTAAAATTAAAAAATACGACAAATATCTAAATTTTTATGCAAATGGAGACAATGAAGTTTCTAAAAGTCAGAAATAAAAAAGGAGTTGAATGCTTAAATTATCTGTTTATTAAAAAAATAAATAAATAAATAATGCGAGTAGTAGAGAATTTTGTAGACGTGATTATTTATCGATGTGCACAAAAAGTCTCGTTTAGAAAGAGAGAGGTTCTTGCATTTGCAGCCCACCACCACCACCACATCATCATCATCATGCTGATAATTAATTCGTAACCGGAAATCGCCTTTTCCCGAGGGCGTTAAAGCGGGAAAACCAGGAGGGAATTTATTTTTTTGGGAAACCAAGGAAATAAAGGGAGATGTATGCAGCAGCGGGTGGTGCTTCCATTGCCAATAGAAGAAAACAACAAAAGCGGTTGCAGCTGAATAAGCGGTCAGATGTTGCGACTGCATCAGCTGCAGCTGCTGCAGCAAGGATCAAAAATACTCCAGCAACAACTAGTCACAATACGAGAAAATTTTCACGTCCACAATCATCATCAACACTATCAGCACCACCAACGTCGTGCGCCTTCCATTGTATAGAACGACGACGTCGGGTTGAAAGGTGCCAGCAATTGGCCCCAATTTCTCCTATACAATTTCCCATTTCACCACCGCCACTATCCTTAGAATCACCAAGCCCTAATAAATCGTCAAATTTTCCATTTCCACCGCCTTCCATCCTCGGAGTCTCTGCTACAGAATTACTACAGGTGGGTACCACTGCCTGCTCACTTGGATTCGGACGCTTCCCAGGATTTTCCTTTTTTTTTTTTTTTTCTTTCTTTCAATTCAAAAAATATTTATAATTAATTCACATTTACTATTCCGAAGATATGGATTTAAGTTTTGCCAGATAACTCGGATTTGTTTTGCCGAAGATTGCGCGAAAACAGTTATTATCGAATTCGAATTCATGAATACTTGGTTTCTTACTCCAGTGTTGAAAGTTGACCTGAACCATATTTGTTTCTAAGTTGTTTTTAAGACCTAGATTCAAACTTCGGAAACTTGTTTGTCTACATAGAGACACACTTGACAAAAGTGGGTATTTCTTTCTGTAATTCTAAGAAATCAGTTATTAATGACTTTTCTTATATTATCTTTTGAATAAGAAACAAGTTAATAATATCTTTTTATAGACTTATAAACTTTTCCGCAAAAAGAAACTTAATTATCTCAAACGAGAGGGTTTGAAAAAATTTAATATAATAGAGAAAAATTCAAAAATTAAAATTGTAATTATTACCTGGGAAGTTGTCGTTCCTGGAGCCGATCTTAGCTCACTATCACGGCTACGGAGAACAAGATGCCGCATTTTTCTTTCACTAACTTAGTAAAAAAAAAACCACTCAAAAACAATCGACACGTAATAGTCGTGATGCACTGCAAATTTAAAACTGGCATCCTCAATTTTCTATATAAAATTCTTATTCGGCTGTCTGGTGGCGGCGACGACGACGACGACTACGACGATGATGATGATGATTATGATAATAACACTCTAGGTTCGCCGGTAGGCGGATTGACACTACAACAAAATTAAAAAAAAAAATTATTTACTTTTAAAAGCACTGTTCCAATTTTTTTCACATTTATATATTATTTTAAAAAATCTTTCACGGAATTTGATCTTTGATAATTTCAAAAAAAAATTCCATTCATTCATTTTTTTTGTTACTCCTCAATTTTCTATTCTTTTAAAATTATTTTCATTTTGCTTTCATTTATTTAACATACTTTTGTTTTCTGTTTGTAGCATTTTTAGAATACATCTCATCGAGAGCTAATTTTTTCCGACCTTTAGTCAAAAAAATAGCTGATTGGGACAATGCTGAAGAAATTAAAATCAAAAATTGGACATCGAGTGAAGGTTGTCATTCTCACGCCACGATGACGCTCGCATCTTTATTAAAAAAACAAAAATAAATAAAATGAAGCGAATCGACGAATCATAGGAATGAGAATATATTTTTTTAGGAAAAAAAAATTTAGAATAGAAAAATCATGTTTGGTGGATTCGCTTGGACGATGCGTCATGTGGAACGTGATGGAACAATAAATTTGGTATGGCCTACGTTTCTACGTCCGCTTACCCGCGAACCAACTCTCAAAAATATTTCAAAATCAAAATTCAGATATTAGAAGGAAACTAAGGAGAGAAAGAGAGATCATCGAAAATATTTTTTTCAAAATAAAAAAAAAATCAAAGGGAGAGAGAGAAATATAGTTTTTTATCATCGATGAAACATAAAGACGTCGTCGAAAAAAAAGAGTTAATTTTTGATATAACTGTAGCTGTTTGTAAATGAATAAACGGGATGCAGGCGGCTCTGTTAATTAGAAGGGAGAAGCAACGATTAAAGGGGGGTAAGAGAGTGAACTTTAGAGAACTACCCTCCAACTTGGCCACCAGACTCATCCCGCCGCTTCCACGATATCCCCCGAAATCTTACGCTTACGGGGTAAGTATCCTGCCCTCTAATCTTCAGTCGAAGAGGAACAGTTTTCAGGAATTCGATCCACGTCTCCCGTCAAGAAATTTAACTATTATAAAACTATATTTTTCAATATGTAATTAGTTTGCTATTTTTTCCCCTTTATTCTATTTAAAAAAAAACATCACTTCTTTAAAAAAAAATCAAATATTTAAATGATTAGAAGATTATTTTAAATTGTTTCAAATCACATTACAGTAATTTTTTTTGTTTCCTTTTTATGATTGGTGACGAAAAAACAAATTTTGTTGTTGTGTGTACATTTTTTTTTTTTTTGTTGTGTTTTTGAGTGAAGCAAGTTAATATCTTAAATGTGAATATTATAATTTTATAAAATTGAATTGAATTAATTTAAACTTTCAGAAGATTATTAAAAATTCAGAAGGGAATCTGAAATATTATATCAATTTGGAACTACAATTTTGTCCGATGGATATTTTATGAAAACGGTACTGATTGCAAGAAACGTGTTTGTCATTTGCATGTAAAAAAAAAAGATATTTTTTTTCTTCATTTTAATAAAATAAACGAAAATCAAGTAAACTTGTAAGCTTTTTTTTAATGATGTTTTTAAAAATTTTTTAAATAATTTTTCTCATATAGTACTATTTTATTTTAATGCATGATTTCATTTCTTTTTAAAACGCGTTAAAAATAATAAATTCAAATAAGGAAATAAATGTCTCATATTAGAAAAGTACAAGCACTAGAAATAGATGTTAACGTAAAAAAAAATGGTTTAATAATAAAATTGCTTTATTTTAAAAGAAAATTCACTTTTTACGAATAATGAAAAAAAATGTAGTGTACAAAAATGTTTTAATGTATTTGTGTAGTGTAGTTGTATATTTATTTGTGAGAGTGGCAGGAGTGAAAGTTTTGTCAGCATGCTTTTTTTCATTTTATTAATTTTTTTCTAAATTCATTTTTTCAATTTTCATATTCAAATTTCTTTTTTCCATAAAGCGGCGCGATGCTAAAAATTCAAATTCTCCTCCTTATATATTTTTCTAAATTTCTATATTATACCTCTATATAAAAATCGTAGACAAAATTTTTTACTATATATATTATACTATATTCTTATGTCTCAAGTACGACTAAAGGAAAGTACCAGAAAACTTTAGTAAGAAACTTGTTGATCTAAGAAAGTTTCACGTTGAGTGATATAAATTTTTTTTTGTGATAGAAATAATGAGAAATTGTTACAGTGCGGTGGACAAGCATCGAGTAAAGCAGCATGGCAAGGATGCAATCGACCTCCACATCTAGAATCCCCAGTCTCTCCGCAAGGATCACGAGAAGGCTACAAAACCAAACAATGTGAAGCTCATCGACGATGGATGAAAAGAAACAGGGTAATGTGCTCATAAAATATCAACAATAAATCACAAAAAAAACAGAGATAAAAAAGAGAAGTAAGCTTCCAACTTTTATTATTTTCATTCGAGGTCCTGCCAACTTTTTTTCTCTATATATATATAATATCAAGATTTCGTTTTCATTTCAATTCATATTTATTTTTTTAGAATATGTTTTTAAATATATATCGAATATATTTTGAAAGGGATTGTAATTAATTTCCAAATTGAGAAAAAATTATTCTTTTGCGAGAAATTTGATCGAAACAAATGTGATATTTAGATACGAGATGCGAGTTACTGTTATGGAAGCAGTGGAGAGGACGACGAGGAAGAAGACGGATCTGGTGCACGTCGAACAGGTGAAGTGAGTGCAGCGGCAAATACATTATTATACACTGGACTTGGAACAACTGCACTTGGCCTAGTAATTTCTTTCGTTGGAACGGGAGAAAAAGGATTCCTCAGCCCGGAATTAAGACTAATTGGACCGTCACTACTTTGTGCTGGTTTACTATGTTGCTTCCTACGGGTGTTCCTCTGTATTTGTCTATGTCCCTGTGGACATTGTCGTTGGAAACCCTGTCCCTGTGTCTCCAAGAAAAATCGCAAAAAACATAAAGAGGAAGTGCCCTCGCTGGAACCGTCGCTACCAACAGCTTCACTTTTATCGCCCTTGTCACAACCGGCAATGCCTTCATCCTCCTGTATAATTTCACCAGTGACAAGAGGACGTGAACTTCTACTTTCACCTGCCCAATTACCTGAGTGACGGTCCCGATAATGAAAATCAAAAACTTTTTCTACAACACAAAAAAAAACACAAAAATTTTACTGCCGGTACCAGAGTGGAGCGAGAATTTACGTGAAAAATCAGAGTTACATCCACTCGCGAATCGTTATATATATAAACTAGTTAACCACGATTTAGTGCTTTAATTGAAAAAAAGAGAATTGAGAATAAATAATAAGCTGATGTTTTCTAATTCTTTGTATATTTATTAACAGGTTTCTATTATGAAACCCCATTATTTTTAAATAATTTTTTTTCTTCAAGTCATTCAGAAACATGTTGTCTTTTTAAATCTTAAAAAACAACTAATTTTTTTTTTTGTTAAAATTTATTCCTTTGAATTTTTTTTCTGGATTGAAATTTAATCTAACACTCTAAGGAATACTGACAAACCACTGTTACAAAATTCGAAGACGAATTATAAAAAAAATTAAATTCTGTGCAAAAAAAAAAAAAAAAAAAAATTGCTCCAAACTTTGCGACGGCAGTTAAGGTTATGCGACAATTAATTTTTCATCTTGCCAATAATTTTCTTGTCTTTCTCTTTTTTTTTTTTACTGCTGGCAAGATACATCAGTCTTTTTGATTCGACTCAAATTTAAAAAAGAAAATATATTGTCGCACTACCCTATACATAAGGTGAATTTTTATTCAAATTCTTTCATTCACTCGCGTCTAGAAAAAGATTCATTTTTTTTCCCCACATATATACTTCTTTTCTTTCTCTCTCCCTCTCTCTTTAATTTAAATGTCTATTTACTTTTTCAAAGAAAGGAAGTTAGAGGTGTGCCATATGTTGACAATCAAGATAATTGGAAGTGCATCTGATCGGAGGTGGAATAACTATAAATAACAGGTGTATCTGAGGTTGTTGCGTCAGGTGCCGCTTGAATGGTGAACAGTTGTTCCTCATATATTGTTGAATGAGCCGATTCACTTTTTCTATCGCCATTGCCTGACGTTGTTCCCGGTGGATTATCACCTTTTGTTGCTTCACGATATTTTTGTAGATAAAGTTTCAATGGTTCAACATAATTATCAAAACCAAGTGTTGTCATTGCAAATAGTATATCCTCACCGTTAATTGTTTTTCGTTTTTCCATATGACATCTGTCGCTTGCTTCCGATGTGATAAATGATATAAATTCTGAAACACATTCTTGTACACACTCACGTGCATCCTTTGCTATTTTCCCCGATTCAGGAATTGCTCTCTTCATAATTTTTGCTACATTTGCTATCGGTAAGAAACGATCTTGTTCACGTAGAGGTCCAGCACGTCCTCCACGTTCTCCACCTTGTAATGGATCACTACCTCCATGATTAGAATCGTCTGTATTTTCTGGATCATCTGCTTTCAAAGTGACATTTCTCAAATATTTGATTTTTAGGTTAGGTTTCTTGCATTTGTCAACATAGGTTAAAATTTTTTAAAAATATTAATTTTACTCTTATAGATAATTTGAAACCTAAGAATGCAATCAATAAACAAAAATGAAAACAAAACACAAGCAGAAATGAATTGTTTTCTGTTGACAAAAATAACAATTGAGTTTAGATGGGAAATAAAACTCTTTGTTAAATAGAAATTCTAAAAGAAATTCTTTTTTAACATACCTTCTAAATCGCCACCGATATAATTACCGGCTATTCCTCCATCTCCAAGAAAAGAAGATGAACCTAGTGGACCTCCATCGTCGCCACTCTCACCACTGTTTTCCATCTTTGGATACGTTTTTGCGTTTTTAACAACGTAGTTTCTTTTATAATTAATAAATATGAATTGTATCCTCAATTTTCAGAATGTTTTCTTCTGATTTTTAAATATTTTTTACTTAATTGTTTATTAATAATTTTTGTAGTATAGAATCGTATGGAACGGTATACACAAATGTTGTGCGTAATCCCCACTTTCAGACATTATCAGCCATAGACTACAAGTTTTAATGAGAAGGTCACACAACTTTTAATTTTCATATTCCTTAATTCTTCCTTTTTTTCTAGTTATTAAATAAATACTTTATTAATAATAAAGTAATTAGTATTCGTTTCCTTTTTAACAAATAATCAACATTAGAATTTGATTTTTTCTTATTTTTTGAAAAATTATAAATTCCTATTTCTTTTTTATTCAGTTGGCGAAACTGTCAATCGGTTAAATTTCGTTTATAAACGTAAACACTCTTAACGTAACTTACGTACATTACAGCTGTCAAAAGTACACTAAATTCTTATTGGCTTATAATAATATTACCAACCAATCGTAAAAGAATAAACTTTTGACAGATGTCACACAACTGTCACCTGCTGACAGAAGAACGTCACAGTTACGGACACTAGCCCATCAATAATTTGATATGATTTAATTGTTTGAACTGAATGCAATTTAATAATTATTTCAATAGCCAAGTGTGTGACGTGAATATCTGTAAATTTCACATATGACACAGTGAATCAAGAAATTTGCTGCAAGTTAAACGCAGTAACAACACACTTCCAGTATGTCGTTTTTCGGTGTTAATGTAAATCCATTTTCCACACCAGTCGGTCAAAGAATAGGTGAGTTTTATTTTTTATTATCTTTTTTTCTTCGAACACAAATTAATTTTATTAATCTATAGTTCCAATGCACATTTGTTTTATTGACAACTTGCTTATGGTCTACTTTTATATAGACGAGTTCATGTTGTTACAGATGAGTTAACTTTTTTTCATTAAAATCATTAAATTATTTAAATGATAATTTTGTTTCAATGTTTTTTTACTATTCAAGAATGTATAAATGTAAATTACCATAAAACTTAAATCCTTTTTATTGTTATGAATTATTATAATTATATTTATTTTTGATGGAAAATTTCTGTTAGACAGGTATATAGATAAGTCGCCGCATACCGCATAAGTCAAGATACCTACGCATTATATGTTTTATGAGTCATTCATTAGAGTTATCAAAACAAATTGAAGACTTTATTTTAACGATATTCAAAGAGATATTTGTTTTTGATTTTTATGATATTCATTTTCAAATTCTTTTTGAAATCTGATTACCAAAAAAGATATCAAATTTTAAGACAAAATACAATATTCATTAAAAATTATTAATATTATTATTATTATTTTAATTAATTTACGCCCACGATTAAACCAAGAACAATGACAGTTTTATCAGTTTTTAGATTATAGGCTTTGATAAATTTTTGTTCGTACTTTTTAATAATAAAATATTTTATTAAGACAAAGATATATGAATTGCAAGAATTGAAGAATATTTAAAAATTCTCTTAACTTTTTTCTTTTATATTTTTATTGTAATATGACACTTTTCAGTGACATAGTCGTTTTTTTATCCAGCTTTCTTGTTTTGTCCTTGAAACAATTGTGCCAAGATTATATGACTTAATTATAGTAACCAATGGTGTAAATAAATCAATGTATATAATATAATATTTAACGATTGGTAATTATTGAGACGTGAATAAAAATTGAAACAATTTCTAACGTTTCAATCTTTATATAATAATTTAGAGAATTATATAAACATTGAAAGAATTATTGCTTTTTGGATATATATATTTTTTTTGTAAATATTTCAAATTTTTTTCAGAGCAAGCCACTGATGGCAGTCTCTCGAGTGAAAATTGGGCCCTAAATATGGAAATATGCGATATAATTAATGAGACAGAAGAAGGTCCGCGTGATGCAATTAAAGCCATAAAGCGCAGACTCAATCAGTCTGCTGGAAAAAATTACACCATCGTCATGTACACCCTTACTGTTAGTATACATATATATATCCCTATAAGTAATCGGCCTCTTATATGAAAATAAATAGAAATTACTCTACTATAAAAAAAAATTATTTTCTTTTTAAATTTAGGTTTTAGAAACATGTGTGAAAAATTGTGGAAAGCGATTTCACGCATTGTCCTGCTCACGAGAATTTGTACAAGAATTAGTGAAGTTAATTGGACCAAAAAATGAACCACCAACTGCCGTTCAAGAGAAAGTATTGAATCTTATTCAAACTTGGGCAGACACTTTTCGTACTTTACCTCATACACAAGGTGTAATACAAGTCTATCAAGAGCTTAAAGCCAAAGGCATACAATTTCCCATGACTGATTTAGATGCCATGGCACCAATAATAACACCTGAAAGGGTAATTGAAAAATAATTTTTATTTTCTCTTTCTTTTTTTTAAGAAAAGGAAATTTAAGAAGCAAATTAGAAACATTTAACTAAATTTCTTGGACTTTTTTTCCGAAATAGAACCAAGGAATCCAAAGTGTATTAAAATTTCAGAGCGTGCCTGAAACGGAACAAAATTTAACCACTAATCCAACAGAGGACCAAGCCTCAATAATAGCGGGGCCACAACAAATGCAATCAGCCAATCAATTGATTCAATTGAGTGATCAACAACTTGCCAAACTACAAAGTGAATTGGACGTTGTTCAAGGAAATATGCGAGTTCTATCGGAAATGCTCGCTTATCTCACAAGTCCTGAACAAGCAGCAAATCAAACACCAGATGCAGCGGATCTTGAATTATTGACTGTAAGATGAAAAATAAAAATTTTTGGTATTTGAAAAGATTTAACTGAAAATGAATTTTTTTTTTTTTAGGAACTATATAATACTTGTAAAGCAATGCAACAACGTGTTGTGGATCTAATTGGAAAATTGGAAAATGATGAAATGACTGCAGAATTATTACGCGTCAATGATGAATTGAATAATCTCTTTTTGCGTTATTCACGATATACAAAGAATAAAGTAGCACCTAGTGCTCTATTGGCACAGGCGATAGGTCGTCCACCAAATGCCGAAGCAAGTGCTATTAAACAGGAGGGCGATTCTTTAATTGATTTATCAGATGGAGTTGAACCGCTTGAGAAACGTGTTGACGCTATTCAAATTTGCCCGAAAAAAGAAGGCGAAAGCGATGAGTTCGATATGTTTGCTCAGTCGCGAAACACTAATTATGAAACATCTAAAAGCAGGTTGACAATTTTTTTTCCAAAAATATAATAATCTATAAAAAATTATATTTAATTAAGAAATTGTACTTAAAAAAAAATATGATTTTTAGTGGCAGCAAATATGAAGATAATATGGAGCAGGTGAGCGGAGATGGACTAAGTACAGCGATTTTAAATCGCAATAATCCTAAACACTCACAACAGACTGCTTCTACTGTTCCTGCTGCTGCTACTACTACCACTACATCCAGTTCCACTGTGCGTAACTCGCTTGAATTCATTTCAAACAGTAGAGTATGAATATTAAAAATTTATTTATGAAAATTATGAATTATTTCTCTCCCTGTGGAGATGGAAATTGCTTTTGTCATGTTCAGTTTCATACTCTGTTGCGTTGTCTATCATTATCATTTACAGTAACGAATTCAGAATTTTTTTTTTCTAGCAGAATGTCAGCTTGTAAATAGTTTCTTTTTTTTACAATTAGTACCTGAATGTCTCTGATAAATGAGAGAAAATTTTGCTTTAGTAACTAGAATTTAAGATTCAAATACCACATTTTTTGTTCTTTATATTAATATATTTCATTTTTCATGCTTATTTAGAAAATATTCAATTTTTCTCTAATTTTCAACATTAAAATGTTTCATATATTTAAAAAATATTTAATTTTTGATAAATAATTTAAATTAAATTTTCATTAGAAGACTGTTAATGCTTTAGTGCTTTACATTTTATTTTGCACGTTATATTTCTGCTCGTACCAGCTTTCTTGAAAAAACAACTCACATATTACAAGGAAATTGGACACAGTATGTAAAAAAATGTGATATTTCTTTCTTAAATATAAATAATGTTTTTTTTATGTTCTGTTAATTCAATATCTCTGTCATGAATGTCTTTAGTTTTTTATTATTTTGTTGTCTTTGTTGCTTAGCTCAATCGAGAATCTGAATTCAGTGAAATGGCAGCTTGGTTAGATCATACGGTAAGCGAATTAAATGTTTAAATGTCAATTTCTTGTTTGCGATGTACAAAAAAAAAAAAGAATAATAAAAAGCGAGGAGATAAAATAACATTTTTTTTGGTTTCAATTTTAGCCTGGAGCTCAAGGGGACCAGTCACTGACATCCTCAGAATTTGACAGATTTTTAGCCGAGCGAGCTGCAGCAGCTGAAGCTCTGCCAACTGTTCCAACAACAACCACTACATCAAGTACAACTACCGCAAGTGGTGGAACCAACATTCAAAGACAAATCAATAAGGACGAAGATAAATCTTTGTTCGCTTTGTAAAATGTAACTACTATTATAATAACTCGTAAACTTTATTTCAACGAAAATCAAGCATGTCATAATCAAGACATTAAGAATTTAGAAGAAAAAAATCAGGATTTTAAAAATCAACTATATGTCTTTCTAGACACTTCAAGAATTAAAAAAATGAAATCAAGTATATGCTTTGAGTTATCAAAAAAAAAAGTGCAGATTAATTAGCGGGAACTGCTAAAAACGAGTTGTATAAATTTTAAAAGACGTAAAAAGACAGGAAAAAATAATTTCTGTCTCATATATATATATATATATAAAAAAAAATTATATATAAACTGCTTCTCGCTTTCACGTACTTATGTGCAAATTAACGAGTTTTACGATTACGTCGCAATTCATCGTCGTTATTTATTCTCTCAAATTAATTATTATGTCTTTATGGGGAAAAAAATAATTGAAGATAAGAGTAAATTTTCTTCAAATTTTTTGCAACTACGTAATCTAAAGACACTAGTTTATGTTATTTGTATATAAAAAAAAGTTGCTAAATAATACACGTTTGATTGACGTTAAAGTCACATTAACGAAAAGATGAAATATATAAATATTTATATATAAATATATATAAAGAAAAAAAATCATGTTTTCCTTACATTCAATTCAAAGTGATAAGATAATAACTTATTAAAAAAAATGAAAGAAAAATCTACAATTTATTATTTATAAAAATTTACGTCTATTAAAAAAGAAGACCTTGATCTACGTTAATATGAATTTTATCATACATAAATATCGAATATCTATTTATAAGGAGTATGATAACAAGATCTATTATTATATTTTACTTTGGATAAAAATTGTATAGTATTTATATTTTTATCGTCTATTGTGCACTCGAATTATGTTAATAATATCATGCAATATTCCTGTGGTAATGGTCAGTAGATATTAATTCGATTGCTTTTTAAAGTCACTGGCTTGTAAAGTATAGTAGGGCTCTTTTTAACTTTATGATCCAAGAGTATTTAATGTTCTACTCGAATAATTCTTTTAAGCTATAGAAGAAAAAACTGTATTACGTTACGCTGAACAGTATTAATATTACAGTGGAACGTACCAAAAAAGAGAAGAGAAAAAAAAACATTTTCAAGTCATGTCTAAGTATATTGTTAAAAAAAAGTGAATCAATTTTTATTTGATTTTAAAATCAAATATCATACGTTCATCGAACGCTAAACGTGCATTTAGTGTTCCAAGTCAGTGGCACATTATACAAGTTACCTGTCACAAGTGTAGAATTTCTTGTTTTGAATAATCAATTTTGTTTACAAATTTCGATTATCTTTTTATTTCAAATTGCCCTCAATAATTAATTTCTAATTCATTGATTCTAATCTTAAATTAACTTGTTTTAAATGTTATTTAAAATTTTGATATTTAATCTTACCAAATTGTTGTTGCCTTCCGTCCTTTTCACGATTTCATTTTCTTAAATATAAAGAAGTATCTTACGATTAGGCAAAAAAATTTTCTGTAAAAATCAATAAAGATAACTATGTAGACAAAAAAAAAAATCACAGATTAAATTAATAAAAAAATATATTGATAATCAATTGGTAATTTCAGACAATTTATTAACAAAGTCACTTCGAAATTTCGATATTAAATTTCTTATTCGTTCGTCTTGCATCAATGCTTTGGTAATTTCTGGCGTTGATTGACACACTAAATATAAACAATCCTCTAAAATTTGAAAAATCTCTTCACTCGCTTCTAATTCAATTAAATTGATATAGAGTTTCAGAAATATTTTATACAAACTTTCGCTATGAGACGAAATTTGATTTTCAAATCGAAAAAGAATAATTTTCATATTTTCTAAAATTATTTTCAAATGATTTAAATCATCATAATGTTCACAGTAACCATCAACAATGCGTATCACTCTCGCGCACCATTTACAACAACCAGGTGAATTTAAAAGTTCCCCTAAAATAATCATGTACGATTGACGAATTTCTTGATTATTTTCACACTCCATCTTATCGAATAATTTCTCAAGAACATTATCACGTTCATTCCATTCGAAGGTGTTAAAGTTCTCTTTATGTAATTCTAATGATTTTAAAATTTTTCCAATACAATTGTACAACAATAATGTACATTTCAATTCTTTTTCAAAGATAAATTTGTCAAGATTAAAAAGTACCATTTCAGCATAACCTGATTTGACAAATTGTTTTTCCATGTGACAATGTTTTACAATTTCAGAAATACATTGTAATCCTAAAATTCTATTCTCCATTTCAAAGTCATCTAGAATTATTAATGCTGTGGGTATTATATCATTGAAATAATTAATAATTGTTGATTTTGTCAATTGAGTGACAAACCATTTGTAACAAATAATTGATGCAGGATAAGTTTTCCATGTGTCTTTTAATAATTTTGGTCTTAATGTGGTAAGAATGCGACCAACATCTTCATTATTTTTCTCAATAAGTTGAGAGAAATTTTCCGATGAATATAAATCACAAAGAATTTCTGATATTCTTTTACATAAACTAAGAGATTCAATTGTAGTCCAAAGATTTTTTTTACTGTGTTCACCGATCATTATTATACAATAACTTTTAAAAATATTAACTTTTGAAGAATTTAATGACATACTTGTTTCATTGTGTTCATCCAAAATATGTTGTAGAATTGACAAAATATCCTGACAATTTTGATTGACAATGTTTCGATAATTTTTAAAATCATCTTCAGTGCATGGACGATGTTTTCCTTCTGGGACACGTGGAACGAATGTTTTTTCTATTAGACGAATACAACTACTCCAGTAACTATCAAATTCCATTCTATTGTAAGAGAAAGATAATATTTTATTTTTATATATTAAAATTCTATTCTTTGATTATTACGATTAAATTATATTTTAATATATTAAACTGTCCTGCAAGAAAAATTTAGAGGTTAGAAAGATTTCTTTAGTTCAAAATATAGATAACATTTAACATATTTTTTACTAGATTATTTAAATTAAAAGGTTAGATTACCTTAAGTCTTTGTGTTGAAATTCTATGAATAAACTTCGTTAAATAATAAAATTAAATCACTATTAATTCAACACGCTTTTTGCATGTCAAAATTTGTTTTTGTTTTGAAAACCATAAACTCTGCGCGATAGACATGCGCATTAACGATATTCGGGATTAAAGGCGCATCTCCATAATAATCAACGCTCATTGGTAGTTTATCCCCGCTTAAATTTGAAAAAGCCAATGAGCGCGATTGTTGTTGACATTTGGAATTTTGAGGTTATATTTACTTTTGTTTTGAAATTGAATTCGTAGGTGTCAGTTATTATTAAAGAACTAAACAATTTGTAACAAAAAGAATTAAATTTCAGCAATAAATATTAAATTAAATATATAGGTAAGAATTATAATTGATAATCAAAACCAATAATGAAACATTAATTGATTACTGAATTTTATTATTAGCTCCAAGAATGAAAAACAAGCGTTTATGAGGAAAGCAAATTTTAAGTGGAATAAAATAAAAAAATAATTAATATTCACCTTTTCAGATCATGTTTAAGCTTCAATCAATGTCAGCAGATGATTATAAAACAGATGGTTTTAAATATAAAATTTTTTACGCATTTCATCAAACACCATTTGGAAAGTGTCTCATTGGAATTTTAAATAATAAAGAAAAAGCAATTTGCCATTTATCTTTTGTCAATAAAAATGAGAGTACATCATTAGAATCTTTGAAAAAGCGCTGGACACAAAATGAATTAATTAAAAATGTTAAGGAGACAACTGAATACGTAGAAATAATTTTTTCACCCAATTTTAAAGGATTAAATGATGAAAATTCTGATTTGGACGATGTAATCTATATTGTTTTGAAAGGAACAGAGTTTCAAATAAAAGTTTGGACACAATTGATTGAAATACCATGTGGTTCGACAACAACTTATGAAAAAATTGCTCAAGCTATTGAAAAACCAACAGCAATTCGTGCCGTGGCAAATGCAATTGCTAATAATCAATTGGGATATTTGATTCCCTGTCATCGTGTTATGAGTAAAAATGGTTGCAATAAATACGAATGGGGAGTGGAACGAAAAATAGAAATTTTAAATTACGAAAAGGAATTAACAAATTAAATCTTAATTGAAAAATATATAAATTATTCATAATGGATTTAAAGAAGAAATAATTATTATATGTATTATCAATAGTTTATTTTTTTACTTAAAAAAATCGATAAATATAATAAAATACACAACTGCACACTAATACACTGAGTATGTAAATTTAAAAAATATATGTTTATATAAATTGTATAAAGTGTGCTTCATTTTTCATACTCTGTAAAAATATGCAGTACTCTCTCTCCCTCTCTTTCTATTCTCTTGTAAAAAGTACACATTCAAAATTTTTTTTTAAATTCTGTTTCGTGGCGATTTTAGACATGTTTCAAAAAAAAATGATTTCATTTAATAAATAGGAACAATATTTAAAAATATATAATATTTCAATTATATTTTTATTTTATTAACGAAACAGTTTGAAATCGTCACAATTCATTTTTTACAGTTTTATATTTAAAAAGGTTTTCTTTGACATAAAGAGACAATTTTTTCTTTTCTATTTGAAAAGAAATGTATTTTATTTAATTTGCATTTAAACGTATTTAAGAATTATATTATAAGTACGAGGCGTTACTACTTGGTAGTAAAACGGCATTGACGGTGAACAGATTAAATAAATTTTTTGTTCCTTGAGACGCCGTCGAATCACATTTAATTGGAGTTTACAATTGTAATTTAAAATTCAATCACTCCATATTATTATTTCTAAGTCACAAGCGCACTTATACATGGAAGTTTCTTAAGAATTTTAATTCTATACACTATAGTTCTATTTAAATATACAAATATTTACAATCAACTATTCACAAACTAAAATATAAAGCGTTAATTAAATATTCGATGGACATTCCAAGAAGTGTTTTCATTTAAAGATTTTTAAGTATTTCATCAAATTTTTTTTTGGCGTCTAGATTAACTTAGAAAACATTGAGGTATTAAAAATCAGCCTTGAAACTTATATTGTGTGGCAGTTTAAATGTTTGGAAGCTTTTAATCATTTCTGATCTTTTCCTTTTTTTTAGCAATTTGAATAATAGAATTACAATAATATGGTAGAAAAATACTTTACGGTGGATAAAAAATAGTTTAATAAAACATAAAAACGATACAAAAATGTATCGTATTAAAATCAATGTAAAACGGAATGATCCACCATCCTGAAATCTCAGGAAATTCAATTAAAATGTACAAATTCGATTTGTAATGTTAATTTGAAACTTATTTTTGGTAATAAACTGTGCTAAAACAAATTTTCCTACTATTGTGATATTACGAAGTTTTTTTTAACGTAATCAGACATTTGCTGATATAATTTTTTTTTCTTTTTTTTTTATAAACCTATTAATGTACAACGATATTAATTTACTATCACGAGTTAGAAATTCGCGACCTAAAATTTTTTTTTCGGTAATTGATTTATAAAAATATACACATTAAATTATTAATATTCCATTGTGTTCGCGATTTCTAGAATGCTTTGCTATCTAATACATTTATTGTATTTTTATTTTCTCAAAATCGCTTCTATTTTTTCCCTTTTTCGACCTTTCAAAAATTATTGGACTATGACTATTTTTTAAAAAGGGATTTTTTTTCTCTTTCACTTTAAAAGCTGAACATGAAAATTCTTTCATTTTTTTCTTGACGAAAAAAGTATTTCTTTTTTTTAAAGGCTGGATGTCAATTTTTTAATGTATAATAATGTAAAAAGTATTATTAATACTGGCAAGCTCGAAGAATATTTTGTACTTCTCGCAGATGAAGAAATAACTCGTGGAGGCATTCTAGTTGGCCCTAATAAAAAATAAAAATAGTCCCAATATAATCATATGTACATAATATAATTTTAAATAATGTAGTAATCTAAGTAATCAATTGTGTCTACATCATTACCTTGACTTCGCGGTCGGTATGTTGTAGAATGACGTATTGATGGAACTTTTGTGATTGGTCTCATTGGCGTTGGAGCAGGACTTGGTGAATTTCCATAGCATTGTCCTAAAAAATTTATAAAATTATAAATAAAAAATCACTACTATAATTATATTTTCTATTCATTTTTAAGTAAATTAACATTTGATATTCTAATATTTTTATATTCAAACTTTTCTTTCAAGTTTTTATTTACCTTTTTTATAAAGTCGCATTCCTTGCTCTTTGGGGATGATATTGCGAATACAATGATCTCCAGCTTCTTTGATGTAAATTTCTTCATCGTTAATTATTAAACCGACAAAACATTCTTTTGTTTTAGTGTCATTTCTCATTGTATATGTGTACATTACTCTGTTTTCTTCCCATTGTCCAAGGCATACGTAGGAACGTTCTAAAATAAAAATAAATTTTATTATAATCTTGTTTTTCTTCTAAAAAAAAATAATTCTTACAGAATATTTTTCATTTTTAAAAAAACATACCTTCGAATAATTCACCAGTAATGCAATCGCTAACTTTAAAATACATGATTTCTCTAGTTTGGCAATTACTACTTAATTCTGCACACATTCCTGGAATGTCAACGATTTGTCCCATGTATTGTCCTGTAATTGGACATGGAGATTCTACTGTGCGTTCGATACCTATAAAAAGATGTAACAATTAATATTTTATAAAAATTTCTAATTATTATAATTATTTCAGTATTAAAAAAAATGCATTTTTCTAAAAGAAAATATTTCATTTTTTAATATTAGTAAATATTTGTTACTTACGAGCTTGTGTCATCCAAACTGGTTTATCAAAGTTCGGATTGTCACATAAGTTCGGTTGATAAATTGGACTTGAGAGCAAACCTGTTTAAATGAATTAATTGTTAATTTCTGTCAAAATATATTTTCAAAATAATTCAATTTTTGGAAAAAATTTATAAAATTCTCACTTGTTGCGAATTCCATTACATTTTCACTTCTTTGCCTCATCAGCATACAGGCGAAAGCTTCTCGTTCGCTAAAAGAAAAGAAAAAAATTAAACTCGTTAATAAAGTTATAAATAACTGTAAATGAAAATTAAACTATTAATTTAAAAAACTATTTTTTTGACATAAATAAGAAATCATACCAATGATCTTTGGAGTAAACTACATATCGTCCAGTATCATGATTAGCATCCACAGCAATGAAAGTGAAACTATTATACCCATTTCGATCGATAAAAGTCATTGTTCCATCAATGACCAAAGATTCTTCCCATTCGCCTTGTGCCCATTTAGGAAATCTATAAAAAAAATTTTTTTAATAATTTTTATCAAAAAATTACAAGAGATAATTATAACTTTAAAATTTGTATTTATTAAAAAGTAAAGAACTTACGAGGATAAATGTGTTTTGACATAAGATGGAGTCGTTTTTTGATTCGTTGCTTTTGTCAATTCTAAATTCTCATAACCCATCGTTGCATTCATAAGATTTTGCGTACAACTTGAATCACTGCTAAAGGCCAGATAAGTTTTTCCTTTTTTATTATCCACATAAAAAAGCTGTAAGTAATTTAAAATAAAACATTAAGTCTAATTTCACCTTTTTTTAAAATTCAATTACGAATAATTCGCTGGGTTAGTGGAAAAAAAGGATACGTCCGTTTGATTTAACTATGACGTGTCCTTTTTTTCCAATAACCCAGCGAATTGTTAAGTGATAAAAAAAAATTATTAAAAAACTAAATATAAAAAGTAATAAAATTTATTCAACTTACTCCACAACGATATTGAGGTCTAAAACCTCCACCTTCTTTTGTGTCTTCTAAAGCAATGTACCGAGCTCCATTTGGTCCTTCCCAGCTTCCCAAACAATTGAATGTTATATCTGTGAAAAAGGAAATAAAAATTATCATTTAAAATAAAATTTCAAACATAGAAAAGGAGAAAAATAATTAAAAGAAAAAATAAATAATAATAAAAATGAATCTTACCAAAACTATCGAAGGAACAACGCTTGAATTGTAAATGAATTACAGAACCAACTGGACAAGTATCAAAATCAGAGGAATATGAATTACATTCAAATTTTTCCTCCGTTCCCTCATTAATATCGTATCTAAAATGATATCGTCCCGCAATTGGACAGTACTCGTAAGTAATTGGAGCCCCTCCAATATCTTTTGTACCTGCACAAAAAAGCAATAAAAAATTTAATTAAAAAAAAACAAAAATTAAGACCATTTAATTAAAATATTAAATAATTAAAAATATCCTCATGATTTTACTCATATAAAATATAAATTCTAAATTCCAAATTCAAACCACATTTAAAATAATTTTCATTCCCTTTTTTTGAATAAATTAAATGATTTATACGATTCTTGGAATTAAAATCTGATTTTTTTTCTCACTAAAATATAAAACATAATCGGAATTTTATGATTTCCTTTTTATTTTCTTTTTTATATAAATTTCTCCACAAAAGTAAATTTTATTCCATAATCTCCTATACGAAGATTTCAAGAATTGAATTTCTAAACAATGATCATTGTCATCTGATGGAACGTGATAGGATAAAATCGTTCGCGTACGTGACTATAAATAAAAAATATAATGTAATATACAAAAGTTTCTTCTCAGAGAATAGAAATATTAATAGCACAGTCACTAGATTCTTATATACAGGTAAATCATCATATATATATATATATATACAATATTTAATGGACAGTGTAAGACATGGTTTAGTATACACAATGGACTGAACAACACCCCCAAAACAGGAAGTAGATGAAATACCACACGACTTTCCCGCGTGAAGGGTGCAATAGCGAAACCTTTTCCCTTTTTTTTAGACCCAACTTGAAATTGGAGTAGTTTTTTGTTTCTTTAAATTTATTTTCGTTTCTCTTTCATTCAAAAATTTAAAAAAAAAGGAAATTATTAACTATTTTATTAAATTATTCATTATTTTAATAAAAATATTTTGATTTTGTTTTATTTGAAAAAAATGTAAATTTCAAGAAAATTTCAACTTTATGTGTGATAAAAAATGCTGACAGTGTCTCAGCATCATTTTGATTCTGCAGTTACAAATCGCAATTTTTCTAAAGTTGTCGCGTGGAATGTCACTCTTGCTGACTATGAGGTTTTGTCGCGCGCCGCGCCGAGTAAACGATTTGGTCTGGTCACGGAGAGTTGTCGGTTGCAAGTCAGGTAACCAGTAGGGGTATCAGGTAGGTAGAATTTCTTCTTTGTCTTCTTTTTCCTCTATTACTTCCGTTCCTTTTTTTTCTCCCCACCCCCCTCTCTCTCTCACACCCTCTCCACGCTTCGCTGGATCCATTGATCAAAGAAGGTCACTGCTCGTTATTGGAATTTATGAATCTTCTGAATTGGTCTCCACTGAGACTGGTCCTTGTTTGCAAAGAGTGAAAGAGAAAGAGAGAGAGAGAGAGAGAAACTTGAAAAAAACGAAACCTCAAAACCCCCCTGGACATGAATGAACTTCCAAAAAGGGTAGACTTTCCATAAGTAGTGTACAGCTGGTCAGTTTCTATTAGCTTCAAAAAAATTTTTCCAAAGAAATCTCTAATAAAGGGACCCATTCAAAAATTATTTTTCTTCCTTCCGGTTTATAGAAAATAACGACATTCAACAATAAAATTCCTATTAATGATACAATGATGAAAATAAAAATCGATCGATTTTAAATAAAAATGGTTGGATTATTTTTTTTTTTTTTTTTATAAAAACCAAGAAAGATAATGGGCGAGATTCCTTAACAGACCATGGTTCATTGGGTCCAACCTCGAGGACGATTATACACTGAAGACTCATAGCCACTCCCACGCCAGGATCGTTCTCTGGATGGCGAAAAAAAAAGAAGAAGAAAAGATTAGAAAGAATAAGAAGATACAGACGGCGCGAAGAATGAACAGAATACGAATATCCTGGATGAGAAACTCCATCTTCACCAGGAGAGAGAATTCCCTGGGTGGGCTACCATCTCAGGATCGTACTTCAAACCAAGGTACAGTGCCTTTCCATTTCCTTATACCCTCAAGTGTCAAGGAAGAAATATTACTTGCGAGGCCTCTCAACACGGTTAAATAAAAAATAATAATAATAATAAAAGAAAAAGGTAGTCTTGAAAAATATATCTTCTTCGTTGATTTACCAACTAGGCAAATAATAATTAATATTGTTCACAAACAATACTAATTTGAGAGCTGTCTATGCGTTCGCCAAGAACAAAGTAAGATTTACTGATGAAGAAACACTATATCGATGTCCTTCAACTTTTTTTTCAATAAAATTGCCTACTTTTTTTTTCTTCTTATAAATTATTCTTTTTACAACTCTGTGAACCGAGAAAAATTCGTCACGCCACCATGAACTGAAAGGACAAAAAGAATTTTTTACATCATTCATTCTAATTTTACAAAGATTTTGTAAAAATTTAATTTAAAAAAAAAAAATACAACAAGGAAAATAAATAGAAAAATTGGAAACAGAGCTCGTTTATAATAAAAGAAATTCACTTTGGAAATAATTTAAAATGATCGTATGCATTTTAAAATGATTATATCGCCATTGAGAATCGAAACTTGATAAAGTCGACTTTTAGCAGCTGAGAAACTGGAGATTCACTAACCATAAAGCGATGACTATATTTCCAACAAGTGGACCGTGTAGAAACTCGTCTCAAGGATTCAATTTGTATCGGTATGAGATTGATACAAAAGATTCAAGATTTCTTTATACAAAATATAATCCAGTATTTACAATTCTATATTTTACTTATAATTATTTTTTATAAAAAAAATATAAAAAAGAAAAATTAGAATTCAAAGGAAAAAAATTCAGCAACATTTTATGAAGATCAAGAAAAAAATATGTTTTTATGAATCAAGGTCATTGTTAAATTCAATGTCGACAACCCTTGAGAACCTGGGAGCTGTTTTTTTTTCTTTTTTTTTTAATTATTATGAGGTCGTCTTCATATAATATATAGCGTGTACGCGGCCGATTATGTAAATCTGTGATCGCATAAAAGAATTTTAATTGATGCATTCTTGAGAAAGACAACGCAATAAAAGCGCGTGCATGTGCACTCTCTAGTTTAACACACAGCAAAGTATATTAAAAATAACCGTATCCGCCCTCCTACACATTGTTCACCTACGTCGTTACGCAAGCTTCATTACTTCCCTCCAGACTAATTAACGTTAATTAATAAGTTTATATACATTAATCCATTGCACATATGTAATTGTTGATCGTTCTGTCGAATCAGCAAAAAATTAAAACAAGTCCAATCGAAGACAGGAAGTTGAGTAGATTTTGAATTAGTATATCCGTTACAAAAATTGCTGACTTGTTTCGCTTTTTTTTGCAAAACCTTGACTCATACAAATTTGTTTACTCATTTATTTGATTTGGAAAAAAAATTCGTATTTTCATTGACGAAACCAGATTAGTCACTGTCAATGACCTCGTTGATAAATTTTAAATGTTCTGTTTTTACAAAAAAATAATTATTTAACGAGAATGAAATTTTTTTTCAATAATAAAATAAATATTATACTTACGATATAAAATTGATGTTGCATTTAATGCCCCACAGGATTCTATGGCGGCAGTCTCGGATGTATAACACTTGTTTAAATTCTCTGAGAATACTTCAACAACGTTGCGTGACCTTCGTTCAAGTCGGAAACATCTTATGCAGTCTCCTTCGCCGTAACTGTAATCAAATTAAAATTAGTATAGAATTTCACAAACTATTTACCATATATAAAGTTCTCTAATTTCATTTCGTTTTATTTAAAAAATATATTTATTTTTTGTATTTCACTTTTTTATTATTAAATATTTCAAAATGTAAAATTTTTCTCTTTTATATCAAATGTATATTATAAGACGACAAAGTTGTAAAGCAATAAATTGTGTATAGAGATAAAGTTTCTGAAAATCTTTATTTTGGACATCTTGAAAGTTAAATATTTGTGTTGAAATAAAGGAGAGCAATTAAGGAACTACTGATTCGAATCTTTAAAGATATTCGTTTGAGAAAACCGCTACTGTGTGTGCATATATAAGAGACTGTTAAAGTATTATATAGAGAAAATACTGACAACCCTCTCTGCAAGTCTTTGAATTTATGTACACAAGTGTGCAAAGTATAAAACGGCCAACATCGTTATCCCTAGACTCATAATTTTCACTAGTAAGTCTGCGGAGCAGCAGCTGTAGACCGCGAGGAATGTTTCTCCAGTGATGATATACAGGAAGCCATTTTTATGACCCATCTTATGTTTTAATACATCAAATTTACAAAGTATATTATAATAAAAAAAGAAACACCTTACGATAAAATTAATAAGAAATATATTTTTGAAAAAAAAGTTGAAATCAACTCTTTAAATGTAATTCAGATTCAAACTTGTAATGTAACTAAAAAAATAAAGAACTTAACGGATCGACTTTAAGATAAAAAAAGTCGATTTATATTCCAAAACAAATCGAAAAAGTCGATTTTTTTTATTTTAACAAAATTAAATCGGTTAATGAACCGATATAATACTTTAAATAACTTAGATATTAAATTTATTTTATTAATTTTGTAATGAGAATAATTCTATAAAAATATTATCAAGAAAATTTATTTCGAATATTTCAGAATCGAACTAATTGTAAAATAAATTTTCAAAATCTTATTTAAGTATGACAAATTTTTAAAAAAATTCTTAAAGTTCCATTTTTAATAATGATAATAATAATTAATTTGAATAATTAATTAATTATTTCATAATTTTTTGAAGTTTGATTAAAGCAATTTATTCGAATTTAAAATTTTGTCATAATTTTTAGTATTGATGGTCAAAAAAATTCCAAGCAATATTTAATCAAGTTTTACAGATTTTAAAATAAAAATTTTTTTTAAATAATAATAATAATTTTACAAGAGTTAAAGTTAAAATTTTTCAAAATAATTGAATTTCAAAAGATTTTGTTAATTTTCAGATAATAATTAAATTTTACAGAACTAAAAATAATTTACCAATTATTTTTAGATAAAATTTTTTTAAAAGTAATTGAATTTTCAAAGATTTACAATTTTGATTTTTGAAATTAATTGAATTTCAAGTGATTTTTAATTTTAAATTTTTTATGATTTCACTAAAAAATTTATTAGAAATTGCAGACAAAAATAGAATAATTTGAAAAGTTTTTAAGTGAAATACGGTTTCAGATAGTTCAATTTTCGAAGAATATTATAAAAATCATTAAAAAAAATTGAAATTTTTACAAATAATTAAATTTTAAGTGACTTTGAATTAAAAAGTTTTTGTTAATTTTATTTGCTAATTTTTTTTTCAAATTATAAACAATTATTAAATTTCATAAAAATTTTAATTGAAAAATAGTTTAAGATAATTGAATTTGTGAAGAATTTATTTAAATTTATTAAAATTAATTAATCTAGTGAAGAATTTTAGTTAAAAATTTATTAAATAAGTAAAATAAATAAGATCTGCATTGTATACTAAAAAAAGTATTTTGTTTAAAAATTTTGTAAAAAAAAAATGTAAAAAGAATAAAAAAACTCTCATTTTATTAAAATAAGTCAAAAAAAGTCGCATAATCCGAGACCTGCATAAGAAAAAACGAGTAAAGATAAAATTAACAAAAATCGAAAGTAGTTTCACTATATAATTGTAAATTAGATCCTTCTAAGCGATAAAGTATATGAAGTACGTCTTTTTTAAAAGTTCATAGAAGATGCTTGTACACATCGTTTGCAAAAGAAGCAAATATATAACTAAAGGTGTGGTGAACGGATATGCCACACGATTCTCAACATTTTTTTTTTTTTCATAGAAGAGAGAAAGATTCTTGTAACTGTTAAGATGTGTATAAACAAGAAATCGTTTTCAGAAAAAAAAGTTTAAAAAGCTACTAACATATCTACATGTATTAAAAAAAATCAAAAGATAAAAAATCTAGTTGACGTAAACGAGAAAATAAACGATGAAATAATTTAAATTAAAAATAGAATATAACTACATATATATGTATATGATCTTATATGTGCGCGAGGAGGTAAAAGGACGAATGTGAAGAAGCTACAAGAGCTAATTTGAATTGATGAGCTCCCTGATCAGCCTAATGAATTCCTGTCATTATCATATGGGCTAAAATTATCATACAACATTGGTACAAAATAAACATCTCGAGAATTAACCATCGAATTAAAATGATCTATAGCTTCCCATTAGTCTGCGCAATATTATAAAAGGTTTTCTACCTTGAATTGCAAATCAGTTTAAAATTATTTTTGCATGAAGCTACAAAAATTATTGAAGAAAATAATAAACAAAATAAAACTACAAGCGCGATTTCTATAAAATTATAATAGAGGAAGAAAATTATTTTGTTCTTACCTCTCTTTAGTTTTTATTAAGAAAAATAAATTTTTAACGACAAAATGTAAAAGGTTTGCGTGACTTGAATATAATAAAAATAATTGTCGTTTATTTCACTTAGAATGCAATTTCAAGTTCTGACATGAAAATGGTACTCAAGGGGCTAATTTTTCTCCTGTGCGTGAAAAAGAAACGAGGGTCGATAAAGAGCAATCGAAATCTATTGAATTGGGGTGCAAGTGTTAAAGTCTTCTCCTTGGCAGTTGGCCATTTCTCTCTTTTTTTTTTTTTAATTCAGAAAATTATCCTCGGTATATAGCAATGCGCATCGCAGTCTGGCACTGCCTGGAACGAGAGACGTCTATTTTCGTCGTAGACATTTTACAGACGACATGTTTCGTTGGCGGCATCCTTTGGATTCACTCAGTTGTTACATTTGAAAAATAATCAAGTACCCTAAAAGTCTTCTGCACATCACATAATGTTCAATTCGCTAGACATGGGACAAAAAATGCGAAAGTAATATGAATATTACGAGACATGAATTCTACTTAGCCGAATTTTTTATTTTTTAATTAAAATTAAAATTTTATTGAATTTGAAACATTAAAAATGAATATTATATTTTTAAATTAAAATTGACGTTCCCATGAAAGGATTTCTGATTGAATGTATATAAAGCTAATGAAAAAATAACTGAAAATTGTTGGAAATCTAAGCAAATTGTTGATCCTCATTTCTCGCAATTGTGCAATGATTTAGCTTCTCGTGACAGAGAGAGAGTGGAAAAAAAATGCACTACATTGAGATACGAGGAATATATATAGGAGACAACATTGACATATCAGACACGCGATATTGCGTTCTACATATCACTATTTTTAATCCAAGATTCTCGATAATAATATGCATTAAATTTTATTTTTTAAAATGCTACTTTCATTGATAAATAATTTTCCCATCAAATATCTGACTCATATGAAACGCATGAATATTCTCACTATAAATTATCCAATGTTTCAAAAAAGATTTTCATTTTATATTTTTGCAATTAAAATAAAATATAAAAATGCACCTGTCATTTTTTTTTTTAGTGAAAATATAAAAATTTAATTTCCCTTACCTGTCAATGAGCAATACGTTATTTCCGACTTTTTTGTGGCACACTCCCCAAACAGGTATGGCATTATAGGTAATATTTATTGGTGAATACTGAATAGGTTCATTTCTAGTCATCGAACCCTTCGCATTTTTACCGCTCACTTGCATCATAAATTCACCCTGAAGCTCTGCAGGAAAATAACAGCTCGATGACACGTGAGTTTCATAATTTCTTAGTTGATCTGTCGTCGAAAGAGTCGTTTCAGCTGAAAACAATAATAATCAGTAAGAAACTCAATTAAAAAAACTATATACAAAATTTTCTTTTGTTTCTATTTTTGTTAAAATTTAATCATTAATCTTCATCATATTCTATATAAAAGTTATACGGTGAATAATTTTCCAAGTTTGAGACTATTTTTTTAACGCCTCTAATTAATCATAATTTGATTAATGGGATTGGTCTCACGAACATGAGTACCTGAGTTTAAAGATAATTATGAAGGGCAAAAAGGTGTCTGGATTATATACATGAAGGGTTGCAAAATCGAAAAAGTATATTAACATCGTAGTAGTGCGAGTATTATTTTGGCGCCGGAAGTTTCGTGGGTGAGTAAATCCATTAGGGTTAAAGTGCAGGTGTTACGGGGATATTTGAATTTAAAAAGAACAAAAAAAAACATTGATACTTTTGTACCCACTCGTAAAAAAATGAGCGTCAAATTATATTGCCACCTAATATATATCCACATGGCGCTTCAGCTTATAACGCAACGATCCATGAAAGGGTCATTACAGTTTCTTGAAAAGTGATCCTACACGTAATGACTCTTCCAAATTGAAACCAAACCAGCGCACGCGAACTTTGAATATAATTAGCCGAATGAAAACAAACAAAGCAAAAATGTTTACTATATTAATTACGTAATTTATTAAATCAAATTTAATAAAATTACAGAATGATAAAAATGTATTTTAAAATAAATTTGAGATAAATATTCATAAAATGAAAAATAATAAATAAAAAATGTGATTTCAATAAAAAATATAATTGTTTTCAAATAGCTGCGTGAAAGAATTTTTTTGTTCCTTTTTTTGTCTCTGGATATAGAAAGAGAGATGTTCGGTTAATAGCAATAATTTGGGAACTATTTACTCGACCTTCGATAATAGTCGAGTTTTTATACAGAACATTCCAAATAAAGTACGCTCTATCTATAATTATCCCAATTTCAAAAGAAAAAAATATTTTTTTTTTCAGCAATAAAATGGAATTTATAAAAAATTATAAAGATACATTTTTTATTTTAGCTAATAAAATTAATAAATATAATAAAACTAAAAAATAATGTTAAAACAATTAAGAGAACTTGATCAATATTTTGAAAAAATTATAATTGATGAAAATTTCATAGAAACTCCATTGAATCTGCCGAAGCCAATTTCATTAACAACGTTTGAAAATTGCTCATGTACACCGACGATACCGGAAATGCGGTCAAGTTTTTCCCGTGCGTGTAGGCTCGTAACTTCTGGATTATTATATCCTCGAGAGACTTTCTCATTTGAAAATACATCCACACAGCAAGAATAAAAGAAGAGAGAGGGAAAAAAAAGATAAAACATTTGTAATTACAAAAGGACTAGTGTAACAGCGAACCAACAAAAAAAAAAAACTTTACTACCAAAGTCCACTAAAGAGTCCTCGGTCGAAAAATTGGTACAAAAAAAAATCTTCTACCGTGAGAACAAGATGAGCCGTGTGTATATAATGCGAAATACTTTAATGTCACGGTTAATGAGTAAATCACCCTTGAAAGGACCAAAGCAAAAAAAAAATTAAAAAAAAAGGTGTTCAAATTTTTATTTATAACCAAATAACGCAAAAAAAAGGTAACATTGCGGTTGAAACAAAAAAAAAAAGTGAATCATGTTAGTAAACGCGAAACTATATTGTAATCATTGATTAAAATATTTTTCAATCATAAATTCTCTATTTTATTATATCCTTTTTGAAGCGACTTGACCTTGGTTCAAAAAGATATAATACACGCACGAGTGTCTGAGGCTTCGCGTGGCACATAACGATACACCGAGTATGATTAGACGCCAACGTACAATCACGAGGTTTCACATTTTTTTTTTGTTTCGAGTGTGTGATTCGCTCCATTGCCTCTTTTCATCTCTTTCTCTTAAACCTCGTCCTTTTTGACTTCTCTCATTTCCATAAGCGTCGATCCTTCTTCTGTTTGTATGCTCTCTTATTCTTTCTCTCTCTCGTTCCAGGTACCAGGTGTTCGCATCCGGAGGTCCTTAATTCGCAGGTCTCGGTGAATCCTTAATGAATGGGAGACGATGGAACTTCGATCTCGAATAATGGCTTTTAAAATTAGAGGTTTTCTCTTTCCATGCATGGATTATTTTTACTATTCTATGGAGACATATGAGGAATAAGGACAAAAATCATTATTATGAAAATAAATTTAATGCTTGGGTGGTCCTTCAGTGATCATTTTCTATCTGCACAAAATCTGAGAAAAAAAAACGTTGTTTTAGATGAAAACGAATTTCGTGTTTTTTCATTTCGTATAATGAATGAATTAAATATTATTTAATTTAAAAAATTCTTTTCGAAAGCGATCGATTATATATTCCATATTGAGAATATGTTTTTTTGCAAGGCACAAATCAAAAGATGATCGCTCGGTAATTTGATGCAGATTGTAAGGTGGATTGTGCACACGCAGTGATTTAAGTACGGATAGCTACAATGTAAACTCTGATAAAAGATCGTGTTTGGAAAGTGGAGCCTGTTACTCCCCAAGAAAGAGAGAGAGGCCTTTAGAATTTAAATCTTTAAGAAATATATATCGACTTGAAAATCTTGCGGCAACAACATCGACTGGTTGGAGAGCGACGCGCCGAGGACGAGTATCAGCGAATACGGTCGGAAGAGACAACTTCAAAGCCGTGCGAAAGGTGTGGCGCGCGGTATGAGATCCCGTGTGCTCTGTTCTCAGGAACCTGAGACCCCCGAGTTCAGCTACATAATGCTTCACTCGGGCATTACACTCTCTTCCTTTCTCTTATATATATATATATATATATATATATATATATATATATATATATTCTCCTTGTCCACCTTTTGGACGCGCCCTTCTTTACTCTTCCCTCACACAAAAACGATATTATGTATTCAAAATAGTTTCATTCTTTTGGAAAATTATTGCCTTAGTTTGCCTAAAATCAAAATAGAAAATTGTTTAATATTTAATTTTTTAATCGATTACATACCAGATACTTCAAATGATTTGGACCAATTCATCGGCAGTTGAGCAATATCTGCAACAAAAAAAAAAAGGAGAATAATTATTTAGTGAAAAAATATTTGTTATTCAATTTTTTTCAAAAAGATATATTTTTATTTTGGTAAATTTTTTTTTATTTTTGCTGTGTGACGAATATCACACGAGGTGTAAATCCACGGGTGTATTTGCTTGAGCATCGTGCGCGCGAGTACCGCAAGAATTTAATGCAGCTCATACTCTTTTCTCATGTGTAAGATCTCTCAACTCGAGAATTCTTACCATTACATATAGAGCGAGTGAGAGAGAAACAAGAAAGATGTACCTGAATAATACGCTTGTCCACTTAATGGAGCAGGCCTATATATTTATCTCGACGTGTAACGATCTACAGACAGGGACATAAACTCACTTGATACACATTAATATTTAATAAATATTAATTCCCCCATGAATATTTATATATACACATACACACACACTTCCATTTATCGGCCACTTAAAACCACAGTCATAATTAACGAATCGAACTCATAAATTTTTCTGCAAATGAAAAACTCCTCGTTATTTACAATGTTGCTGATTACAACCATAAAAATTTTTTTTCCTCCACTTATTCGCTAATTGAAAAGCGATCGAAACAATTTAATTTTTTTTTATCAAAAAAAAAAAAGAAAAACGAAAGAGAATTTACAAGGTGACTATTGTATTTTAAAAGATGTGAATTTAAAATGTTTTTTCGCCCAATGAATGTTTTCTGATTATAGTTTGACAGAAGCAGAGTCGAGAGAGAGAAAGAAAAAGGCGTTCAGCCCACGATGTTAACAAGCTCGCTCGAGCGATAATAAGCATATACTTGCAAATCTGAATACGATTGTAAATTATCAGCAATTTATTGTGCTATCGATATTAACGAGAGAGGAACGGATGCTGTCCCTAGAAAAAATGCATTTCGCTCTGAATGTCCATATGCGTAAATATGCATCCTCACGCGCTGATAGCACAGCCGCACATAAAATAAAAAACTGACCTATAAAAAAAATTAATATCTTAACTATTTAAAACGGTTCAACATTGTATAGACATTCAGAAATATTCTTATCGTTAAATAAAATAAATAAAAAATGGAAAAAACAATATCAACATTTAATAATGTCAGATAAAGTGAAAACATAATAACATTTAATAATTTTCAATAATGTGAAAACATATCAACATTTAATATTGTTGAATATTGTGTTTTTTTTGTAATTAAACAAAAATAATAATTTTTGTTTTAAATAAATAAAATTTTATTATTTTAATTTAATTATTTATAAAATTTTGTTCTTTGAGTTAAAGAAAAAAAATATATACAAGGTGTGCCCTGCAGAAAGGAAGCGCGCTATTAGCCGCGTCTTGATGCAGCGATCTCTTTCGTTTAATTATCCACGTTTTTCATTCCACTACCCCTTTCGCTTTTTCCTTTGCCAATCGTCGACTAAAAAGCCTTTATATATCTATACAAGACCGATTTATAACCTTCCTTCTGTATTATGTTCAATAAAGTTTCCTTTGCACAAAGAAACATTAAAGAAAATTTCTTTTATATAATTTTAAAATGTACAATAATTTTTTTAATTTCCATCTATTTTTCTTGAAAACAGGTGTTCAGTATAAATGAATCTGTAAAACTTTCAACTAATTTGAATTATAATAAAAAATAAAAGTAATAAAATAAAATATATAGTGAAAAATATAATAAAGAAAAACAATTCGATTATTAAAAATCGTTTACAATTTTTTTTTTTAATAACAAAAAAAGAATTTAATCGTTTCCAATTATTTTTTTGTATAACGTATTTTTTCTTAATAGAAAAAAAAGTGAAGGACGTTAATGTCAAGGGTTCAAGAAAATAGCCTAGATTTGCGAGTCAGATCACTTAATACTCTCGTCAATAAACTCGCCTTCAACATAGAAATTCCTTTACCGGCGAGAGAAGCCTTCTCACGTGAAAATTGAATGTTCTCGTTTGCTTGATGTAATACTTACACCTGAGTGCAGTTGTATATATACGACTATTGCTAAACGACAAGGGGAAAGTTTATTTGCACAAAAACTTTCGTCTCGTTTAAAGTTATGACAAAAAAAAATATTGCACTCAATGAAAAATGGTATAATTTTGAAAAATGTTACGCAAACATGATAATTATTTTTCAATATATAATTAACAAGAAAAAAAATGTTTGAACATTTTTTAAAGTTTAAAGACATAAAAATTATGAAATTTAATTTATTATACAGAATAATAATTTGTTATTACTGTTCAGTATAATAAAGCCTCATTTTACTACTTTTAATTAAAAAAAAAAAAAAAAAAATTGTGAAAAATTTTCACACGGGAATTTATCTTATCTTTAAGTTAAAATTTGAAATGATAATATTACACGAGTTCGTCGACTTTACTGTGTAAAATGCGGGTTTACTACTTGGTCATTGTCACGGTTACACTTGGATAGTACAGTTATCTTGCAATTAGACTAATTGTAGTGCAGTATTTCGGTTTCATGACATCGAAGTGCTTCGCATTGTCATGAAAAGAACTTAATGCGTAATAATGTAGGAAGTTTCGTAAAAGTAGTTTCCTTTTTTTGTTATATAATAATCTTTCAAAATCAATGAAATGAGAGTTATAATTAATAAATTAGTAATTAACAAAAAAAAACTACTTTTAATTAATGTTGAATTTGTTAAATAAAATATTAATTTAAAACATGTAATTTTCAATTTTCTACTAATTTCTACTAATTATTAGTTTAAATTATAATTTTCTATTAATTTCAAATAACAAAATTTTCTCTTATTCGGATTTTTGGCTTTTAGATTCTTAAAGAAATAATGCGTCTGAATAAAAATTAATTACAATCGATTCTTTTTATAATATAATTTATGATCATAGTTGTTTTCTTCACGCCGCTAGATTTTTTTTCAAGTCTATCGTTGCAATAACAATGCAATATCGAAACTTTTCTATAAAGTCAACAATAAAAAAAAATCGACTCTTAATTATTTCTACGAATCCAAAGTCCTCTCAACGCACAAACAGACATATATCCAACAAAATTCAGTCATAAAATTAAAAGGGTTTTACGGTAATGTAATTTATATCGAGGCAAACGTTCCATAAACCTCTTTTTTTAACTGAAAAATATACCCTTTAACGAAACCAGTTTAGCAATTCTGTGTGCTGCCGAGATCTTTCTCTCCCTCTCTTTCTATCAACTTTTATACAGGATATAGTTTTAAATTTAAAGGTTCTTGGAGTGAGCTTGCAAAAAATGACCTTGGCAAATCCTGTTGAGCTCTTCTTCTTCGTCCAGGTTTCATGGTCTCTTGTGCTAAGTTTCATCCGAACGCCATATGGCCTGACGAATCGTTCCTCTCGACGCTTAGCTTCATCATCATCATCATTATCATCATCATCATCATCATTATTATCAATGTGCGTAATAACGGTCGGCAAATGTCCAATTCATCTTTGATCTACGATTTTCCCCAAACGAGCAACCACCCACGATTTCAAAATACACTCATAATCTGCCTCCATCATGACCTATTCAATGACCATACTGATTGGCTATCGATTTTCCGAAAATTAGGGGAAGTTTTCCATTCACAAAAAAAAAAAAAAAAAAAAAAACCCTCCAATTTCGTTAAAGAGAGACATCAAACAATTTGACTCTGAAATAATAATGTGTAATTAATAAAATATTCAATTAAGTTAAATAATTTAATTAATAAAAAATTTAATTAAAAAACGATTCTAAATTGATGAATACGATTTTTTTTTGGTATTAAATTCTAAAGATCCGTGTGATGAAGTTGGCGAAGGCTTTCTCGCGGCCCAATTTTGTCGAGGAAGAAATCAGAACCGGAAGTCGGTCAAACCTTTCAGACTTTGTGAGGGAGCAACACTCTTGGGAACCTACGCGACTCGGACACTTAGGTATAAAAAAAAATAATAATGAAGGAGGAGAGAGAGAGAGAGATGTAATAAAAGATAAAAAGGGAACACAAAGGATGCTGCGGTTCAGTCGACAGAGACCGCGAACCCAAAATTACCGATCTAGTCTCGAGGAAATGGTAAAAATTCAGTATTCACCTTTCATCGTCATCAAATATATATAATAATGTCACGCGCCTTACAATCCAAAAAAAAATTTTATATATTCTCAAAAAACATGTCACATCTGTAATATTTAAAATTCAAAAGAGAATTTTTTTCCCTTGAGAAATATTTTCAATATAATTATGCGTTGTATAAAAAAAAAAATGTCAAGTAAATTAGAATTTGTTCACGCTTTTGTAATATGCCAGACGTGTAAACGAAGCGTACGCGATCGTCCAGTCTCTTTTTCTAAATATAATCACCTCGTTTCCGGTTCTCTCTCTGTGAGAGAGAAGATATGAAAGAAAAAAAGAAAGCAATAAACGAAAGAAAGAAGGAAAGAGTGCATACATAGGTATATGTGTATAATTCACTTGCGTGTATATCTGTGACTCGTAAAAAAGTGAGTAGGGTTTCGCACACAAGATCAAATTTCAAACGTAATTTACCGAAAAAAAAATGAGAGAGAGAGAGAGAACGCGAAACGGAACGCATTGCCAACAAAATTGATTTTCTCATATAAATGAGCTCAAGGTTAAAAAAAATTGCATTTACAACTTGTGATAATTAACCTTTTGTTCATTAAACAATAATATGAAAATTATGAATTCTATTTTAAAATTCCTATGCTTCACATTTTTTATTAAACAAAAATAGAACCTTTACAAAAATACTTGTAATTAGAACAAAGTTACTTTTTTATACTTTAAAGTAGGAATTTGACTCGAGACACTTTGACATTAGTGACTCAGTGACGGAGTTTAAAAACAATCTGTCTTCGTGCTTTCGAAAGCCAAAGATTTTTTTAATTTCGTCCCGTTGTCTCGAGTGAAGAACGGAAGTTATTTTAAAATAGAAAATAGGGATTTTTTTTATCTCCCAAAGAGAT